CTATAGTAGTTGAGTTGCACACAATCGCCCTATTGCTTTGAGGTACAATTCCGTGACAGGAGACAAACTGCGAACCGCAGGCCACACTACTGATTTATATGTATCTTTATGATTTCAAGCGCGGCGGCACTTCACATACAAATTATACATGTACCACGGAATTGTACGTTTATCATTCTCCTAGGTTAACCCCCCAAATTTTATACTTTTGAAGTTTATCTTAATTATTAAGACATTAATGTACCAGGTGTTTATTAAGTATGAAAAAAGATCTTCAAAAGTACTTGTCGGATCAACATGAGATTTGAAATGTTAATTTGACTAAACAAAATCTTTTGTTAACAAAATTTTCAACTGTTTAGCTGTCAAACTTTTCAAGATGCAGCATCAATTTAATTTTTTTTTAAATAATACCACTAGTTAAAATTGACATCATTCGAAAGCATATTTTATTCTGCATTCGAGAATGTAATTATTTTTACAAAACTACTATCCGTGTCAAACGTTAAAGACTTCAGAGATCTATATCCATCCAATCGAAAAAGATGGTGTTGATGTGTGTTCGAGACAGGACGTTGCGTCTTCATTTCTTTATGTAGCTAAAATAAAGGGGCGACATCCTGTCTGGCTTATTTCTGTTTTTTTTTAATTTATAATTCGCGTAAATCGCTCTAAAAGAAATAGAGAGACTTAACTATAATAAAAAGATAACTGGATTCAGCAAATGCAATTATTTAACATATTTTGATTAAAACCGCGTTAAAACCAACCCAGTCGTTTTCGATATAACCCCATTCTATTAAATCGCGATTTTCCGCGAAACTATGGGGAATATCGTAAAAATAAAACCTGCCCCTTATTAAGGACACATCATTCTGCCCTCAAAAATTGGGTACTTTTTACATTTATCTCGCGATAAACAGAAAACCGCGGAGCCGAACATTTTCAAATTCACATGTGTTACGTAGAAATGTTCAACAATTACAACAAATTTTACCAAATTTTTTTTATTTGTGGCACCGATAGAAGTGATGCTATTAGGCGCTGTAATATATCTTGTTCGATTGCAATGTTGTGTCGATATAATGACAATTGAAGTACTGCCTCGGCCGTAAGCGACCTTAGCTTAATGGCGACGAAAGTGTGATGTTGTTTTTTCACTGTTTGTTTATTTCCATAGAAACCAGGGCATACGTACAGTGTGTTAATTAATTATTGTACCCGACGTCATCATTGTAAGTATGCAACCAATATCACAGTGCAATACGCATCATACGCAAATCGCGTATTGCAATAAAAATACTGTGATATTGGTTGCATACTTGCAATGATGACGTCGGGTACGATAATTAATTAATACACTGTACTTACTTTGACCCACATAAAATGCAACATGTCAACATAATTTGACATTACAGTAAAACCACGATATAACGGATCAATGCGGGGAACGCAGTGTCCGTTATAGCTCAATAAAAATATACAACAATCGATTTTTATTAAACTAAAACTAGAACTAACACTAGACCTAGAACTAGAAACATTCGGGTTTAACCGTGCGTCTGAAAACCTAGAACTAGACTCATTCACGTTTAGCCGTCTTGAGAGTCGTGCGGCTAAATCCGAATGGTTCTAAAATTCTAGATCTAGGTCTAGTGTTAATTCCTGTTTTAATTGTTATTCAACGTTAGATTGTGGTATATATTTATTGAACGAAAAGTAGAACTATAAACACCTATTTCTAAGCAAAACTTTTCTTCCTTTGCAAAGCTACCCAATGTCTGTACTATTAAGTTCTACGTTACATTTTATGTGGGACAGTGCAAGTGCTAACAACGTAACTATGGTTACTGCATTCATATATTGCGAGTTATATAAAATTCCCGGTATATCTTGTTCGATTGCAATATTGTATCAATATGATAATTGAACTACTGCCTCGGCCGCAAGCGACCTCGGCTTATTTAAAACAAAAATGTAATATTGTGGTGNAGTTACGTAACTATGGTTACTGCATTCATATATTGCGAGTTATATAAAATTCCCGGTATATCTTGTTCGATTGCAATATTGTATCAATATGATAATTGACCCCAAGTATGTGTACTCCCTCACTTCCTCGATCACCTTCCTCTCCCATTTTCAGTCTTCCTTCGACCCTCTTTACAAGACTTCATCGTTTTCGTTTTGTCTACGTTTACATCTAAATCCTTCCGGTTAAAATACTTTTACAGCGACCGCATCATTGCCTTCATCTCGATCACTACTAGGTCGTCAGCATACGCCAGTACGTACACCTTCCGTACACCACGTTCCCCATCTGCCCCCCACCAATCTCCAACACCTTCTCTCCATCTCCTCTCATAATTTCTCTGTATTTACTCTGTCAAACGTCTTTAAATCTACAAATAGAGCATAAAGCTCTATTAACCTCCACCAGGTCTTTCAATATAAACACGTTGTCTATCGCTCCCCTTCCCTTTCTAAACCCTGCTTGACCATCTGGCAGGACCTCCCTATCCTCTATCTCTTTCTCCAACCTCGCAAGCAGTACCTTCGCGTATATCTTGTACGTCGTATTCAGTAAGCGGATACCTCTATAACTTTCCACTGTCTCTTTCCTTCCCTTCTTGTACTAGGGCCTTATTATCGCTGTTCCCCACCCCTTTGAAAACCCTTCCATACCTTGCTCAACGCCATCCACAAACTCTCCCTCACCCACGCCGCAAGCGACCTCGGCTTATTTAATACAAAAATGTAATATTGTGGTGTTAAGCCGACCCACTGCAATAATCTCGTCCGACTGCAATATTGTATCGATATAATGACAATTAAAGTATTGCCTCGGCCGCAAGCGACCTAGGCTTATTTAATGCGAAAGTGTAATGTTGTGGTGTTAAGCCGAGACACTGCAATATCTCGTCCGACTGCAATATTGTATCGATATGATGACAATTGAAGTACTGCCTCGGCCGCAAGCGACCTCGGCTTATTTAATACGATAGTGTAATGTTGTGGTGTTAAGCCGAGCCACTGCAATATCTTGTCCGACTGCAATATTATATCGATATAATTTCAATTAAAGTATTGCCTCGGCCGCAAGCGACCTCGGCTTATTTAATACAAAAGTGTAATGTTGTGGTGTTAAGCCGAGCTACTGCAATATATCTCGTCCGACTGCAATATTGTATTGATATGATGTCAATTAAATTACTGCCTCGGCCGCAAGCGACCTCGGCTTAATGATGACGAAAGTATGATGTTATAGTATTAAACTGAGGCTGTATGTTTCAACATCGGTGTTAATTATTGCACTTATTGTTTCAACACTTCATTAGGGTAATTATTTCACTTTGAGATCGCTCAATCATTTTTGTAATTTTTTTTCTTTAAACGGTACCGCCACTTCGCTTGTTTAAGTGTATATTTGCGATATTATTAATCATAAAGTCTTTGTGTAATTCATCAAAGCTAAGTGATTTCTTTATTTTATCTAAAATTTTCTATATTAATATAACGGTGGATCATGATATGCATTTTGAAGTTGCAAATCTTGTAATTTGTGTTATATCTTTTTTAGGCAACACTCCCAATAATTATTAGAGACCTCTCTAAACTTGGATCTGTTAATACGTAATATTAACAAATTCCCACCATCATTGTAATCTTCCTTTTCGCATCAATCTTTGTAGACCACTCAAATAAAAGNGCGACCTAGGCTTATTTAATACAAAAGTGTAATGTTGTGGTGTTAAGCCGAGCTACTGCAATATATCTCGTCCGACTGCAATATTGTATTGATATGATGTCAATTAAATTACTGCCTCGGCCGCAAGCGACCTCGGCTTAATGATGACGAAAGTATGATGTTGTAGTATTAAACTGAGGCTGCATGTTTCAACATCGGTGTTAATTATTGCACTTATTGTTTCAATACTTTATTAGGGTTATTATTTCACTTAGAGATCGCTCAATCATTTTTGTAATTTTTTTTCTTTAAACGGTACCGCCACTTCGCTTGTTTAAGTGTATATTTACGATATTATTAATCATAAAGTCTTTGTGTAATTCATCAAAGCTAAGTGATTTCTTTATTTTATCTAAAATTTTCTATATTAATATAACGGTGGATCATGATATGCATTTTGAAGTTGCAAATCTTGTAATTTGTGTTATATCTTTTTTAGGCAACACTCCCAATAATTATTAGAGACCTCTCTAAACTTGGATCTGTTAATACGTAATATTAACAAATTCCCACCATCATTGTAATCTTCCTTTTCGCATCAATCTTTGTAGACCACTCAAATAAAAGAGAACGTTCTTTGGCGGAATACAAGTTTCGATTCTTTAAACCGGCCAAAAACTACTTCCGTTAGAAGAACTCCGGGGTGCAAAGTGGTTCTTATTGTTGGTCCGGCTGCGTGTCCGTTTCTACCTGTACCCCATCGGTTGTCTCGTGACTTACACATCTCGCAACAATTCTCTTCCATTCACCTTGGTTTCCGGACGATTCATTTCGGGTTTTACTACGAAATTCCACTACTACACATAGTAATACTACAACTAAGCAGTCCCATTCAATATCTTTTCAATTCACCAACTTATTTGTGTAAAATAGAAAAGGAGAGGATTCTTATTCTTTAGCAACATAATGAGAAACTTTAATTTATTGTGTTTTATTGTACTCCATCAATAAAATAATGAAGAAACACAACTAATTTGAAATGAATTTTGCGAAACACAACCTTTTTTTATTGATCATCAATTTTATTGCAACAACGATTGTAAAATTTATTTTCGCACATAAAAATGACAATATTAATAATCCGATTGAGCTGATGAAATTTAATCAGACGACGAGGACGTTTACCTTAGTTGCATCACAACGAAATCCGTTTTAATACGGAAAGAAAGAAATAATCGATTATAACTTTCATTTTCATCTTTTTCTTACGAATAAATAAATCTTATTCTAATTGTAATAAGCATTTACTTACGAAAATCTATAATCGTCTTCTAAATTAACGTAGTCCGGCGGGATGATGTGCCATGAATTATCGTAACATTCCTCGTAACCGTTGGCCATTCTTGATGTATTGGTGATATTCGTTGGAAAATAATGAGGGGGTTAATTTTCTAAACACCACTTCACCAGTCCATCGGACAGATGCAACTAAAACCCGTTCAAATCAGACACGATTTCAACTCTGTTCTATGCTATACAGATTCGATCGAGTTTTTTTTGCTGATAATAACGATATCAATTCTCGGTGTTCGAATCATTCCCTTCGTAAACTGATAACGTTGCGTTTTCCCACCCAGGTGGTATTTGATAGAAAACGATCAACAAGTTAGGTTATTATAAGAATACAAGAAGAAGTAAATGATTTTTTTTTCAAGGATATCATAATCTTAACATAAACATAAACAATACTGGTTTTTCTTATCTAAGAAAGTAGCCTTATTATTTATTTAACCCTATTCTTTACTAAATCAAATCGTATTGTTCTCCGATCTTAAATATTATTTATAACATCGAAACTAACATAAAAATCCCCTTTAATTTATTTATTTGGTTACATATAAGATATCTATTCCACTCTAATGGAAATTACATGTATGTATTATGTCCTATATTCGAGACAAACCTAAATCAAATAAAGGGCCATATGTTATAATCGGGAAATTATAAAAATATGTATTCTTTTTTAATGAAAAAAGAGAATTAATCCAAAGTTAAGCTTCGAATAATATCAGTAGCTGTTTTATAGGAGGAAGTAATAATAAATATAAACGGATTTGATTAGCATTTTATTGTGATCGATGTGAAAGTTAACGCCGTCGCGTTATTGGTAATAAACCAGTGAGAAACAGTTTATAAAGTTAATCCTCCGAAAGCTGACTCGCTGGCTGGCAATGATGTTGTTCGTAATGATGATCGAGGCGCATACACAACGTGTTCTGTTTACATACCTGCTCGGTTTACTTAAGATATCTACTACTGATGCGGCGTTATAGCCGGTGTGTGTATGTACGTGTGTGATAAATAGATAAAAACGTCTATATTCAAGCAAATATTTGACATAGTTCTGTCAACTTTGATTAATATCGGGTGTAACTTCATCCACGTTCAACACCCACCTCATTAACGCAATTTCTCTTTTTATATTCAAAATTATATTTTTTAATATCTATTATTAAATCAAAATTAATTCAAAATTTTTGACAACGACATCTGGTATTTAAACGACAACTTAAAAAAAAAGAATATATAATGTTTCTAACTGATCATAGATGGCGCCACACATTACTATTTACTTATCTTGATTGAAAGCAAATCAACATTTTTATGATATATTTATAATAAAATGTTATTTAGAATTTATATAATAACTTGTGGAGCAACTTAAAAAAAACAATTTATCACTATTAAGAGGAACAGAAAAGTGTTCAAAAAGCGTAACTGTCAAAAAATTTTTTGAAAACGTATTCATTCAAAACTGGTTAAATCACATATTGCAACTAAAAAGAAAAAATGTAAGATCTTGATTGATCAAGTGGATGTCGCTGCAACCGTGGCGATTTAACATTCTATATCATTAAATATACAGGATGTGTCAAATGTCTGGAATATAGCCAATAAATCAGTTTTTTGTTCCGTTGCTATGGCAACCAACATTGTTATTTTAAATGCATATATTTTTTTTGCATATTTTAATAGAGGATAAATCTCTCTACGTGATGAAAATATCAAATCATATGGTTGTATAAGAAAAAAATCGAGAAAAAGCTGCGTTTCCTGAAAATATTAAATCAGCATTAGAATCAAAGGCGTTGAAATAATGTCGTTGACAGCTTTAAATGTCAAAAAATTGACGGTTATCATTTATCAGTGCACTCTAAATGAAAGTTGTACACTGTTTAATAATATTTACACAGATTACACAAAACGTGGAACACAAAAACAAAAATTCTTTAAAAACTCTAATCCCAGATATGGAAACTACAACAAATATTCAAATTGGGCACCATTTGCATCCAAACAATTTTAAAGACGTCTAAAGCTATCCAGAGTACTCAAAACAATAATCAACTGAGATTTTTTGTTTTACGGTTGTTATTCTCTCATATAAATGACAATGTGTAAAATTTTTAGGTCGATTCTCGTACACTCTGTCAACACCATAATGCGGAGGTGCTCCATCTTGCTGCAATATGATGTCCACGAAGAATGCCAGCCCAAACATTTATCTTTTGTGAATACTGAGTATGGTCTTCTTGAATCCAATGTGGATTGATGTCACTCCAATATAGGCTGTTATGACGATGTACTGTGCCGTTTAACATAAAAGTTGCCTCTTGCGTTTCGTTACACCTACCTTATACAACCTTATATGATTTCATAGGTTCATTGCGTAGAGGGATTTATGCTCTATCAAAACATGCAAAAAAAAACATATGCATCCCATTAAAAATAATAATGTTGGTTGCCACAGCACCGTAACAAAAAACAATGCAAACAAGCAAATATCGCCAAATCAACTGCATAACTACAATTAAACAAAATCTTATACATTAACATTAAATATTGATCATCAGCGTTATTTTAATACTTGTTCGAAAATATTGCCATTAACTTCTAAACATTTCCGGCTTCGTTTACTAAGTAAGAGCTCTTGTCGAAAATGAAAAAAAAATTAAAATTGGATAACAACATATGAGTTTTTTACATTATTTTTAAGCGTACAATACACTCCTAAAGTTTGGTCCGTTCCTCCCGACTCACCCTGTATAATTAATAAAGAAACTTTCATTTGAAACATTTTTCTTTAAAACCACAAATGGTGAAGTTATTGGGTATATTCCAGACATTTGACACACCCTGTATGTTAGTTCTAGTGCTAGAACTAAGATTGGAACTAAAACTAGAACTAACACTAGACCTACAAACATTTGGGTTTAACCGTGCTTCTCTTAAGACGGCTAAATCTAAATTTTCTAATTCTAGGTCTAGTGTTAGTTTTAATGTTAGAACTGAAATGGAACTAACAGTAGACCTAGAACTGTTGTAATGTAAGTTGCCTAAATGTCAGAACATATTGTAACAAAATGTAATATAAAGTGAATAATAGTATTTTATTATAGGAGCATATGAGGGCTATTATTCACTGAGGTTAAGTTTATGCCACCTGCTACGAGTGGCATAATTAATCTGAGTGAATAATAGCTCATTATATGTGAGTAGAATACTATACTTTGTCCATGACTACTATTGAAATTGATTCCATAAATTTATGTTTTTAAATAAATGTTTGAATAAAGTTTAAACGTCAATGTGACACTAATTCAATGTTACCAACTGTAACCTACTTCACAACAATTTGTCAATATTAAATGTCAATTTTATGAAACATCATGTTTTTTTACGAAAATTAATTAATTTATGTTTAAATCATACTAAAAAAGGAATTCGTTTACGTTTTTTTAATGTCAAACCTTTATAAAGTCCTAAAAAAATTAAATTGACGTTTTTTGAAATTTTGACGTTTCAAATAATTAATGAAGTCTGTCAAGTTGATTACCAACTACCTTTTTGTTTTAGAAAACTCATTTATAAAGTATATTATAAGGTACCTAGTCGTGGACAAACAACTTAAATCATTAAATATATATTATTTATGTATAACAAACAACAACATTCAACAATGCAGAAACATTCGAGTTTAGCCATCTTAAGAGACGTGCGGCTAAACCCGAATGTTTTTAGTTTTAGGTCTTGTGTTAGTTTTCATACTAGAACTAACACTAGCCCTAGAACTAGAAACATTCGGCTTTAGCCGTCTTACAAGATGTGCGGCTAAATACGAATGTTTCTAGTTCTAGGTCTAGTGTTAGTTTTCGTACTAGAAGTAAAACTAGAACTAACACTAGAACGAGAAAGTTTCGGGTTTAGCCGTGCGTCTTCAGACTAACAAATAAAACAAATACAAAAATCATTATTAAAACGTTGTTTTTATTTCAGTAGAAATAAATACAAGACATATGGAAAAATTGTATTCAATCGGAAAATTCGAATCGACGAGTTTTGTTTCTCTTTAATTCATTTGGAGGTGGGGGAGGCTTATTTATTTATTATAATCTAACTTACATTATCTAAACAATATTCTACATAAATCATTTTCGACTTAAACAATTTTACTACTCCACTTATCTCCCAGAATCAATATATCATCACACAAACACTAACAAATATTTCTTCTCTCTATCACAATTTATGTATACTCAATAATGACCAGAAATTATAAACAAAAAGGAAAATAAAAAAAAAATAAAAACGTAAAAAATGAAAGGAAAAAATCTAAACGGAATAATATAATATACGGAGTGTTTATTTATCGAGATTAATTTAAATAATCACTCGGTATAAATACTAAATACATTAACATTTATTCTTTTTTTAATGTTTTAACCGCATTTTAGTCTAGGAGTGGATTTTTTCTGCCGGCTACTTATTGTTATCGTTCATTTACTTTAATTTATTTTTAATTTTTAATTCAGTTTATTTAAAGAGTATTGGTCCAGTATTAATATGACTAGCGATTATCGAAAAAAAAAAATTCCAAATACATTGATAATTTTATAGGCAGTATTTCTTGTTAGGAATAAGTAAATGAACTTAAAAAAATCATTTACAGGATGATTTTGACTTCGGTTTAATTCAAAATCACCCTATACAATTATATCAATTATGGATTAATTTTAAATGATTTTTGTTTTACGGTTTTGATTTGTTGATTGCATCTCGGCAAAGCTTCTCGCAAAAGCCGATCCAAGTTCTTTCATAATTAGAACACTCTCTACATGCTGTCATTGATGTAGTTCCGGTTGCTGTTGAATTCCTTGGTATTGTTTGGCATACAAATTGCGTCAGTCAGTCGACCAACAATTTTTGTGACGTAGACAGCAACAAATCCTTTAAATTTCTAAAAGATGGTCGTTGTTCAGGAAGTGCACTCCAACATTTTCTCATTATCTAAATCAAAAGTAAATTAATTAAAATTAAATAAGCTATATTAAAACCCCAACCTCATAAATATCTTTGTCGCAGCCTCTTGGCTTTTCTAAAATCGTTCCTTTTTGAACTCTTTCAACAACTTCCGTGTTCTTAAGCCTCCCATAAGGCATTTTACCACAAGTAAAAACTTCCCACATAAGAACACCTTAAAAAATGGGTATATTATTATACAAGCATATAATGAGGGCTATTATTCACTAAGGTTAAGTTTATGTCACGACCATAGCGAGTGGCATAATTGGACCGCGTTATACATCACTTCACTAAGCAACATTTTATCGTCAATTTTGACATATTTGTCAACTTCATAAAAAAATCCTTTAAAATGAGTCCAAACTCGACATATTTACCTTTAATATTAATGGAAATACAATCACTTCCGGTTTGAAACGTCAACGTCAATTTTGACATATTTGTCATCTTCATTAAAAAACCTTTAAAATGAGTCCAAAGATGACGCACTTATCTCAAAAAACAAAAAAGTTAGAATAAAAAACATTAAACCCGAAGTTAGCAACAATGAAGATAGCAATTTAATTTTTAAATATTAATACCAACCTTAATTTTTTATTTTTTTTTTTTATATTTTTGTTTTTGTGACAAATATTAAGACATTTTATAAAAATTAAGAATATGTCAAAATGACATTGACATTTCAAACCGGAAGTTGCTTATATCTCGAGTAATATTGGAATTAAACGTATCATGTTTGGACTCATTTTAAAGGATTTTTCACGACGATTACAAATATGTCAAAATTGACGTTGACATTCCTAACCGGAAGTTGACCATAACTTCATTAATATTGAAGATAAATATGTCATGTTTGTACTCATATTAAAGGATTTTTAATGAAGATTCCTTTTTAACAAAACAAAAAGAAATATTAAGAAACTTGTTTGTAAAATGGATAAGATGAGAGATGTTAATCTATTTGTAGGTCTCTGAAGATGGCCAAGGGCCGAAACTGGTTAGACTTAAATTCTATATAAAATAAAATCCAGTTTAAAAGTATAAAATCAAACTCTAGATTTTTTTTCTTCAAAAATTTTTACACGAATCGTCATCATTTTGTCTCTAGTTTTAGTGATTAAATTTATGCCACTACTTACAGAAACACCCTGTATGCCCTCTGTGCTTGTGATAGCTGTCATCAGTGTTCTGTGATAAAAATGGACAGGCACCAAACAATTTTCAATAGTTTGAGCCTGTCTATTCTGAGAAGTCTTATATTTTTAGAAAGATGAAAACGAAAATCCCGTTTTTCTCAACATTATTCATTTGTGCTTAGTCAAGTGAAGCATAACGCGGTCCAATTAGCCTGAGTGAATAATAGCTCATTATATGTGAGTAGAATACTATACTTTGTCCATGACTACTATTGAAATTGATTCCATAAATTTATTTTTTTAAATAAAGTTTAAACGTCAATGTGACACGAACTCAATGTTGCCAACTGTAACCAACTTCACAACAATTTGTCAAAATTAAATGTCAATTTTATGAAACGTCGTTTTGTTTTACGAAAATTAATTAATTTATGCTTAAATCATAGGAAAAAAGGAATTTGTTTACGTTTTTTTAATGTCAAACCTTTAGAAAGTCCTAAAAAAATTAAATTAAATTGACGTTTTTTGAAATTTTGACGTTTCAAATAATTATTATTGGTCTGTCAAGTTATTCACTCTAATTGTAAGCTATTATTCACTCTGTGAAAAATGACCCCTCTTGTTTTAGAAAACTCTTTTATAAAATATATATTATAAGGTAGTCGTGGACAAAGCAATTAATTTGTATAAATTAACTAAAATTAAATCATTTTTTATATACCATAAGCCCAAACATCACTTTTCGACGAAAATCTCGTATAATTTAAAACTTCCGGTGGTGCCCACTTAATAGGAAATCGAGTCCCACCCGAAGAAGTGTATTGATCGTCTAAAACGTATCGTGCAAGCCCAAAATCGGCTACTTTAACTACATTTTCATGCCCCACAAGGCAATTACGAGCGGCTAAATCTCGATGGATATAATTGTGTCGCTCCAAATACGCCATTCCTTTACATATCTACAAAAAAAAATTAATAAAATTAATAAAAACAAAGAATATGGGATGTTTTTGAACTTACTTGTATACACATATCCAATAAAAGACCTTGATTTGGTAGAAGCGATTGTTCGTGTCGTCTCAAATAATTTAATAAAGAACCATGCCTCATGTATTCTGTTACGATGTAAATGGGGCGATTTTTACTACATACGCCGTAAAGTTGGACTAAATTCGTGTGTTGAAGTTTACTAAAATAAATAAATAGAGATCTAACACAAAAAAAAACATAATTTTATTGTTACTTACGTCATCACTTTAGCTTCTTCTATAAAATCATCTTCAGACATAGTTCCCTCTTTCATCATTTTTACTGCTACATCTATAGAACCTCTCCATTTACCTCTTCTTACTACACCGAATTGGCCCGAACCCAATTCTTCTAATAACATTAATTCGTGTGGATCTATTTCCCACTTATCTATAAAAAAAATGATTAGAACCGAAAAATCAAGTTGTTCAATTAGAAAAACTTAACGACACGATTTCTTGTTTTGTTTATTAAACAACAAACTATAATCTTCATAACATCAAAAAAGGGGATTGTCATTAAAAGTTTCACATTTTCTATTCGTTTATACTATGAGGTGCTTTGTGATTGTGCTCATTATCGATTTATATTTATGCAGTAAGTAATTATTAGATTTTTATGATATTTAATAAATTAATTTTTTTTGAATTTAAGTTAATTTTATGTCGGTAGATGTCGCCACTTGTAACTGTCAAAATATAAAAATTAATTTTAATTATTTTCACTAATATTTAATTTATATTTAAAAATTTTTTAAGATAGTGGAGGATACGGAAAGGAGTTACCATGGGAGGGTCGTCAAAATCGGAAATTATTGTTATTGGGAGGAGCTCCAGTTACGGACAAAACAAAATCAGTGGTTAATATTAAAAGGATCCTTTTTTATCTAATTTTCAATACCGTTTTTCCTTAATTTTTAGTTTTCCGTAAGTAGTGATAAAGGCCCGATGACTGCTGTTGTATTTAGAGATCAACTCATTGCTTTACCCGGGTAAGTTAACAACAATTAAGAATACAAAAGTGATTTTTGATCCGCAACATTAATAAACGTAGTTAAGTATTGTTTTACGTTTATCTTAACACTTCTGTTTATTTTATTTCAATTATTTGTGTATAAATATTAAAAAAAAACTAAATTTTGATCTTGTTGAATGACGAAAGTTTAAACGTCAACGTCACAGTAATTACATTGAAAACATAATATAATAAAATTCCCTATTAATGTTGCCAACTGTCACCAAATTTACAATTTGACAGGTAATGTCTAATTAATATACCCGCAATTTAAATTTCTAATTTTACACTAGCGACATCCTGTTGCTTGTTAGCTTTATATTAGATTGTTGTATATTTTTATTTAACTAAAAGTAGAACTAACACTAGAACTAGAAACATTCGGATTTAGCCGTCTTGACAGACGTGCGGCTAAACCAGAATGATTCTAATTCTAGTGTTGTAATGTTAGTTCTAGTGATAGTGCTAAATAGTATTAGTTGGCACTAGATAGTTAATTATTATTGAACTAACACTCGAACTAACATTACATCTAGATCTAGAAACATTCGGATTTAGCCGCATGTCTCTTAAGACGGCTAAACCCGAAAGTTTCTAGTTCTAGTTATTAAGCGTTAAATTGTTGTATAATTGTTGCTAGTTCTAGGTCTAGTAATAGTTTTTAGTATCATTTTTTAGCTGTCACATTGACGTTTGAACTTTCGACACATTTCGGTCTTAAACTCACACTTAAATAATTAAAATTTGGCCTCTAATTGTTTATTTTCATTGCTTTTTACTAAATTTAGTAAGTACTTTTCAATATATTTGTATTTTGTTAAAATTATATTTAAAAACGTATTAATTCGTTACTTAACCTCAATTATTTACTTACTTACCGAAAATGTCACTAAAAATTAGATGTCATTAATTTTATAAAGACCCTAAGTAATACCAACAGAAATTTAAAGAAATTGACCTTGTACTTAACAGTATATTAAAAGTTATAGAATTAATATAACCTTACTTAATACATAAATAATAATTTTAATTAGAATCGTAGCAAACCCAAAAGTGGGAGGAACAGCGCTTGAACGAAAATCATCAAATGGAGGTTGGACTTTTTGGAGTTACAAAGACGCAGTTGAACCGATTGGAGATCATTACACGGGAGATGCAGCACCAAGTGGAACTTGTGAAATTGTTGGATCGGTAATGACTTTTTTATTTAATTAAATAAGAATATCAAAGGAAATTAATAAAAAAATTGACATTAAAGTGACATTTCGCGTGCGATATTGGTTGCCTAACCAAAAAAATTAAATGTTAAATTAAATTAAATTTAAATATTTATTATAAATTCTAAGTTTTAATTATTGTTTAGGATAACAATCAACAAATTTTTGTATCTGTAGCCGCCCATGTCGATATTTTTACCGAGAAACTAATCACCTTAAAAAGTCCATCGTTTTGCCAATCGGATCGAGGGGCCGCTCTAGTTTGCGACAAAAAACTTGTGGGGATTGTTAGCGGTGGTGCGCAAGGAGCCAAAACGCCACACCAAACGTACATTCGACGAAAACGCAATGAAGTTTCTTTAGAACCTCGAGCAGACACAGAATGTACTAACGCATATCCTGTGATTAATATTAACGAATTGACTAAATTAAGTGGAGCCGTTTCAATTTTTGGCTATCGAGATATCATTACCTTGATAATCAGCGTCGCTTTAATAGGATTTTTTTGAATGATTAATTAAAAATCGATTTCATAATAAATTCCTGTATACCAGAGCTCAAAAACTGTCTTCATTCGTCGAATTTTATTTATGTATTAATAACGCAAAGAATTTTTTACAGAAAAATAATGTCTCGGTAAAAATATCGTCTGCCAAAGATGATGCGTACAATGTCGAAGCGACTTCCGGTAAAATATGCCACGCGGAATTAGGTGCGCCGATGAAGTGTGATGGTAAATTAGTCGGACTCGTACATCATTTACTTCCGAACGGAACTCAAAATAAAACTGAGGAAATCGAGGAAGAGGCCACAACAGTCGAAGAAGAAACTAAAGAAACATTTCCTGGTAAACAATTTAATTTAATTTGAATCATATTAAAAATAATTTTCTTTTTAGGTACTGATAAACCGGAAGATGAAGAAACTCCCCCTCCGAAAGATAGAAAGAAACGAGATGACGACGAAAATGACGCCGCTAATGAAGAAGTAAAGGAAGAGGATAAAGATGAGAAAAAGGATGATAAAAAGGCTGATAAAAAAGATAAGAAAGATAAAAAATCATCTGGTGAATGTTCGATTTTATGCGAGGTGACTCCAATAGCGAAGATAACCGACAAACCCGCAGAAGTTAAAGAACGCAAAAACATTCGAGCTAGATCTGGTGGTGTAATGACAAAAATCATCAAGATCGATACATTACTTATTTTGTTATTTTCATCCTTAATTTTGTTGATTTAATTGTTATTTTTTTTTTACTTATTTCATTTACATTTCTTTTACATGATTATTATCTTTTTTTTAAGAATGTTTAAATATAAATGAAATAAAAATATAGTAAAATTCCATTGGATCTAATTAATTCTTATGTGACAACTAAAAATGTCAGATTTTAGTTAAATAATATACAATAATCTAACGCTGAATAACAACTAAAACTAGAACTAAAAATAAACCTAGAACTAGAAATAAACCTAGAACTAGAAATAAACCTAGAACTAGAAATATCTGGGGAAATCCCCAGATGCTAAATCCGAATGTTTCTAGATCTAGTGTTGGTTCTAGTTTTGCACTAGTACTATCACTAGAACTAACACAAGACCTAGAACTAGAATCATTTGGGTTTAGCCGTCTTGAGAGACGCACGGCTAAACCCGAAACGTTTCTAGTTCTAGGTCTAGTGTTAGTTCTAGCTTTATTTATTCAGCCGCAAATTGTTGCATTTTTATTGGATTAAAAGTAGAACTAAACCTACAACTAAAATCATTCGGGTTTAGCCTTACGTCTTTAAGGACGGCTAAACCCGAATGATTCTAGTTCTAGGTATAGAGTTAGTTCTACATAGTAACAGTGCTAGTGTAAAACTAGAACTAACACTAGACCTAGAAATATTTGGGTTTAGCTGTGCGTCTGAAGACGCATGTCTATTTCTAGTTCTAGGTGGAGTGTTCTAGTTTTATTTAAAGTCCCTAGATTATCAAATTACCGCGGTTCATGAAGTCTGTGTATTCGAACCAAAATAGCGGTTTGACAGCTTGTCACCACTTATTTAAAAAAAAATTATCGTGTAATACTACCGTCTTGTTGCCTTTGGAGTTGCAAAAATAGCAGTAAGAAGAGCTTTCGACTCTTCAGAGTACCACGAGAAAAAAAAAAAAAAAGGAAAATTGGCGTAATTTTATCAACAGAACGAAATAGTTTTAAATTTCCCGCTTGACTTTCGAGCCAAAATGGCGGCAAACCAGGGTACTTTGATAATCTAGGGACTTTAGTTTTATTTGTCATTCAGCGCTAGATTGTTGTATTTTTATAAACCTACAACTAAAAACATTCGTGTTTACCTTCGTGTTAATTTTAGTACCAAATCCAATCAATTTAAAAAATAATTTGATTTTAATTAAATATTCGAAACGTCAACTGAGTTTATTTGTCAACTTTGACATTGAAATATTTTAGTTTAATATCAAATTGATCTAATTTTTATGTGAAATAATTTTAAATTTGACGATTGACATAGTTTGATTTTAGTGATTTTGTAAATTAGGTGAAATGACAAAAATAGTTTAATGACAAGGGAGAATGTCATTTAAGGTTAGAACTAACACTATTAGAAAGGAATCTTATTTTTAATTCTTACCATGACTTAAACCTGCTGTAGCTGGCGCGGGTCTATCACATGGACTGGTTTTAAGTCGAGAAGCCAATCCTCCGCTATTATGTTTGTGGTAATTGATGAGGTCAGGTATTGAATTGCAACAATGTTTTTCAGATAAATAAAATTCCCCTCTCGTGTTTTGTTTGATATGGTAGTGCTTTACATGTGGATGGGGTCTAAAAAATAAATTAATTAAATTTAACTTAAATAATTGAAACTTAATTGATTCTTACACTTTAGTAAAGAGAGAGAGCGTATAAAGTCCTTTGGTAGATGAGTTTCTTACTACAAAACATCCTTCTTTATCTTCTTGTTTTAAAAGCGATTCCGATCGTTGTCTAGACATATCATTTACATACCAACTAAAAATAAAATCATTCAAAACGATTATAAATAAATCACAATGAGAATTTACTCATATTGTTGGAGTCCTACAAGTTCTTTTTCTTTCACGTAATTACTTGGTATAAATCCAACATTTCTTTAACAAAAAAAAGATTAAATTAATTTATTACTTTAATTAATTAAATAATTACCCATGACCATCACGCACTTTCCACCAATGTTCTTGCCCATCATCCACAACTTCATATTCAGCATTCTAAATCAAAAAATAAATTTAATTTTAATTAATTAATCTTAAAAACATACTTTTTCCAATGATAAATCTCCCGATTCAATAGCATTATAATTATACAAAGCGACTACAATTTTTGGTCGCGTTTTATCCTTTTGTTTTGGAATTTGGGGGGCCACCGTGGTACCCCCGGGCATAATGGAACTGGGCACACCTAAAAAAATAAATCATTTCAATTAAATATAACAATAAAAAAAAAATTATTTTTTAATTATTAAATCTGGCACAATTTGCTTTCACTTCGTCAATTTGGAATAGAACAAAAAAAGTCCAATTTGAATTTGTAACGGGATTGAACGTGTCGAAAACTTACCGGGAATGCTTCTTAACACCGAGGCCAACATATCGAGCACGTTGAACGACTCCAGTTTTGATTAAAAACGTTTCGTTTTCGATCGAAAAACACGAAAAAGTTGGTCGTACGTCGTCAACATGGCGTTAAACGCGCTCGTTCCCTCAAGGATAACGATCACCGACCGAGAAGCACCGTTACTCGCGAAAGACCGCGACGTTTAACTCTACCCACTTTCCCTACTACTTCTTTACCTCGAAATTATTATCAAAAAAAGAAATAGGAAAAAACCCAAGAATAAAAAAAAAATTTTAGCACAAATTGTTGTTAACCAAATTAATATTGCAAATAAATAATATGTAAATTTTTTGATTTGTATGCCGACTTGTAATTTCCGGTGGGGACATCCTTTTAGAATTAGCTATTGTGTTAATAAGTTTAAAAGAAATACAAAATCACCAACCTGTTTTTTCTGAATTTTGTTCAGGCTCAATGATGGACCAAGAAGTACAATCGCAACAGGCCACCGTTGAATTTTTTTGAGTACTTTTACAACAAGTCCACTTTTTCGCGTACCATACACCTTTATGGTAAGTGGTTCGTAAGTTTTTATTCTTGCTGCAAACTACAAAATTAAATAATGTAGATGCTGATCTAAAAAATCGTTTTGAAAAATCAGTTTTTGTGATAACAACAAAGACATAATCATCAATTACTAAGGTTTGCATATTATTTGGGAAAAAGGGCCCAAACACTACATATTTCATTGTTATAATAATTAAAATAAACAAATATTTATAAAATAATCTCTTTTTCCTGTCAAATTATTTTAATGTTGGTAATAGATTTGAAATCAATTTGTGTCACAGTGACGTTTCAGCTTTCATTATTCAAAACAATAAATTTTTCAATTTTTGTTTATCCACAAACAATTAAAATAAAATCAAAGCAAGAAAACACGTAATTTATTTGGAATTACTGAATATGTTATTAAAAATCAAAAAAACAACAAATTTTATAACGACCTTGGGTAATACCAACAGAAATCCTAAAAATTTTACATTTATCTTTAAACATGAATTTTGTATAATTTTCTTTTTAATAAAATTATATAACTAATAAGTCAACGAAATATAAAATGTTTTCTTATAGTATTTTAAGTTTTTAATCTTGCTGCAAACTATAAAATTAAATAATGTAATAATATCGTTTTGAAAAATCAGTTTTTGTGATAATAACAAAGACATAATCATCAATTATTAACCTTTGCATATTATTTGTGCAAAAGAGCCCAAACACTACATATTTAATTATTATAATACTCAAAATAAATAAATATTTATAAAATAGTCTCTTTTTCCTGTCAAATTATTTTAATGTTGGTAATAGATTTGAAATCAATTTGTGTCACAGTGACGTTTCAACTTTCGTTATTCAATGTGATAAAAAATTTTAATTTTTATATTTATCCACAAATAATTAAAATAAAATCAATGCAAAAAAAATCGCAACTAAAAATGTTATTAAAAATCAAAAAACAACAAATTTTATAACAACCTTGGGTAATACCAACAGAAACCCTAAAAATTTGACATTTACCTTTAAACAAATTTTGAATCATTTTCTTTTTAATGAAATTATATAACTAATAACGAAATATGAAAGGTACTCTTATAGTATTTTTAAGTTTTTATTCTTGCTGCAAACTGTAAAATTAAATGGTGTAGTAATAATCGTTTTAAAAAATTAGTTTTTATGAGAACAAAGCCATGATTACAATTATTAACGTTTTATTGTTAGATTAATAGATGTACGTGTGAAATGAGTCCAAATTCCACATATTTAATTATTATAATATTCAAATTATTTATAAAATAAAATCAAAATTAATTAATAGCGCCATCTATTTTTTTAAAAATCAAATTATTTTAAAGTTGGTAATAGATTACAATTTGTGTCACAGTGACGTTTTAACTTTCTTTATTCAAACCGATAAAGTTTATTGATTTTTATATTTGTTTGCAAAAAAAAGTAATTAAAGTGATTGCCGCAACTTATTTGGAATTAAAAAGCAGCTTAAAATCATTATAAATAATAACTTGAAAACAAAGTTCAACATTACTTCTCACTTTAAAAGTTCATATTGTAAAGAAACAAAGAAAATAAAGCTCTAAATTTTCTCTAAATTGACAAAAAAGGCTTTGTTATGGTTTATGAAGATTCATACTTAATGAGCAATACAAATATTGGTAGGTTTTATGATAAAAATGATTGAGGTTATGTTCAGTATATAAATGTTATTTCTCTTTCAATTTGCTAATAAATTATTATTAGTAAGGTTATACAACAATGTTTAAATCAAGGAACAAAATTGATTCCGAGATGTCAATAAATATCCCTTAAAACTCAAAGTTTTTAGTTACACTTTATTTATTTAATTTTACAATCAATTTTTATTGGGTTACTTACCCCTTCTTAATGTTAAAATCCAATCGGTCCTATCCTGTTCTTTTTGTGGGTACAAATACAAAAGATATTCCTTCCCGGATTCCTGATAACCAACTTGAAGTGGAAACGATAGATTTAAAGATTTATCCTCATTGTTGTTGGGGGTTTGAATAGCCTCGATGTACTGAACGTTTTCTAATAAAATCCGTCCCCGTTCGTTCCGTTTCTACAACAAAATCTACCTTAAAAATAACCACTTAACCAAAAAAATCTAACAATGGGGTCCAAATAGAAAGGAACCAAACAAAAATAAACTTACAATTAAACTTTATTCGTTCTTAAATAGTAAAAACATTTCTATAGAGCGTCCCGACGCCCTTAAGACCCGCCCTAAAACTCGCGCACCCTTCTAATGCATCACATGCGCCCTTTCAACTCGATTCATGGATAAACGCGAAATTAGCTGCAAAAATCGACTACTACAAGAAAAACTTACCCCCTGTCCCGTGTCGTAGTCGTAATAAATTAAAAATTCCCTTGTTAAAATGAACCATCGTTGTTTGTAGTTAACCACGGTGTAGATTTTTTTATTTTGGGACTGTTTTATCATAAATCCTTCTTTTACAATTTCGTCCCGTTTAAAAGCCATCACAAAGATAACCTCACAATCATTACAAAAAAGTTTTTTAAGTACTCTTAAAAGTAGTTAAAAAATTATTAAAAACACGTCACTGCTTTCCTGAAACGCTTTTACAAACACTTTATCAGAATTCCGGATTCGATACCGCATGAGCTTAGTCATGTTTTCGTAAACTTTTTTTTCAGGATTTTCTTTAAAATAAACTTTTCAAAAAGTTCTTTTTCCGATAAATTCTATTTAAAATAGGACGTTATTGCAACAATTAAAACATCACCACAAGTATTGCTGTTTAAATAAATCAACCGCCGATAATCTCCGTTTTATTTTGATTCCTTATTTCTAGGTTATGTTCAATTTATTACCGTCAACATTAAAAGTTATAATTGATATCAAACTTTAATTAATAAAATTTTATAGAAATTTAACACCACTTTTTAATTTTATATTGTTTAATCAACAAAATTTCGATAATTAAACTAATAATAATAATTAATTTGTAAATTTATTAATCACTCTAGTTATTTTTGTTTTAAAATAATTAAGTTGGTGGTACATTTAAATTTAAAACCAATAATTTAGAATATTTTTACAAATGTTATCTAAAAAATGAATAAAATTAATAAATAAAGTTGTAAATAAAAACATTGTTATAAAAACAATTTATTAAATAAATTTATTTAAGGATATTTTTGAATGTTGACGCAATTCAAAACATAACCTATATTTTCGTACCCATGTGATTATTAATCCATAAAATAATGGGGAAATCAGCATTTGCTGTTTATAAGACGCAAAAAAAAGATGAAATCGTTAAGAAAACTACCAAAAACGATCAGATCACCAAAAAGAATAGGAGAAATAAGAAAAAATTGGTTAAAGCAAAAACAACAAAATTAATAGATCCAAAAAACATTGTTAAAACCAAAAAGCAACTAGTAATTAAGAAAAAGAATAATAAAAGTGATAACAAATCGTTAGATTCTAATAATTACGTCGAAAGTGAAATAAGTTCCTTGAATAAAACGCCGGAAGAAACATTATCTTACATAATTTCACCGTTACCCTCATCAGATTTTTTGACAACATATTGGGAAAAAAATCCTTTACACATCAATCGAAAAGATGGAGGTTATTTCAAAAATATATTTTCCTCGAAACAATTCGATAGTATTCTTCGTAACAATCCTTTATATTACACAAGAAACATTGATGTTGTAACTTATGAAAGTGGTGAACGAAAAACTCATAATCCTGAGGGAAGGGCGGTTCCTGCATCAGTTTGGGATTATTATTTGAACGGTTGCAGCGTCCGATTATTGAATCCACAAACATATAACAGCAAAATTCGAAATATATTAGCAATTCTACAAGAATATTTTGGAACAATGGCAGGGGCTAACATCTATTTAACTCCACCGGGTTCCCAAGGATTTGCACCTCATTTTGATGATATTGAAGCTTTTGTATTGCAACTCGAAGGAAGAAAACATTGGAAAATTTATAAACCTAACATTGAAATGACGCTTCCAAGATATTCGAGTAAGAATTTTATGAGAAATGAGCTCCCTGGAGAACCAACGGAATTAACTCTTGAAGCGGGCGATTTATTGTATTTTCCTCGCGGATTTATTCACGAAGCAAGAACCGATGCAGATTCTCATTCGTTGCATATCACGATATCTGTTTATCAGAACACTTCGTATGTCGATTTGATTGAGAAGTGTTTAATGGAAAGTTTAAAAGCTGCTTCTGCTTCAGATATTGAATTTCGGTAAATTTATAATAAATAAAAAATCGTTTTAAATTAATTTTTATTAAATTTTAGACGAGGATTACCCCTGCAATATTTAAAACACGTCGGATTAGCAAACAACAAAATTAAAAGTAACACAAGAACCGAAATAATTCAAACCGTTAAAAATCTTATAGGAAAGTTATCTGAATATGTTTCTGTAGATAACGGCGCGGACCAATTAGGGCGCAAATTCATGTACGATTCATTACCACCTCAATTAACAGAATCCGAACGAGTTAGAACGTGTAAACAAGACGGTGATTTTCTAACAAACGGAAAAGTAGTTTCTCGCGGTGTTTTTGAACCAGACACTGAAGTTCGTTTAATCCGTTATCACAGTATTCGCTTAGTTTTAGAGGAAAATGTTTTTAAGTTGTATTATTGCACTGAAAATGCCGATGTTTATCATGGAGAAGAAGAACAATGTTTGGAGGTTAACAAAGAGATGGTGGCAACTTTTAAAGTTTTACTAAAATCTTATCCGAATTATAAAAAAATTGAGGAGTTACCAAATAAAGATCAAGTTGAATTGATGCATGTTATTGGGGATTTGTGGGAGAAAGGGTTGATTGTTACTAAACTTCCACTTACTGTGTTTAATGACGATTAAAAATGAATAAATATGATTTAGTTAAAATTGTTTTAATTAATTTATAACCTAAAAAAAAGTGACATGTAATTTAGAGGTTATGTTAATATAACCTTAATTTTATTTTAAAATGTAGTAAAGAGGAAATATTAAAGTTTTATTAATAAAATTAATGTTGTTGTTATAGCCTAAAGGTAATATCTTTAAATTTCGATTGAGTATTTAATTTATAATTTTAAAAATCAAATCATAACCTAAATTATATGGTAACCATGGAAACTCGTTTATTTACTTGTCACTTTTGATCTTGTCAGAATAAAATCAAAATTATTACAAAAACTAATTTATTTCAGCAAAAATGAAGGTAGTATTGTGTACGGATTTAGATAAAAACGTGGTTATTGCGATTTGTCAAAAAAGAGGATGGGTTTAAGTTGTCTCGGAAGATGATTGGAATATTTATCATGGAGAAGAAGAACAATGTTTGGAGGTTAACAAAGAGAGGGTGGCAACTTTTAAAGTTCTACTAAAAACTCATCCGAATTATATGTAAATAATTGAGGAGTTATCGAATAAGTATCAAGTTGAGTTGATGCATGTTCTCAGGGATTTGTTGGAGAAAGGGTTGATTGTTACAAAACTTCCACTTACTGTGTTTAATGACGATTAAAAATGAATAAATATGATTTAGTTAAAATTAGTTTAATTAATTAATAACCTAAAAAAAAGTGACAGATATGATTTAGAGGTTATGTTGATAACCTTAATTTTGTTTTAAAATGTAGTAAAGAGGAAATATTAAAGTGTTATTAATAAAATTAATGTTGTTATAGCCTAAAGGTTGTCTTTGAATTTAGTATTTAATTAATTTTCTTGGAATTTATAATTATAAAAATCAAATCATAACCTAAATTATATGGTAACCATGGAAACTTGTTTATTTACTTGTCACTTTTGATCTTGTCAAAATTGTCAGGTAAAATCAAAATTTTTTTATATTAAAAATTAATTTATTTCAGCAAAAATGAAGGTAACACTTTAAGATAACAACGGAGACATATCACAAAATCTATGGAAGGAGGAATACTTGAATTAAGCAAGGACAAGTATATTGGTGGAATAGCACAATGAAGGAAGCTAATGATGAAGCCAGTAGATGTAGGCGAGTGATGAGAAGAGAAAATGCAAAAAATAACAATAAAGACTATAAAAGAAAAACTAAATTAGAATACCTAGAGGCAAAAAAGAAATTAAAAAGGGAAATTAAGAACTCAAAAAAAGAGGCGTGGAGGAAGCTATGTAACGAACTTGAGGAGAATGTGTGGGGTGATGTCTTTGCGTATTAAAAAGGACAAAAAACCAAAAAAACCAGTACATAAACTGATAAAAGAACTTTTCCCAGAAGGGAAAAAGGAACGCTGGGAAAAAGAACGCATGGATGAAGAGCAGAATTGCGAGGAAACCACGATAGAAGAACTTCATGCGCTATCAAAAAGGTTGAACAGTGGGAAAGCGCCTGGCCCAGATGGAATAACGCCCGAAAGAATCAAAGACGTCACCGCCGTGGGTTCACAAATTTTATTAAACTGTACAACAAATTATTGAAGGAATGCCACTTCCCGGAGAACTGGAAGGAAGGAAGATTAGTATTGATAGAGAAGCCGGGCAAGGCAAGGGAGAAGAAATACAGACCTCTATGCATGCTGAACTGTTACGGAAAGTTATATGAAGCGATAATTAAGAGCAGATTATTAAATAAAATAGATCTAGGCTAGATAATCCCCCATCTAACAATCAGTACGGTTTTGTACGTGGGAGATCTACGGTAGAAGTTTAGTTAAAATTGTTTTAATTCATTTATAACCTAAAAAAAAGTGACAGATATGATTTAGAGGTTATGTTAATATAACCTTAATTTTATTTTAGAATGTAGTAAAGAAGAAATATTAAAGTTTTATTAATAAAATTAATGTTGTTGTTATAGCCTAAAGGTAATATCTTTAAATTTCGATTGATTTAGTATTTAATTAATTTATAATTATAAAAATCAAATCATAACCTAAATTATATCGTAACCATGGAAACTTGTTTATTTACCTGTCACTTTTGATCTTGTCAAAATTGTCAGAATAAAATCAAAATTTTTTTGTATTAAAAATTAATTTATTTCAGCAAAAATGAAGGTAGCATTTTGTACGGATTTAGATAAAAGCGTGGTTGTTGCGAATTGTGAAAAAAGAGGATGGGTTCAAGTAGGTCCGGAAGATGATTGGAATGTTTATTGGGCAGGGACATTAACATGCCGCAGCTTATTTAGTGTAGATAGTGGTTATAGAATGAACGACAACCAGTGAGTTTAATGATTATTTAAACGATTTCTTATAAACATTGTTTCCTTTTAGAATTATAAATCATTTTCCAAATCATTACGAAATCTCTCGAAAAGATCTTTTAGTAAAAAACATTAAGCGCTATCGACGAGACTTAGAGAAAGAAGGAAATTCAATGGCAGAAAGGGGCGATTCGAAGTATTTGTATTTAGATTTTATCCCGGTGACGTTTGTGCTTCCGGCTGATTATAATATATTTGTTGAGGAGTATCGGAAAGCACCCCAAAGCACCTGGATTATGAAACCATGCGGGAGATCACAAGGATCTGGAATTTTTCTAATTAATAAACTTTCAAAGTTAAAACGATGGTCGAGAGAATCAAAACATCCATTTCAACAACAATTAACTAAAGAAAGTTACGTTATATCGAAGTAAAATTTAAAATTAAGTAAAATCATAAATTATTATTTAATTTTTTAGATACATAGAAAATCCTTTATTAATCGGTGGGAAAAAATTCGATTTAAGACTTTACGTTTTGGTGACATCTTTTCGTCCATTAAAAGCTTATCAATTCAAACACGGTTTTTGTCGCTTTTGCACGGTTAAATACGACTCGAGTGTTGCTGAAATGGACAACATGTACGTTCATTTAACCAACGTTTCAGTTCAAAAACACGGCGTAATAAAATTTATTAAAATAATTATTAATTAATTAATTCAGATATAATTTTTAGACCGAATACAACGCTTTACACGGTGGGAAAATGAGCGTTCAAAATCTTCGTTTATATTTAGAAAGCACTCGAGGAAGAGCAGTTACAGAAACACTTTTTGATCAAATTAGCTGGTTAATTGTTCACTCATTAAAAGCGGTTGCTCCGGTTATTGCGAACGAACGTCATTGTTTTGAGTGTTATGGTTATGATATTATAATTGATAATAAATTGAAGCCTTGGTTAATTGAAGTGAATGCTTCCCCATCGTTGAGTTCAACCACCGCAAACGATAGGATTTTGAAACATAAACTTTTAGATAATATCTTTTCAATTATTGTGGCACCGTGTGGATATCCAGAGTAAAATATTTCAAATTTAAAATTAAGGGGTTTATAATTAGATTTGTTTTAGTGTTAGATGGAATAAAATTACTTCGAAAGAAGCCATGGGCGATTTTGAACTTCTTATAGATGAAGATCTCATTAATATGCAGGAAGATATGGAAATGATCGATCGATATCAACCGAAACCTTCCAGTTATAGATGGAAATAATCAACAAAAAGGAGTAGAGAAAGGATTAAAATGATTTTTAATTGGGATTTGTCTCTTTGTATCGTTTTTGAATCGTAATTTTTTTTACTGTGATGTAATTCATGTTTATTATTAATTTTTTAATGTTGTGTTAGTTCTGAATGTTTGTTTTAAATACATTTTTTAAAAAAATATTTTAATTTGATTTGAAATGTCATGAAATTTGGGTTGCATAAGTATGAAATTCTTTTGTAATTTAAAAAAATATTAAGGATAAATCGTTGTATGAAGTGAATTCCTTTACAGCACTTAGGCCTCTTCTACATCCCCACAATTTACAGTTCATTCCGGGCTCAGAAAGCCAGCGCAAGGTTTTAATGAACGTTAATATTGAACAGAAGAAAATATGTTCTTTATGTTTTCCATTTCACACCCTCTACAAAGGGATGAGTTCGCTAGCTTCATGTAGAATATGTGCTTACGTAACCTGTAGTGTCCGATCAGGAAATGGGTGACTAACACTAAGACCTAGAAATATTCGGCTTTAGTCATACATCGTTTAAGATGGATAAACACGAATGTTTCTAGTTCTAGGATTAGTATTCTACTTTTTAATCCAATAAAAATATAATAATCTAGCGCTGAATAACAAATAAAACTAGAACTAACACTAAAACTAGAAATATTCGGGTTTAATTTGAAATGTCATGAAATTTGGGTTGCATAAGTGCAAAATTTGCACTGCTTTTCGAATCGAAAGGTGTATTTGGAGATTTTGCGAAAAAAAATCCGCTCTGGAACCTCCAGACTTCTTTAATACATCACTCTAAATGATCAGCGTTTTACCTGTGCTAAAGTTGCTCTGGGGTATCGTCTCAATGCCAAAATGTGGCCTGTTTAATGAAGTAGATATGATAGGAGCTTGCTCCTGACTGTTTTGAAGTGTTAATAAATAAACATTTTTCTTCTGAAAACTTTATTTGAAATGGTATACATTTTTACACTTGATTCTGTTCAAAATGAAACAAGATAAATTGTAAAGAAAGTATATGGTGAATCAAAAGTAATTGGACAAACGTATTCGAAGAAAACTAAATAATCTAATCTTAAAAACCCAGTGCAAATAGGAAGTGCAACATTGCGAATAAATTAATCTTTCAGTATCATAAAAAAATTATAAAAATTAAGCGCAAAAATTTCAATGTAGAATTTTAATAGTTTTTATTTTCAGGTACACGTCAAAAGCCAAAGACATATCCCTAAAAATCCATCAATAACATCAAATATCTATGTTTTAATAATTAATTTTTTTATTTAAATTTATTTATATCAACTTTTATATATTTTTAAATAGGTAGATAATGCATTGATTAACTAGTGTAAAATAAAAGTCCTAAAAACTTAGTAACATAACATAACCAAAACATTTTTGTGACACTTTTTCACGCAAAGATTTTAATAAACATATTTTAGACAGATATAAGATACAGATAGATATTTTATTCGTTCTTTTTTATCACAAAACAACCAAGTACATTCAAGGCACGTTTAAACGTTCTTCGTGTGTAGATAATAGACGAAACATTAATATTTTTTAATTTCTTTTTTTTTAGGTGTAGTGATTGTAACATTTTGACACATTTTCTCAAGTACAGACATTAAAAAATATATGTTATATTTATGTTATACACCAGATCAATATCTACATCTTTTATGGATAAAAGGTTGCATAAAGAATTTGTGTACCTTAATCTTTCACAATTCCGACGAGTCGAAGTAAAAAAAAAACTAAAATTTTGGCATTACCATTTTTAGTGTTTTAATAAGTGCTTAATTTGAATTAATTCCCTGATGGTTTTGGTGCATTCGTATCATAAGCTCTGATCACTTCCGTTTGTGAAACTGATCCACCTTCTTCTTGGGAAAAGGCAAATCCATCTAACAAAAACATCAAGTTAATATAAAATAATAAAAAAGAAATTAATTCAACAAATAAAATTAATTAAGCTGTGATTATTTAATTGTTAATTTCATGAATCTAACTTTATATACAAAAGTTCTCGGTTTTACAAAGTTTGACTCAATAAACGTTTTTAAAACCGAATATACTACTTTTTGATTAATAGTGCGAGTTTAAAAGCGTTAGTTAAGATTAGGAAAACAATCGTGGAAGGGTTTTTTTATAAAAAAATCTTATTTTTTTGTTGTAATTTATACTTACGGGCCATTTCTAAGTCGACTTGGGTGTTGTTTCGCCTCAGAAAGACGCTGCGAACATTTTTGAGCAGCCTCGCCGTCTCAGACAGCCTAAAATTATTGATAATCTCTCTACCATACGCATAAATTTACAGCCTTTTATTTGTTTATAATAATTTTTAATGTGTTTAGGACGGTGCTTTGCGCAAAACATGCTCGTGCTATATTATTAGTGATTACAAAACATAAAATAAAACGACTTTGTACAATTCCTTGGAAATAAGTGGGAAAAATCATGCTTAAACTAAATATACTTACAGGTTGCGAAAATCTCCAGTGCATGCATGGGTCTTGCAAAATAATTAACAAACAATTAATTATCGAGAACAAAAACAGTAATAACAACGTGTTTTATTAATTTATTTTGTTTTGTACTTATCATCTATATGTTATTTTTTCTTTATTTTCTTTTAAGCTACATAAAAATTAATTTTTTATTACCTAAACAACAAGAAATGTTACGATATTTGATGTTGAAGTAATGTCGGGTGCTGTGCTTGGTGCTCATGCCGGAAGAATACAGGAGTAATACGGGAATTAACCACGGGTTGCCATTTAGTACCAACAACAATTGTATCAGGCCCCAAATTACTGCCAAAGGAAATTAACGAGTTCTTTCCAAAGAGGCTACTAAGGTTAAATATTTTTGCTTTCTTGTTAGGGGAACACAACAAGCAGGACTATTACTAAATGCATCAAAAACACATAAATAAAATTAGTGACAAAGACAGATTTTTTGTAAAGCATGTTGGATAATTTTAATTAATTAAATAAAAAGAAACTTTTTATAATACCTGTCAATGTCAAATTTTGACATTTATTTTGAGTTATAATTTATAATTTTTTTTTTAATCTTTCTTAAATACCTCTCAATAAGATTGATTGTTTCAATTATTTGTGCAATCCAAAAATTTTGTGTTTTTAAATTAACGAAAGTTTAACGAAAAATTTTTTTTCAAAACATTATACAAAATTGTTCATTTTACCAACCGTAACTAACTTCACAACAATTCAACAGGTAACTTTTAAAAAGTGACAGTTAACCTTACTTTTTGACTTAAAATCTATTTTGCGTGTTACAGATAAAATAGTAAAAATTGAGTAATTATTTCATTTTAAACTCAATTAATGTACGGAAGTTGTTTTTATAAACATGTTTTTTTAGGTATTTTTGTAGAAAAGAAGTCATATAGACTAATCAAGGCCTAGAGGGGGTCATAACATATCACTTAATCTTGAAATGAGACGATGAGGCAATAAGAAGGGTTGAAGAATAATAAAGAAGTTGTAACCACAAATAATTATTGATTATAATGGAATTAAATCAGGTGTAGACATCGGACAGCTTCTCTTTCAAGCATTCATTCTTTCATGTCTTTAGCCTCTATATTCTCTACTCAACCTCATTTTTAGTTTTCCATTCTCTGTGGAAGTGGAGTCTCAACAAGTAACAATAACGACTTATAGAATTAACCAAAATGAGTCTTCTGGGAAATAGGATAAAGCAGAAAACGGATTTATCTTGTTGTGGAAAACATATTAATTATTGAAATCAAAATTATGAGATTAAAATAGATATTTCATTGCTGAAAACTTCGCAGCATCGTCTTAATCAATGATAGGGATAAATCCTAAGAACGTATGATGACACATTTATTGCTGAATTCATCTTACATCCTAAAGATGTAGGTTTAAGCATCCGTTTCTTGTCAAATTATAAACATTTTCAAGTTTTACGAAAGAATGAAATGAAATAATAATTTATAACGATGGTTTCAACGATCATGTGCCCTAAAATACATACTAAAAACTAACACTAGAACTAGACACATTCGTGTTTAGCCGTACGGTTCTTAAGAATGCTAAACCAGAATGTTTTTAGATCTACTGTTAGTCCAAAAAAGATGAAATCGCAATTAAAACTAGAACTAATATTAGTTCCATTACGAAAGCTAAAAGAAATATCGCGTTTAGCCGTACGTCTCTTAAGACGGCTAAACTGGAATGTTACTAGTTCTAGGTCTGCTGTTAATTCCATTTTGGTTCTAGCATTAAAACTAACACTAGCCCTAAAAACTTTCAGGTTTAGCTGTACAGGGTGGTTCAAATTCGATATTCGATTGGCTATCTCGGAAACTATAAGAGTTAGAAAAAAAGTAGCTTAGATGTTATGATCTCGTTTTTCGAGAAACTGCTAATGCCAAAATATGCCCCTAGAGGCCAAAATTGACAATATAGTAAAACCAGCAAGTTCAATTATCTTGGTAATTATTATAGGTGGAGTATTATAACTAAGATGTTATTATATGGACACTTTTTTACAGAGAATTTTGAGATATTATGGCAATTTTCGTTTTTTTAAATGGAAACAACTACTGATTATTCGCTTATTAAATTCATTATTTTTTTCTAATTACAAAAATATGTGGTTAGATAGGTCTATTTCTTATTGTTCTAGAATAAAGCTAAAAATAAACCTTTTTTTAGTGTCATCAAAGAAATTAAATTTACAGTTTCCTGTAAATTACGGTACTATAACTAAAAATTATTCCACTAAAAATGTATATAAAATTTACTTTATTTTCTAATATGTAACATTCTAACATGTTAAACTTTTCGTAATACATCCTAAAAAACAGGATTTTTAATTTGACACTTCATGTTTATTTGAATTTAAAAAAAATATGATCGCCATCTATCGATAATTTATTAAGTCATTTAATAATAATATTAAATATTAATAAAAAATGTGAAAATATGTCATTTAATAATAATATTAAATATTAATAAAAAATGTGAAATAATGCAATCTATTCCAACTTTTGTGTAAAACAAACATAAATTAAATAGTTCAAGAAATGTATTGGTTTCAAATATCAGAAATATATTTTTTTAATTTTTAGTTATAATTTACAGGAAACTGTAAATTTAATTTCTTTGACAACACTAAAAAAAAAGTTTATTTTTAGCTTTATTCTAAAACAATAAGACATGGACTTGTTAAACCCTATATTTTTGTAATCAGAAAAAAATAACGAATTTAATAAGCGAATAATCAGTAGTCGTTTCCATTTAAAAAAACGAAAATTGTCATATCTCAAAATCTTAAACCGAAAAAATTTTTTTGACTACGTTATCAAATTCTCTGTAAAAAAGTGCCCATATAATGTCGTAGTTATAATACTCCACCTATAATAATAACCAAGATAATTACACTTGTTGGTTTTACGATATTTTCAATTTTGCCCTGTAGGGGAAAAACAAAAGAAGATAGCGCTTTGAGGTTTTCGGCATTAAGAAAAATCAGATCATGACACTTTTTTTCAAACTCTTATAGTTTCCAAGTTAGCCTATTCAGACATCGAATTTGAATCACCCTGTACATGTGCCATAAAACAGTTTTTTTCTCACTTAATTAAATTATCCAACTTAAACTATTAATAGCAAACAAAGATGTTAAGCTAAATAAAAATAAGAGAAGACAAATAAGCATTAATTTATGACCACTACATACTATAACAAACAATCAACAAAGAATTACGATAAAACAAATAAAATTGTACTTACGAAGTTTTTGACTCTCTTGAAACTTCGATGGGTTGATGTCGAATTTCCCTCTCTCGAACGGTTTCTGTGTAAGATTTTCGAATAGTACCCAATATCCTAAAGAAAATATATTTATATAAGGTATTTAAAGGGAATTAACAAAACTTACACTCGTATCGTAAAATCTGGAATCAATGCGATTATTGGTATGATGAAAAGACCTAACCAAAACACGGCCGAAGTAAACATTATTATATACATCCCTGTCATAACGGTTCCAACGGGTAAAACGGGCCAAAAGTTGCTAAATAAGAAATAGTGTTAATTAAAAATTATTATAATAATAAAATAATAAAATTCTCACCTATAAATTATAATAAATAAAAACCAAATTACAATCGATCCCCAAATTGCGCAATGAGTGGGCCAACACCACGAACTTGTTATTAACCCCGCTTTTAAACACACAGTCACGACAACAAACTAAAAAGAAAACATTTTTTATAAAAATATTTGATTTTAAACCAAACTTACCGTATAAATACAATTTCCGAACATTAAATAGCCCCCGTCGCGTCCACTGTGCCATAAAATATCATGTTGAACCGCCAACATGGTAAACCAAAATATAATAGCCGAATGTACAATAGCGTTAAATACCCACAACCAAAATAATTTAAACGTATATAATTCCCCGCTTTGGGATGGTTTGTATAACTTCGGATGGGTCAACATTAAATTGGCACTACAATTCTTATCAAATAACCCAATTGCTAATGGTGGTAAAGCCGTGAAAAACACGTTATATAGCCCGATCGACCACCGTTCAAATACTATTTGACCAGACCAGCCGGAATAAATTGCGAACCACAACGACACAACGTACAAACAAATGTTCTTGTAGAAACTGTACAAAATTAATTTACACATGCGTGTATAGTTCCAAGCGCCGTGTACCAATAAAAGGCGTAACAAAAATCGAAATTGGGCTATGCTATAATCCGAGGCGCAAGCCGCTTGAAGACCTTCAACGCCCGAAATGCCCACTCCAACGTGCGCCTTTTGAATCATTGCGACATCGTTAGCACCATCTCCGATCGCTAAAGTCACCGATTTTGTGTATTTCGTTACGTACTCTACAACTTCAGCCTTTTGTAACGGGGAAACTCGGCAACATATCACTACTTTGCAAGAGACGCAAAGTTTTAAAAAATCAGTACGTAAATCACAACCTAAAGAGTATTTTAACGTTTTTCCATCCACTATTAATGCCACTTCGTTTTGTTTTCCTAAATTTTCCCCGAAATCAGCGTTGTGGCGGAAAATTGCTTCTCTTGTATGCTATAAAAAAACAATTAATTAATTATTAATCAAATTTTGAAATTGTGAGGTTAGATCGTAATTTTTTTGACATTTACGAAATTTAAATTAGCGCCATCTATTAGGGAATAGCGGAACTTAATTATTTAAAATAAATTTAGTTTATATAAATTTATTTAAAATAAAATTGGCTATTATTTATACTTAAGTTTAACTGATTTAATTTTTTAATAATAAATATTTTTTTAAGCATTATTTTAATAAATTGTTTGATAAAACTTCAAACATAACCTCAAGGATTTTTTTAAAAAAGTTAATTTTAAATAACTTACATCTAAGCTGCCTTCATTTAGAATAATTAAAGGAGTTCCTTGGCCGATTAAACGCGATGAATATCCTATATTAATCGCAGTCTCTTGTTTATCACCGGTTAAAACCCACACGTTTATATCTGCTTTTAAAAGTGCTGCGATCGTTTCTGGTACTTCGTCCTGAAGTTTATCCTCAATTGCAGTCGCTCCGATTAAAGTTAAATCGCGTTCTATTAAATCCGCAATTTCCTCCATTTTTTCTACAAATAGAAAAAGTAATGATTAATGAGTCATTAAAGAAATGTTAAATACCTTCTCGATTGTGTACGTTAATTGCTGCAGCGTGAAACTCGTCATTCCAACGTTCATAAACGTCCGAATTTAATTCTTTATATCCCAAACATAATGTTCGTAAGCCTTCCGTTGCGAACACCTCGAGTTGTTGAAGTAAAGCGTCTTTGTTGTCTTGGCCTTCCGATGATAAACGTTCGTAAATAACCTAAAATTATGATTTTTGTGTAAAATAAAAATAATATAGTAAAGAATTTACCGTATCAGCGCCTTTGCAGTACAAATAAATTTTTTGATTGGGTCCCTGTACGATCACAGACATCCGTTTACGAGTTGAAGTAAATTCTATCACATTGAGGATTTTATATTGATGTCGTTCACCTAATGCGATCACCTCGACATAATCAGGCGTTCGTACATCAAATTTATAACCGAATTTAGAGGCTCCGTATACTAAAGCTCTTTCATCTAAAAAAATAATAATAAAATCGTTTGAGTTGAATATACAGGTCGCTGATATGTATAGAATCGGTCGGTTGTCTCCTAAAGTAAGATAGCTAGCAAAAAAATGTTAAGATACAAAAGTTTTAGTGTTTTTTTCAATTTATTACAACAAAGACAAATTAAGTATACAGGTTCAGTCAAAAAGTTATGACGAAACAAAGTTGTGTTTTCTTTAAATTCATGTAGCACATCATAAATCTAAACTTAACCATTTTCGTGATATTGAACTTTGAAAATCACTCTTATAAATTAGACAAAAATAGGTTTTTCAAATATGTTTATAATTCATCAAGTTACCTTTGAAACTTTCTCATCTCCATAGCAACGCAGTGACATAACACATGTCAAAAATACAAAAATGCAGTGTCGTTTCTTAGATGTTAGTATAAAATTAAAAGTTTATGTCTTTTATTTTATATACAATTAAAGTCTAACTAGTTTCGGCCCTTAGCCATCTTCAGAGACTCTACAAATAGATTAACATCTCTCATCTTACCCATTTTATAAAAAGTTCGAACTTTCAACTTTTAATTTTTACATATTTGTCAACTTCATAAAAAATCCTTTGAAATGAGTCCAAACTCGACATATTTAACTTTGACATTAATGGAGATACAATCACTTCCGGTTTGAAACGTCAACGTCAATTTTGACATGGTTGTCATCTTCATTAAAAACCCTTTAAAATGAGTCCAAAGATGGTGCACTTATCTCAAAAAACAAAAAAGTTAGAATAAAAAACATTAAACCCGAAGTTAGCAACAATAAAGATAGCAATTTAATTTTTAAATATTAATACCAACCTTAATTTTTGATTTTTTTTATTATATTTTTCTTTTTGCGACAAATATTAACACATTTTATAAAAATTAAGAATATGTCAAAAAGACATTGACATTTCAAACCGGAAGTTGCTTATATCTCGAGTAATATTGGAATTAAAAGTATCATATTTGGACTCATTTTAAAGGATTTTTCACGACGATTATAAATATGTCAAAATTGAGGTTGACATTTTAAAGCTGAAGTTAGCTATCATATAATAGACAAATGGACAACTTCATGGTATTCTTTCAAGATGTACTCTTTATTAAAAAAAAACCTTTAAAATTAGTCCACACACGACGCACTTATCACAAAAAAACAAAAAAGTTAGAATAAAAAAACATTAATCCCGAAGTTAGCAACAATGAAGATAGCAATTTAATTTTTAAATATTAATACCAACCTTAATTTTAGATTTTTTTTATTATATTTTTGTGACAAATATTAAGACATTTTATAAAAATTAAAAATATATCAAAATGACGTTGACATTTCAAATCGGAAGTTGCTTATATCTCGAGTAATATTGGAATTAAACGTATCATGTTTGGACTCATTTTAAAGGATTTTCACGACGATTACAAATATGTCAAAATTGACGTTGACATTCTTAACCGGAACTTGACCATAACTTCATTAATATTGAAGATAAATATGTCGTGTTTGTACTTATTTTAAAGGATTTTTAATGAAGATTACAAATATGTCAAAATTGAGGTTGACGTTTTAAACCTGAAGTTAGTTATCATATAATAGAAGTTTTATAACTGAAGTTAATCTAGTGTTAGTCACTTTTCAGCAGTTTCTTTTTATTTTTAACGTGTTTTTCGGGTCATTTCACATTGATTAAAAAGAAATCGTCGATTTTTAAGCCACATGATGATTCTTGAATTTTTCCCAAGTTTCTTAATATTTCTTTTGTTAAAACAGAGCGAACCAAACAATTTTCAATAGTTTGAGCCTGTCTATTCTGAGAAGTCACATTTTTAGAGAGATGAAAATGAAAATTCCGTTTTTCTCAACATCGTTCATTTGTAGCTTAGTCAAGTGATGCATAACGCGGTCCAATTATGTCACTAATTATATTCGTAAATTTTTAAAAACTCGATATCTGGAAAATGGTTAAGTTTAGGTCTATGATGTGCTACATGAATGTTGTTTAGAATTTCGAGATGAACTGAAATATGGAATAACATACAGAGTGTTCCATTAAAGAAACCGTAACTTTGTTTCGTCATAACTTTTTGACTGACCCTGTATACATAATTTGTCTTTATTGTAATAGATTTCAAAAAACTTTTGTATCTTAACATTTTTCGCTAACTATCTTACTTTAGGAGATAACTGACTGTTTCATAGATATAAGCGACCCTGTATAAAAGTAATTAGTTACCTGGTGAAGCGGCATGATAATTTAATTCTCCATCAGGCATCCTTTCCGGTATCACAGTGTGACAAACAGACATAAGAGTCAACATTTGATTGAGAACTTCAGCATTTTTGTGTTTATTTTTAATATGCTTAAATATTTAATGATTTTTTATTAATTAATTAGTTATGAAGTAAAATAAGCTTACGGTAAGTATTAAAGGTTGTTCTTCACCTTCAGTTAATGAATAAATTTCGTCACCAACACTACATTTTTTGAATTCCATAACGTTTCTTGTTAAAGTTCCGGTTTTATCCGAAAAAATATATTTGACTTGACCGAGTTCTTCGTTTAAATTTGATGTTCTTGCCATTGCTGGCGTATCCGTTTCGGCGTAATACATTTCACGATCCATATTAATAAAAATTGCTTGCATAAATCGTACGACCTCTAATGTAACTTGTAAAGAAATCGGGACTAAATTATTAAACAAAATGATAAAAGTCAAAAAATTAAACGCTATATTATGTGAGATATCGTTTAAACCAATGTACCAATCGTAATCTAAATGCCAATTTGTCCAAATTGTACTTCCGATAGTACAAACTGTACACATAATTAATAAAATAAGAAATAATAATAATATTTGATAATTGGTCAATTTATCTATGCTAGATCTTTTTAAAGGTGCTTTCATTGAATTTTTCATTAATTTAGTCTCATGTCCTGTATAAATAACTAATCCATAAACCCAAGTTGTATTTCTTAACATAGCCCCTCTTAATAAAATTTGGTCTGGTCGAATCGGTTGTGCTAATTCATCCGTTTTCTTTAAAGTTCCAGTAAATTCGTACAAATACCGACTCGGTTGTTCACATTCAATAGTTCCAGATAACGTTTTTAACATTTCCGACGTCGTTATATTACTCGTTACTTGCAACGCTTGACGTATTTTTAAATTCGTTTCACCATCCAAATTTGCCGTTTCTATAAAACTTATTCCTTGTGGCTCACTGGACGATAACAACAATAAATCAGCGGGAAAAAAATTATTGTTATACACTTTTACTATGTCTCCAACGCCCACATTCATCCATTTCAAATTAACCCATTGACCATCACGAAAAACTTCAACCATACGATGATTCGTTTCTTCATCTGCTTTATGTCTTTTCTTTAAATTAAAAGTATAATTAATAATAATTAATTAATCAACAATTTTAACTTTACTCACCCAGTCTTCAATTATTTCTTTAATTGCCGATACAGATAATATAAATACGAGAGGAACTAAAGTTGTATATCTTCCGGTTGGCGAAACATCCGGAATTTGTTGAAGTAGTGCTATCATTAAAAAGAAAATATTTGCCCATCTTCGGAATTGCTCGAATAAAAAAAGTGGTAAAAATCGAAGAAAACTAAAAAGAAAATATTTAATTAAAAAAAATTGAGGTTATGTTGTATTAATTCTCGTTTAGTATGTATCTCTCGTCACTCCAACCTCAAAGAATATTACGCTTTGTTCAATCATAATTTATTTAGCATTATTAAAAACATAATGTGTTAAAATGAACTTTTAATATAAAATTATTAACATCTAAAAAATTTGAGGTTATGTTTATAACATTGTGTTAAATTTTCATCTTGATATTACAAACAAACCATGCACTCCAACTTTAGAGAATTTTACACTTGGTTTAATAATAATTTATTTTGCATTATTAAAAACATAATGTGTTAAAATAATATTTTAATATAAAATTATTAAAATCTAAACATTTTTAGGTTATGTTTATAATATTGTGTCAAATTTTCATTTTGAAATTTCAAAAATTTCAGAGACTATTACGCTTTGTTTAATAATAATTAATTTAAATTTTTTTAATTATTATTAATAAATTTTGATTCATTGATATAAATGAGAATTTAGTTTTTAAATTGAATGAAATTTTAACTAAAAATTTAATACATCTAATCATTGTTAGATGGCACTGATAAAATGTAATAATTCAATTAATTAATTAGATTTTAGTAATTTTTAATACAATTAAAAAAGGAAATTAAAAACAAATTACCTGTATTTGGCTGTAGTTACCCTATTATTCATAAATTTACTTGCTACCGGTTGTGGTTTGTTGATAAAAATGATACGACATTCACTACTGACCGAAGTCTTACTCGTTTCAGTGCGCTTTTCAGCCGTCGATGAAGCTGCCCCATCATCCGCTGAAAGAGAAAATTAAATCAAAGATTAAATGATCAAAATCAATGCACAATGAAATAAACGCTTCCGGAAAATAGGAAACAAACAGCACACACTTGGGTGTGAAAATCAAGGTCGTGAAAATTCTTACATCGTTGGAAAATGTATCTAACGGCCCCATACAGATGTCTAGCTCGATCCATGGTGTTTGGTTTATCGTAAAAACACTACAATAATGCACATATTTATTGGGAAATTGGTGAAAAGTTGGGTTGAGGACATATGAAAACACTGAATGAAACTTATCGATTTTCTCTAATCGGAAAATTGTACAGCGCAAGTCCATTAAATAAATTTACATTTTAAATTTTAAGAAATCCATTTTTTTATGTAAACTTACTCATTACACCGCAAAATTTACGTTTTAAAACACACAGATCCCTAAAATTAACATTAAAACACGCGTTAAAACGCGTATACAACTGATAAACATTTTTCTGATAAATCTGATAAACGCAATTCATATTTAGCAGCTAAAGCTTGTTTTTAAAGTCATTTTAGAAACGTAGACGATTACGTAGACGTATTTTGTTGCAGCGATGACACACCTAATTGTTTTACCTTCAAGATCATTATTAAAACATTTTAATTGATTTTGAGCACATTAAAAATTCATTTTTTAATGATTAATTTAAGCGTGCGGTATTATAATTTTAATCAGATAAGTTTTTATCTCTTATTGATTTGGATTGTTCTTAAATTTAAGATTAAATAAAAATCCTTAAAGGATTTTAATGAAATTATTATTAAATTTATTGCATACTTTAATCTCGCTCCCGTCAATGACAACTGACAGGATTTTGAAGATGAAGTTAGTTACTTATATAAGATTTGCATATTTGGTTGCATACACTAATAATTAAAAAAATTTAAATTAAATTAAAATTTATTTATTTAATAAATAATACTAAATAAATGGTTAAAAATTAATTTATAAAATCGAATCTAATCGATACTCGTAAAAGTCGCATGTCGTAAAGATAAGGTCAATAAAAAAACAATGTCCTACAAAAAAGCGCCACATATACAAACATATGTGAAAAGAAAGCGAGTCACGGAATATTATTAATTGTTAATTGAAGTAAATACGCCAGGAAAATGAAAACCACAAAACAGAAAAATACAAATTAAACTATAAATGTTAAAACGAGAAGAAATAAAAGCTGAAATAACAACAAAAGCGGTAAATTAAAGATATTAGATGTACAAAAGCGTTCTAATCTTTGTACCTTGGTGCGAATTGGCCCTCCTTGGTTCCCTTACTGAGAGTCTATGAAGCTCGAAGCTCTGGCGAGACATCCGGTTCTAGAGTATCCGTTAAAGGATACCCGCCTAAAAGATATAGATAGGTAACATAAAGAATAAATGAAAATGAATGATTTAATATAAAATCACAAAAAAGACCTTAATTATCTTAAGACTTTATAAAAGATTTAACAAAGCTAGATGATCTTGAGTCCACGTGCCACATAACTGAACTGAGATAGGGTTTGAAAATCACGAACTTTCCCCGCCAACCACCTTGGTCGTCAACGTCTCACGTCCAATCGACCTTTCTTCCCATCCACGTTTATTTTAACGATCCGCGAAGCCCTTTTTATGGTATTTCAACATTAAAAGGTTCCCTCTGATCGATTCCCCAACCCAACCAAGCAAAACCCCTCAATACACACTATGCCAGCTTTTAACTGCTTTTTGATCAATTCAAATCTTAATCAAAGGATCGCTTAGGAAGTTATTTCCTATTACGAATTATTAATGAACGTTTAAACATCAAATTTAGTCTACACCTCAATCATTTTTTTTTGTTGATAACGAAAAAAACTAGGACAAAGTTGAGGTTAAAAATATCAATCACAGAGAGAGAACGATTCGTTAGAAGGTCGCACAATAATGATAACGGAAGTGCCAAGCCTGCAAGAACGTGCCCTTTTAGGGGGTGGTGAAAAAACGCGCCCTAAACACACCTAGAAAATGTCATTGTGTAATGAATTTGCTCTAATTATGTCATTTTCGTTTGCTCGAACGATTTTAATTAAGTTATTTTAATTTTTTTCGCAAATTAATTAAATTTAAATTGCGCCATCTAGCGAAACGCGCAACTAAACAATTGGTGTCAATAAATATTTAGATTAAGGCCAATAAACACTATTTATATTTTGATTTTAAATTAATCAGCATTTTAAATTTGTAACTAAAAAGACCTTGCTTTTGATTGATTGTATTTATTGATTATTCTCAAGTTTTTTGACAGCTCTTTAAACTTTTAGGTTATGTTACAAACGTCAAAGATGGTATTTTGTATGTTTTAAAGCTTTTTACATGGAATATTTTAATTAATTTGAGTAAGTAAAAAAAAATTTAATTTCATCGAATTTAACATAAAAAGCAATAAATAAATTAATATTACTAAAATTAAATATTAATTGATTTATAATTTTAAAAATCGCAACCACTGCCATCTATTGAGAGGTAAAAACAAATTAATTCGGATATATTACGCTAGATGGACGCCGAAATTATTTTAAATATTAACTTCAAACGATTTACTTTGTTATAACCGTTATAAAACTCGTCCATTTTTAGAACAAATTGTGTAAGAGGAAAATTTTTAATCATTTCTATTTCAATTTTATAAATGTCATGGTAAAAACTATCAATTTACATCTAAACAAGTTCATAAATAATAATCATAAAATTCTTATCAAAGTTGGTGTCTCGCAAGAGATAAATTGGGTTCATAACAGCCGGTTATTCTAATATTTCTAATTAATTAAAAAAAGAAGCTTAAAATGTGTACCTGTCATTACCTTCTGTAGTCTCAATTTTCCGATAAACAATTTTCTTTGGATCTTGGTACATAATTCTTCAATCACCGTCTGCAGCAATTGAAAAACTTACTTAAAAAGTTTCTATTCGGGGTCATATTATTAAGGCACGCATCTATTTTCGCGAAATGTATCACATCAACTGACGTTTGTCATCTTCGTTTTATGACATAACCTCAACTTTCGCGAATTAACCTCACTTTTTTTTAGTTTTGACACCATCATGTCGAATTTATTTAAAAACTTATTGAGTAAAGCTCACACGATTAAAAACGGGATAAATGCGCTTTCAAGTTTTAGAGGGAATGGAGTTTTATTGAATAAAGTTGGTTCAGGTTTGAATGGGTTTAATTATAAACATTCGGTTGCTTATGAGGTTAAGAATCCTAAGGAGAAAGAAATTTTATCAAAAGGTTAATTTTAATTCTCTTTAACTAATAAAAGTAATTGATGTTTTTTTAGAAATAATTAATAAAGTTAATGAACAAGTTGCTAATAATAACGAAGGAAGACTTTTCGCTATAATACACGTTGCGGGAAAACAATTTAAAATCACTGAAGGTGATGTGATTGTCGTCGAAGGTTATTGGCCCCCAGATATTGGTGATAAATTAAATTTTGAAAAAATTATGATTGCTGCTGGATCAGATTTTTCGTTAATTGGAACTCCATTAATAGAAAGGGGGTTAATGAAAGTTACAGGGACCGTTATTGAAAAAACTTTATCTCATACAAAGACGCATTTTAGGAAGAAAAGAAGGAAACAATATAAACGGATAAATTGTAAATATTAAAAATTGTTTAATAAAAAAAATTTATTGATTTTTTTTTCAGTTTATAGAGTACAACAAACCATGGTTAGAATAAACGACGTAAAAATAGTTGGTACATTAAATAATCCACCTGAAGTAGTTCAAGGACCAGTAACTACAATGTAATTATAAATATATGTTTTGATTATTAAATAAATAATGAGAAATTTTAACTTTGTTTTAATAATTTAAAAAAAGTGAATATATGCAACCAACATTACATTAATACTATTTTTTTTCTTAAATACTAAAAATACTTTTGTTAACAAGAAAATTATATTAAAAATTAAATATTACTAAATAAATAAGTTAATAATTCGGGTAACGTCATTTCCCTCTTGTATTTTTGTACAATTTCTTGTACTTTTAATCTCCTTCTTAAGTGTGGTGGCTGATAACTAAAAAAAAAATAATTAATTTAAGCTTAATTGATTAAAAATTTTACTTTTCTGAATCTAATCGTTTTCTTCTCGACATATTCAAAGCTGTATGTCTCACCAACGGTCCTAAAGACCTCTGATTAATCACCATTCCATCTACTAAAGGTGAAGCTAACCCCACTCGGCTATTTGGCCCTTGAAGATGCACCCGAAGCAATCCAGAAGCCATCAAATGTAATCCAATAACTAAAACGTCGCTTGAACGTGATCCAGTCTCTAAACCAGTTGACATACATCCTACTAAATCAGCTAAAAAAGAATGGGTTAAAAGATATTAAAAAAAAATAAATATGATAATTACTAATTGGTAAATTAAGATGATCCTCAAAACTTTCCAACCAAACAACCATAATTTTCGTGTTTGTGTGAGGATGGAGGCTACATCTAAGTGGTGGTTTTCTTAATGGAACACTTTTTTGGTCTAAATCAAGAGAGAGTGTGCGTTTATCTCTAGCGAGGGGTTCAATGAATGTTTTTTCATTCCACGCTAAAATAATTTTGAATTAAATAAAATTTCGATTACATTAAAACATCGTACATGATAAAGAATTTGCATTAAAACTTGATTGTTCTAAAGATCCACCAGAATTATGAATCGGTTTTATTTGTGATGGTACAACAAAAGCGATTTCTGAGCAAGCGTCGGCCCAATATAAAACTTGATTTTGCCCATCAAAAATTAACGATTTATTATTAGTATCGTTATTATTATTATTTTTGATGTTTTTCCAACTGGTTAAAACATGCCCCGTCCAACCTGGATGCTTATCAACGTCTACGGGCCAACCCAACGATTTTATAAACTCCAAAAAATGCGGGTTTATCCCGCTTAAATCAGTTGCGTTGTTTACGATTTCTTGAGCGGTGGTTTGTTGGGATTTTACGTAGAAAATGTGAACTGTATCGCAAGTTCTCGGACTCATATTATCTAAAGCGAGGAGATCTTTGCAAAAATCCGAGTCGCTACTGTCTAAAGCGATTAAATTTCTCGTTGATTGTTCAGACTAAAATTAACAAAAAAAGTTATTAAAATAATAAAAAATTAAATAATTTAATTAATTACATCGTTGTTGTTGTCTAAATTAAGTAATCCAAAATGCGACAAAAACAATCTTGCGGTTTGAAATTCATGAATTACCGAAGGAGGAACATTTTCGACCGTTTGAAGTAACGTTGAGGCTAAATTGGTTTCAGCTAAACATTGCTTTTCTAATAACCCCGCTAATTTCGTGATATCGGCATTCGCTTCATCATCGAGCAAAACTGATTCTAACGAAGGAATTGATTGATCACTAAAATTAAAATGATTTAATTTTTAAAAGAACGAAGGCTTTTAGTTCTACTTTTAAGTGTGATTCAGTGCAAGATATATTAACACTAGATCTATGTATCTCTAGATCTTATATACAGGTGTCCGGAAATGACGTGTACAACGGAAGACCACAAGTACCTTGACTAAAAATATGATGATTTAACTAAACTTATCTATATACAAAATTGCTTAGTTTAGTCGCTAGAAGGTTTTGACAAGGACACTAGAATCTAACAGGACTGCTACATGCATTGTATTTTTGTAGCCCACTACGGGTTGGTTGTCCGCACTCTACGTCACACTATTTGCCACGCCCTGTTAACTGTCATTGAGTACTATGCGTTTGCTGTGTGTTTTTTGAGATTTAGAGGTTACATGATAGACATTAATACCACTAAAAAAATAAAACTTCAAAAATAATATGAATACGTCTACGATATAACCTCTAAAAATACACAGCAAACGCATAGAGCTGGGCGTGGCAAATGGTATGACGTAGTTTGCGGGCAGGTTGTCACAACAATGAATGTAGCAGTCCTGTTAGATTCTACTGTCCTTGGGTTTTGAAAATTATAGATGAATCAAAGATAAAACACAAAATGAAAAATGCGAATACTGCTGTCAAATTTAGGTGACAAACTGTTTTTGTCTTTATAATTAATTATACCTAGCCAACTATTAAAAAAAAACGTTATTAGTTACCTTGCATCACTCATTCGCGCTTGTGGGGATTTACAAAATATTTTTTGTGGCTAAACCCCAACCAAAATTTTGTAAGAGAGAAAATAGTTTCTAAATTGAAGTAACAATTCAGAAAAATAAAATGGTACTGTTTGTACAGGGGGTTAAAAAGATATGGATGCATAATTTATTGTTACAAAGTTTTTAAACACCCTACAATTTTCGAAATTAGAATTTATTCCACAAATAGCTGTAGTCTACTGATACAAATGCATGACCAAAAAATAAATAAAATCTATCGAGGACTTTTCGACTTATTTAAAAAAAATTTAAAAACCATATCGTTTTTAAAGCCCTCTAGCGGCTAAACTGAGTAATTTTGTATACAGGTGTCTCACGTAACTGGTTCGTTAGAACTTTTTCATCATCCACTATTCGTAGAGATTTGAAATTTTGGTAGCATGGGTTGTTCATTCGGAACTTTCGATCTAAAATATTTTCAAGATGGCCGCCACTTCCGGTCTACCGGAAGTAGACCATAACTTCGCTATTTTAAATGGAATGCTATAGTTTTTATTACACAGTTTAATTGTACGTAAAAAAATAGGTTGACTTTCATGAAAGTTATTGGTACCTAGCGTTTTTCGTTTTCGAGTTATTTTGGTTTTAAACTTTTTTTGGTAAATTTCAACATGCTCTTTAAAACTCCATATCTCAGTCAAAGTTCATTCAAAAAAGATCCACTTTGGCACGATTACTTTTCAGATTATCTTATATTCAGAGTATCTTATACAGGCTGGTCAAAAATTGAATTACTGTTTCTCCATATTCAATGGCGAGAAAGTCGAAAATTTTAAATGGAATGCCCCATATTTTTTTAGGCTATCAGGAAGAGAATTTAATTCTCTACAAATTACCTATACACATTCCCATACCTATTTATTGTAGTTTGCCTCATATTGCGATATTTATTAAAACATGCATGAAATGCAGGTTTTTTTATTAGAAAGGTATGGAATGTTGACAGGTTTTGGTGCATGTTTGTATTATTGTTGCCATTAGCTACATTTGACGACGGGTGTAAGTAATTGAACATCATGGTGAATTATTCCAACGCCGATATTTGAAATTTATTTTGTATTGATGGCGAATGTAATAAACTTTCAACAAAAAATTGATAATGAATTTATTAGTTCTGGATATATCGAGACCAAAAGAAATCGCATATTTCCGGTCACCAGTGATGAAGACAACGAAATAAATAATATAATGTATTTTATTGCATTTCCAAATTCAATTTAATAACAAATTTATATTTTTATTCAAATCTAATTTTTGTCATTAACTTTTTGTTTTAATAGTTTCATTTATTTGATCTTCTGTTTGTTATTTTTGGTAAGTAAAAGCTAGTAAACTAAAAGATTATCAATCGTAGTTAATAGTACAAATAATAATAGAAATAAATTAAACAAAAAACTGTCAAAATGTTATGGCCTTCTAATAAAAATACAAACGGTTTCCTGCATTTTCTGCATGTTTTGATAAATTTACGAATATGAGAGAAACTACAATAAATAAGTATAGGAATGTTTATAGATAAATTGTAGAGAATTAAATTCCCTTTCGTGTAGGCTAATAAAATATAGGGCGTTCCATTTAAAATTTTCGACTTTCTCCCCATTGAATATGGAGAAACGGTAATTCAATTTTTGACCATCCTGTATAAGATACTCTGATACAATATATGACAATCTATTTGAGAGCATCTGACGAGTAATCGTGCCAATTTAGAGCTTTTTTGAATGAACGTTGGCTGGGATATAGGGTTTTAAAGTGCATGGTGAAATTTGCCAAAAAAACCTTAAAATCAAAATAACTCGAAAACGAAAAACGCTAGGTACCAACAACTTTTATCAAAGTCAACATATTTTTTTATGTATAATTGAAAGGTGTAATAAAAACTATAGCTTTCCATTTAAAATAACGAAGTTGTGGTCTACTTCCGGTAGACCGGAAGTGGTGGCCATCTTGAAAATATTTTAGATTGAAAATTTAGAATGAACAACCCATACTACCAAAATTTCAAAACTGTACGAATACTGGAACCTAAAAAAGTTCTAACGAACCAGTTACGTGAGACACCCTGTATAGATAAGTTGAGTTAAATCATCATATTTTTGGTCAAGGTACTTGTGGTCTTGCGTTGTACACGTCATTTCCGGACAGCCTGTATAACACTAGATCTAGAACTAGAAACATTTGTGTTTAGCCGTCTTAAGAGACGTGCGACAAAACCCGAATGTTTCTAGTTCTAGTGTTAGTTTTAGTGCTAGAACTAAAAGTAAAACTAACACCAGATCTAGAAACATTCGGGATTAGCCGTCTTAAGAGACGTGCGGCTAAACCTGAATGTTTCTAGTTCTAGATTTAGTATTAGTTTTAGTGTTGGAACTAAAACTAGAACTAACAATAGACCTAGAACTAGAATCATTCGAGTTTAGCCGTCTTGAAAGACGTGCGGCTAAACCCGAATGTTTGTAGTTCTAAATTTAGTGTTAGTTTTAGTGCTAGAACTAAAAATAAAACTAACACTAGATCTAGAACTAGAAACATTCGGGATTAGCCGTCTTACGAGACGTTCGACTAAACCTAAATGTTTCTAGTTCTAGGTCTAGTGTTAGTTCCAGTTTTAATTGTTATTTAGCGTCAGATTATGGTATATTTTTATAGTGTTAGTTCTAGTTTGATTTAATTTTTAATCTCATTTTTTTTTGTTAACCTTACACTTTGCATTGTGAAATTCTATCAACGCTATCCGGGAAATATTTTTGTTTAATCTCCGGCCGATTAGGAGTTTCGCTCATAACAACGGGCCTCCCTAAATTATTTCCATGATACTTCGTCCCCGATCGATGTCTTGGTAAATGTCTTAATTGCATCGTCCAAGCGTGGCGTCCAAATGGACCTCGAATTAAAATAGTAACCGTTGGTTGAGGATCTTGATCGTTTCCTAACGGTTCTTCCAACAAAGCTAGCATAACCGAGCCTTCAGTAACGAAATATCGAAACTTCTCCACCGCTTTTTCTTGGTTGTTTCCATCACCGAGCCAAGAGTTGCAATGTTGAAGCAAAGATACTTCATCTAAAAGCGACGAAATCGATTCGGGGCCACATTCGCTCGGAAAATACCCGACTTGTTCTAAAATTAGCATCAATAAATTTTCAGCGGCGTCCCTAACGCGCATTGAAACGGGTTTTAATTCTTTTTCTTCTTTCATTTTAACGGGATCGCCCGGTTTTGTTATCGATTTAGTTCCCGATATTCCTAATTCGGCTACGTCTAAAACCGTGGCGAGGCAATCTTTATCTTTCAACAAATACGGGTGTTCTAAAAGCCAAATTGAACAGCAATGGAAAGCCGCAACGATTGTTGAGTGAAGATCTTTGGAATGAGCGGGTGGTGGTCTTGAACATTGATGCACAATGTAGTCGCATAACCATTTAACAGCTCGTTTACACTCTAAAGCATCTATTTAATGTTCGTTAGTATAAATGTGGAGATTAGAAATTAATAATTTATTACCAGAATCTTTGATGTGAATTCGAGCTAATCCGGAAAGTAATTCTAAAGCGGCTAATGAGACGTTTAAATCCGTTTTCCATGTCGATATTAAGCGATGACATACTAAGTAAGTTGCTCTTACGAACATTGCGTGCGCTGAGTCTAAAAGGAAATAAATTTAAGTCATTTTGATACAATCTAGAAAAATTATGACATTTGAAGCATGCATAAATCTTATGAAATGTGAATATACAAAAATAAGCAAGGAAAAAATTGAAATCTAAGAGGACTGCTACATCTTGAGAATACACTGTGTTAATTTTTGTACCCGTCGTGATCATTGCAAGTATGCAACCCAATACGCAAGTCGCGTATTACAATACTATTATTGTGATATTGGTTGCATACTTGTAATGATGAATTAATTAACAGTGTACTTTAAATTAGCAATGAAACAACAACAGCTGATTGAGACTGACAGTTTATGTGACGTTTCATTTAGTGGATTATAAAGATGTAGTAATCCTATTAGATTCTATCATTCTTGGGAAGAAACACCAAAAACCTACCAATTTGGACATCTGCTAAATCAGCGGGGAGTCCCATTGAATCGGAGTTGTGCGAGTGCCGATCAAAACTGCTGGCAGCGCTCACTGTGCTAGCAGTGTCCGATACTACGCAAGCAACGAATTATAAATCACAAAAATAAAATAAAAAAGCGATGCAAAACGACAAAATTGCAATAATAACATTAAAAAATAGGATGATGATACAAAAAAGGGTTAAACATGACAAAAAAAGAACATTTTTTACCCGAAGCTAAAAGATTTGACGAAGTTTCCGTTGACGGTTGAGTAATCGACTCGATAGTTTCGAAAATAGCGGAATCTTGAACGCAAAGAAAAAGCCCCCCTAATAACATGTGAGTGTTATGTGGATCAGTTTCTAAATAAAGTGCGTTCATTATCAAATTCATTAATTGTGGTTTTAACTCAGAAAATGTTGTGGAACGTTCTGATCCTAAAAAAAATTATTTATAATAATTAAATAGATAAAAATTATATAAATTAATATAAATTAACCCGTATTTATAAGCGGCTTAATTGTAGCGTTTTGAAAATGTAACGGTAAAACCAAAATTGATAACAAAATGTGAATCGACGATCTTCTTAATTCTACTTTCGCAACGTTGGGATTTAACTTAATATCTTTATCCGCTAAAACAATTTCCAAAGCGCGAATAAACGGCGATAACAAGCTTCGAATTCCATCTAAATCCACTCGAAACAAATCCGCCGAATTCATTAAAATCGCCACCATGCATTCGCCACATTCGTGATTCGTAGTTACTTTTAATCCGTGCTGAATCGCCAAATAAAATCGGGCTAAATAAACCGGTAATAACTCCTCCCCCGTTTTCTTCGAACACATTATTTTACATAAAGTTCCCAAAGCTTCAGCACGACCACTTTCATATTTATCGATCGTTATCGCCAATGGGAGATCCGGAATTTCGGATAATGAATCCGGTTTAGTTTCCATTATTATTGAATTTGGTCGTTTATTTATTTCTGAAGATGAACCTAAAATAATTAAATTGTAATGCGATACGAACGCCATCTAGTATGAATATTCGAATTATGTAGTTTGAAAATTTAATAAAAGATGGCGCTAACAAATTAAATTATTTACGTGAATTTAAATCGGTTCCAATAAAAGCAGCTTGGAAAAGCCATTCTCCAAATAAGTGTAAAATGCTGTTGCATTTTGGTCGACCTGGGGCTAACTTCACTTTTGATTCATAAACCAGCGAATTTAAAGCTAAAAATATTATAAAAAGGTGATGATAACAATAAAATTAAAAAAATTACATGATATGCTTGACGTTGATGATGGTCCCGAGCTTGGAACGGAATTTGGAATGCTTGTAGAAGCTCGACTGCTTGTTAATCCGATTAAAGATGTTTTTGGAATACCTAATTAATAATATTAGAAATAATTTATTTCCTCTCACCAAGTTACAAAGAAAACGTCTCGATTATGTGATTATTTAAGAAGATAATAAAGTGTATCCAAACCCTTAGAAATAGAAGAAGGAGCAACACTGAAACTTTTTGCAATACGACGTTGTGCTGGGGGTGTAGGAGTGTGTGCAGAAGGTGTACTTGCTTGTATTGAAAAATCCTTATTTTTGTCTATACCAACACCCATCACCATCGCCTCCCAATAAACCGGCTGTGCTATACCTATATCAACATTAAATCAAATCAATTCAAAAAAAACCACCTAATAACAACAGAAAACCCCAACAAAAAAACCTTCAAAATCAATTTAATACCTAAAAAAGCATCAACTTGTCCTGCAAGTCCTTTCATTGCTTTCAAAAAGATTAATGGCAAAACTTGTAGTGACGAATGATGACACGGATCCACAACGCCGCTACTAATCGCAAAATGAAGAAATGTAGGGGTGCGGCTAATCACTTCAGGCTTTGTTAAACAAACTGGATTTCCAATGGTGTTTAAAAATCGATACCAACTTTGCGCAATACAATCATTGGTCATATTTGGCGGAATTAAATCATCTTCGCCTAAAATTTTTTTATAATTATTATATTTAAAACTTATTTTATAACCTCACCAATTTTTAACTCAGGAAATGTTGGTCCATACATAAAAATTAACAACTTAGATGTTAAAGCCAAATTAATCCTATTCCATTGCTCGATCAAAGCAATTCGATGTCTCCAATTCATACAACTCTCACGTAATGTTTTCCAAAGCGGAGGTGAAGGGAAACAATTAGCGCAAGCCAATAACCAAATTTCAAATAAAACGCTAAGTACCCGCTCGCATAATTGATCAGCAACGTCGTCCTTTACGGTTGGTGGGGCTAATAAAGTGTTGTTTATTGCCAGTAAAAATAGAAGGAGAGCTTCCCAAGTGGTGCTTTCTAAAATTCGAGATTCGTGAGCGACTTGTTGTAGGGTTCTTAAAACTCGGTGGCATAAAACTGCTTGTTTATTTATTGTATCGATTCCTAAAAAAATTTAAATGAAACATGTTAATATATATTTAGTTTTTAAGAGTAAGTTTAATGTTACTGTACCAATATCCTGATATATAAATGGCCAGTCTTGTGAAAAAAGAACACGAAATGAAGAGAATTTTTGAAATTTTTTAAAAAATTAACTCACCTTCTGGTGTTCGTGGTATAAACAAGTAATAAAAATGTTTAATAATCTTCCTTGCATATAAATTTGGATCATCCAATATCGGTTTGGGTACACAAACTTTAACATTTGGTAATAACCCAGATAACCATTCACAATAAACATTCACACAATCTTTAATTGTGTCATGTTCGCTTAAAGGTAAACTTAATCCATAACAAATAGCTTCCATACACCATTGGACCTCGCGGTCCGTTTGCAAAGGACATGGTTCCGCCGGTTGGGTTAACCCCAAATTACTCGCCAAAGGACGTACGATATTAATCGTAACTTCTTTGCTTGCTGATGAGGTGAATTTTTGTAAAACACTGCGACTTTCGTCTGAATCTGAATGCTCCAACAGTGGGTTTAGGGAAGTCCATTCTGAATACATCCCTCTATTTTGTGTGTTATCCTATTATTATCAATTTTAATTAACAACAATTAAGATTAAGATTATAATTTACCTTTAAGTTGACCCTATTAAATATACCCAAATTCATGTGTAGATCGTTTATAAACACTAAAGTGTTTTCCAGTTTTTAAATAATTAAAGTTTATTGCATTTTAATACATAAAAATCCCTTTATTGATGATCTGTCATTTAACTGTCAGCTGTCATTTCATTTGATATAAATAATTTTTCTAAAATATATTTCTCTTTAATTAATCAAATTTAATTAATTTAAAACTCTTTAATATCTGTAAGTATTATGATAATAATTAGATATAATCTAATTAATTTAATCACACATGAAATACACGTTTGAATTTATTAGTGTAGGCAACCAATTTTACGCATATCCGGCATTGAATATGTTTTGATAGGTATTTGGCCTTCAACTCAAGTAAGATTATAAAATTTTCATTTTTTTAGTGTTATCGTGATTTTTTAAGTATTCGCCGGTTAGATTTAACGTCCACTTGGTGCGATCGCTAACCTGAAATGTCTTCAAAAGTTATGAAATTGAATAATGGGCGTGAAATTCCAATTATTGGATTGGGAACTTACAAGGTAATAAATATTAAAGTAACGAAATGATGCTAAAGTAAAATTAAAACATTTGTAGTCCCCAGCCGGGGAAGTAGAACGTGCCGTAAGAGACGCAATAGACGCTGGTTATCGACATTTTGATTGCGCCTGGTTGTACGGAAATGAATCAGAAATTGGAGATGCTTTGTCAGAAAAAATAAAAAATGGAAGCGTTAAAAGAGAAGATCTTTTCATTACAAGCAAAGTAACTAAATTATTTTTAATAAAATGATTAAATTAAAAGTGACATTTTTTTAGTTATGGTGCAATTATCATAAAAAAGAATTAGTTGTTCCTATGATTAAGGAAACATTGGCTAATTTAAAATTGGATTACATTGATTTGTATTTGATTCATTGGCCATTTGGATTTAAGGTTGACTTTTTTATTAAGTTACTCCAAATTACAAAAAAATTAAAAAACAATTCTATTTTTATTTAGGAAGATGCAGGAATGTGGCCAATGGGTGAAGATTCAGCTTATTCAGACGTCGATTACCTAGAAACATGGGAAGGAATGGAGGAATGTGTAAAATTGGGTTTGGCAAAAAGCATTGGTGTCTCGAATTTTAACAGCCAGCAATTAACCCGCTTATTAGAAAAGTGCAAAATTAAACCGGTCGTTAATCAAATTGAAGTAAACCCGAATATCAACCAAAAGAAAATGATTAAATTCTGCGCCGATCGTGATATTGTTGTCACTGGTTATTGCCCCATGGGACGTGTTGAAAACGATGGAATTCCCGGATTTCCAACTCCAACGATTAAGGATCCTAAAGTTATTGAAATGGCGGAGAAATATGAAAAAACTCCTGGACAAATTATTTTGAATTATCTCGTTTCTTTGGGAATCGCTGTTGTCCCGAAATCCGTTACAAGAACTAGAATCATCGAAAATATTGATATTTTTGATTTCAAATTGGATGATGAAGATACCAAGTACTTGGATTCTTGTAATAAGAACCAACGCATTTGCTTTTTTGAGTGCTTCAAAACTCACCCCCATTTCCCTTTCAACATTGAGTATTAATGAAAAATTACTACTTAATTAGGCAGCTATTTTTGCAACTCAGTTGTTTTTTTTTAAATAATTGTTTAACAATATATAAATAAAAATTGCAAAGATTAAAATGTTGTTATTATTTTTGGTAGATAGGCAACACAAGCATCACCAATATGAAGTTGGTGACATGAGCAAATTTGACATTTGAGGTTCTGTTATCGATTCGCACCCCAAATCTCAACTTCTTTCAGATTTAATCATTTAATAATCAAAAAGTAAGTATGTTAGGTGAAAATTATCGTGTATAATTGTTTATTCATTAATTATTTAAAAAGGAAATCATAAAAAGATTGTTTTAAAATGTGTGAGGTTATGTGTTATGTAATCTAATTCGATTTAATCCGTTTCAGCAAAAATGGGGCACGGATTCGGGGAATTATACAAACTCCGCGGAATTATTATGTACAGATTGTCTCCATTCGAGCAAAAAGCTTTTGCTAAATTGGTTTCCCATGCTATACCAAACACGGTTAGAAGGATTACCGATTCTGTTTTGTATGTTGTTCCTCGTAAGTAATTTTGGGTAAAGTTTTTTGAATAATTTTATTAATGCGTGTTTTTTTAGCTTTCGTTCTTGGATATTTGGTTTATAACTATGGCGAAACTACACATGAAAAATTAAAGCGTAAAAATCCAGCCGATTATGAAAATGATCAATAAATAAATTATATCTTTTTAATTTGTAGAAAATAAATAAAAATTTATTAGGAATTAAATTTTTTATTGTTTTTAGAACTTTAATTTGTGATATAAAGCGAAAATGATTAAAATTAGTTTGTGTATTGATAAATGAACGTATCCTAATAATAATAAAAGTGAATAAAAAGATTTGAAAAAGTGATTAGTATTGAGATTATTAATTAATTAATCTGATCAATTAATTAAATATTTTTAATTTTTCCACAAAACAATTAAATTTATAAATAATATTTAGGAACGTACCCTCATTTAATAAGCAACCAATCAGAATCCACCATTTTTTTTTAAACGTCAAATGCCATGCGTCAAACTTTTCAAATCTTAACCGTTTTTACATCGTTTTGATTTGACCGAATAGTCAACGAGTTGTGTTAGTTTTTGTGTTTGTACCCCATTTTTATCGTTATCAATGCGGAAAAGCTAAAGTAATTCATGATGGAACCGTCAAAGGAACCAATCAACGTACGAACGAAGCGAATAATAAACCACATAATAGGAAATGCTTCAAGTGTAGAAGAAACGTTATCATTATTAACTAGAGAAGGATTACTGGACGTTTTAGATGTATTATACGAAGAATGCAGCTCGGAATGCCTCAAAAACGTGGATAAAAACATAAAAAAATTCGTTGAGCGGCATAAAAAAACGATTGGGGTTTTGAAAAAGTTACGGGTGAATTTATCCGATTTCGAAATAAAGAATGTTATCGGAAGGGGACATTTTGGAGAGGTGCATGTTGTTAAGGAGAAACAAACGGGACATATTTACGCTATGAAAACGATTAAAAAGCATAAAAGTTTGGAAGCAAAAAATGCCAGTTTTGAGGTGGAACGGAATATCATGGCTTTTTCAACGTCACCGTGGTTAACTTCTTTACAATACGCTTTTCAAGATGTCGCTAATTTATATTTTATTATGGATTATCACCCCGGAGGCGACTTAGTTGGACTTTTATATAGACAAGGAGGAACATTACCAGAAAGTGCTGCTCGATTTTATATTGCAGAATTGGTTAGATTAAATTTAAGTTAAAATATTTAATAGTAATTTAATAATTTTTTAGGTTGTTGCTTTGAATGATTTGCACGAAATGGGTTATGTTCATCGTGATATAAAACCAGATAATATCCTTTTAGATCGATGTGGTCATGTTAAAATAGTCGATTTTGGATCAGCTGCTTTGTTGAATTCTAAAGGGGAAATGTCTGATGTTGTCCCTGTTGGAACTCCGGATTATATAGCCCCAGAAATTCTTCAATCGTTTGATAATCGAACTAAAAAAACTTATGGAGTAATATTAATCATTTTAAAAATGTTTTTGTGTTAATTTTTGGTTATTTTTTTATAGATTTCTTGTGATTATTGGTCTTTAGGGGTGCTAGGTTATGAATTAACTGTGGGAAATACTCCATTTAATGGCTCAAACACCACTGTGACATATTCTAAGATAATGAATCATCAAACAAGCTTAAAATTCCCCCCTGATATAATTTTAACACAAGGTTTTGTTGCGTTAATTCGAAATTTATTGACGGATGAAGACCATAGGTTGACATACGAAGGGATTTTAAAACACCCGGTGTACAAAAACGTCGATTTTGATTCATTGCGAGACCAAGTTCCTCCTTATGTTCCAAAAATTTCTTCTATCGATGATACAAGTAACTTTATTGATGTTGCAAAAACAAAAAATGAGCCTCATATTGATCATTTTAAGAAGAAAACTCAATTTTCTGGGAGAAATTTGCCTTTTATTGGATTTACTTATACTCCATTTGTTGAAATTAACAATGAAGGTTTGACAAAATGTATTGTTAAAGATGAAACAATCACAACTTTAAAAAAGGAGATTGAAAAGTTGCAAAAAAAATTAATGCAAGTTTCTGATTTTGGAGAAAAAGAGAATTTTGAACGAAAATTGGACGAAAAATCGAGGAAGTTAGAAAGTATCGAGAATGTTAGGAAAAATTTAGAAAAAGATTTAGCTAAAACCATCGCAGAATGTTCAGCTTTAAAGCGGAAATTAGATTTAGAGCGAAAAGATCGAAGTGAAGTCGAAAAAAAGGCGTTGGAGTTAATCAAAGCTTCGAAATTGAAATGGGAAGCGGCGGAAAAACCGAAAATGGAAGCTTTAGAAGTGGAGCTAATAAATTATAAAGAAAAAGTTGCAAAAATTGAGATTGAAAATAAAAATTTAATCGATCAAATCAACCAGGTGGCTTTATTAGAAAATAAACACAAAGTTTCTTTAGAAAAAGTCGAAAATTTACGACGAAGTAGCGTGGTCGGGTTAGAAACAAGACTTCAAAAATTAACGCATCAAAGCCAAAAGGAATTAAACGAATTACAAACAAAATTAATGGAAGAAAATCAAAAAAATATCGATTACGAAAAACTTTTGAACGAATTAAAAGCGATTAACGCCCAACTTAAAAAAGAAATTAATAAAAAATCTGAGGAATTAGAAGAGTTTAAGAAAAAAATCGTTGAATCTAACCTAAAAGACCAAAAAGTTGCTAATAAAGAGTTTCAAAAATCCATCGATGGTTATAAAAAAGAAATTGAAATTTATAAAGATGAAATAAACGAATTAAAATCAAAAATTATTAATAAAGATTTTCTTGAAAGCAAAATTAAATTTGAGCAGGAAATTAACGAAAAATTCAAACAACAAATTGAGGTTAAATATTTTTTTTGACATTTCTTTTGACGTTTATTATGACATGACGTTTAATTATAATTTTATTTTTTAGGATTTAAAAACTGAGTTAAACTTTGAAAAACTTTCTAATAAGTCATCCCAAGAAGAAGTTAACTCTAATTTTAAGTTACAAATTCGTGCTTTAGAAGTAAAAATAAGAGACGCATTAGCAGAAAAAAACGACTTTCATTGTAAATTAAAAGAAGCCGAATCAAAAGAGGAAGATCATAAAAGAAAAATTAATACTTTGGAGAATTTAGTGAAAGAACTTGAACGCGGAGTTGGCGAACTCGAGGTTACTTCTGATAAACAAAGCGTTTTGCAAAAACAAGTTGAGCGATTAGAACAACAATTAGTTGAGGTTAAAAGCTAATAATGATGATTAATTTTAAAATAATTGTTTTTTTTTTTAGACTCACGAACAATTTGCGTTAGAAAAACAAGAACTATCTCAATTAAAATCGAAATATTGGCGGATGGAACGTGAATTACAAAACTCAAATTTAGACAAAAAAATTATTGAGCGCGATTATAAAGAGGCGAAAGACCAAAATAACCAATTAACTCAAGATATCGAAGCGATGATTTTAAAAATAAACGAAACTAAAACCACGCATGAAAGAGCCCTTTTAGAATTGAATGGTTTAAACGAAAATCTCACCACGGAAGTTATTAAATTATCAGAATTGGTTAAGAATTTAGAAGATAAGTTAAGCCTTCAACGTGAAAAATCGGATGGCGAAAAGGATGCATTTAACGATTTAAGAGCAGATTTACGGAAACGAGATGAAGAAATCCGACAATTAAGAAATGAAATAAGTGAGGTAAAAAGCGAAAAGAACCAATGGGAACGTCGCGTTTTTGAAATTACTAAGCAAAATGAATTTATTAATGTTAAAATTAATAAAGAATGTAATGAAAAGAACATTTTAATGAAGGAAATTGAAGATTTAAAACGTAAAATGAATAATTCACAACAAGTAAGTTAAAATTCTGTCTAAATCTCTCTAAAAAAATAATCTAAAAATTGAACGCATGTGGCGCCATCTGTTGGAAATATTTTGAAGTTATTCAGCTAAGAACCGAACCACTAGAATACAGGTTGGATTGGGTATATATATATAAAAGCTCCAACCACAAAATAGCAATAGCAAATAGAACGTTCCGACTGGCTGGGAATTCCTGATGCAATTACACCACATTTGAATTTCATTTCATCATATGACATGTGAGATTGCATCTGACGAGCTTCCAACCAGTTATTTATAATGTTAGTTGAAACAAAGCTATATGTGTCAATTATAATCTAATTATTTAATCATATCATTATTACTTTATTAACCGAAAAATCACTTTAAAGTGACGTTTCATTTGTCAATCTGAAGAAACTTCAACTTTTAAAATTTTTTTAGCAGCAAATTTAAAAATATAACACAAATTGGAATCTATACTTTTTAAATTAAAAAAATGATACTGGTAATAATTGTTATTGCTGTCTCTCATCATTCCCACTATTAATAACAAAATTGTTAGTTTAATTAAATTATTTCAGTATAGACGCTAATGCCCTCTCGCGGTGGGATTATCTAAGATATCTGTGGCGCCTGTCAAATTTTTGTAAAGTTGGTAATACCAACAGAAAATTTAACCTTGAATTTTGACAAGATTATAGAAAAAAACTAATTTTTTTAATTTTTAGAATCAAAATGCTCTTCGTGAAGCATGTTCATTATTAGAAACTCAATTAGAAGAATTTGAACATTTATATCAAGTATCAGAATCAAAACGAACATCATTAATAAGTGAAGTTGAAAAATTAAATTTTGAATTATCAACAACGAGAAATGAAGTACAAGAAGCAAAGCGATCAATAAATGAGGAAAAATCACTTCGTCTTTTAGCCGAGACAAAATCGAAAAAGTTAATTGAAGATGTAGAAAGTTTACAACAAGAACTTGAAAGTTATCGAGAAGAATGCGCCGATTTTAAAACGTATTCTTCCGGCTTAGCGAATGAATTAACCGCAGCCGAACAAAAAATAACCGATTTAGACGTTGAATTAAAAGATTGTAAGCGACGATTAGAAAATTATCTGGCAGAAAATGTAATAATCAAAGAAGAAAATTCGAGTCAATTAACTTATTTAAACAACTTAAAAGAATCTAACTTTAAATTATCCCAAAACTTAAACGAATACAAAACCGTTAATAAAACAGTAATCGATCAAGTTAATTCTTTAGAAACGTTATTATCAGAAAAAGAAATGTGTTTCAAAGAACGACAAATCAAAATGGACGCGACTATTAATCAACAAATTAAATTAATCGACTATTTGCAATCAAAAATTGAAGAAAAAAAGAAAAAAACTTTAACAGATAAACTTTTTGGTGGATCGAAAAAGGAAAATCACCCCCCTCCATCAATCGTATTAAATTATAAAGATTTAGAACACCAATTATTTAAAGAAAAAGAAACGAACAAAAATCTTCAAGAAGAAATTATTAAATTAAAATCGATAACCTTACCGAATTTAAATTTAAACAAACTCGATTCTAAAATGAACATTAAAGACCAAAAAAGACTTTTAGAACAAATCGTTCAATCTCCGCAAAAAAACGACCTTTATCGCCAAAATTCCGTTCAACGAATGCAACATAACATCCCACACCGATTCGAATCGAAATTGTGCACGAAATCCATCGTTTGCGGCCAATGCGGTGATTCAGTACAAATTGGACGCGGATCGAGTGTTTGTAGAGAATGCTTGATTCAAGTTCATAGCGGTTGTGCGAAAAATGTACCTAGAACTTGCGGTTTACCTCAAGGTTTTGCTAAACATTATTCAGACAGTTTGAGTCGGTTGAAAACGAAGAAAGAATTTGATGGGAATAATGAACAAATTGAGGATGAGGATGATGGAAATGTTGTTTTTGATGTTGAAGGATATGTTAAAGTTCCTGTGTAAGTAATATTTGTTTAAAAAATTAATTTTAAATTAATTATTTCAAATTATTAATGTCAAATCATTAATGTCAAATAGTACTTGTTTCTGATAACAGATGGCGATACAATTTTTTTCATAAAATTTTTTTCTAATGAATTTATTGATACAGATACACAAAATTAAATTGTTTTAAGCGTTATATTGTTGTATATTTATATTAAATTAAAGCTAGAACCGACATTAACCCAAGAATTAGAAATATTTGGGTTAGCTGTGAGTCTGTAAACCCGAATGTTTTTAATTCTAAGTCTAGTATTAGTTTTCGTGTTGGAACTAAAACTAGAACTAACACTAGACCTAGAATTTTCTAGTTCTAGGTCTAGTGTAAGTTCTAGTTTTATATCTGATTCAGTGCTAGATTGTTGTATTTTTATTGGATTAAAAGTAAACCTACAACTAAAGACAAGTTTCTAGTCTGGGTTTAGTATTAGTTCTAATGACAGTGCTAATCTTATTGTTAGTTCCAGTTTTAATTGTTATTCAGCATTAAATAATTGTATATTTTTATTATTTAACATTTCCAGCTGTCATTAATTTTCTTTATGTCAATTTACCTAATTTACAAAATCACTAAAATCGTAATATTTCAAATGTCAATGTCAAATGTCACATTTAATTTTTTAAATTCATTTTTAAAAAATTATTATTTTTTAGTAAATCGTCATGGGAAAAATACTACGCGTGTCTCACATCAAAATCATTAACAATTTACGAAGAACCCCCGAATACTACAACAACGAAAATCGTCGATAAACTCAAATTAAATCAACTTGGAACGCATGGAAAAATTACTTTAGAACCTGTTGAATCCGAAATTGGAATTGCCGTAGCGAATAGCGATCTTCCGTTTGTTATTAAAGTGGAAATTTCGCCCGAAACAACCTGTTGGCCCCCGAAAAATATTATTTTTATGACTTTAAGTGTTGAAGATAAAGATAAATGGTATAAAGCTCTCGATAGATTGTTTAATTCGCCGAATGGAAAATATGATGGAGATGTTGTTTTAAAATTACAAGAAGAAATCGAAGTGAATTGTTTAATTGAATTTGGGGATGATTTGAAATTGTTAGGAAGTGATAGAGGGTTATTTTCGTTTAAAAATGAAACTCTTTCTCATATTTCCGGTCCGTTACACATTCAGCAAATAACATCCATCCAAAAATTGAATTTAATCGTGATGATTGTCGATGAAAATCGAGTTTTAATCACTTGCGATTATAAACACGTTCAAAATTTATCACTTTGCGCACCATGTTCAAAACCAACGCTTCAATTCAACACTATTAATGTAAAAAATATCGACGGTTTTCATATTTTTAGTGTTTCAACGAAGAAGGATTTGTTATGCGCCGCAACAGCGCGTCAAATAATCATAATGTTTTACGATTCAAAATTAAGAGAATACATTCCAGAAAGGATTTTAGACACGGCCGAACCAACAAGTTGCATTTTATTCACCGAGTACACCGTTTTAATTGGAGCCGATAAATTTTTCGAAATCGATTTAAATAATTACGAAGTTGATGAGTTTTTAGATAGTTCCGATAGGAATTTAAGCTTGGCCATTGGTTGTTATAAATTAAAATCGTTTCCTTTGGCTATTTTAGAAGTTTCGAAACATCCCGTGGAATATTTGTTGTGTTACAACGAATTCGCAATTTTTGTGGACGAGTATGGAAGGAATAGTCGAAAAAATGAGATCAAATTTAACCATTTGCCGAGTGCTTTTTATTTTATCAGTAATCATTTATTCGTGGTACAATTTTGTGCTGTTGATATCATTAAAATTTCTTCAACGAGTAATCAAGACGATGATAACGTTGATTTTGAGCGGGTTAAAATCGATTTAGCTAGTCCGAAATATTTAGGGTCATCAAAGAAAGGGATTTACGTTAAAAATCAAAAATTGATTAAATTAATTTGTTGTAAAGACGATTTAGTGTCAGATTTGGATGCTTCAACTGATAGTGATGCGTTTAGTTTTACAAGTTCGATGGTGAGAAGCCTCGATGGGCATTTAAGTGATGATGAGGACCGTTTTGAGAATGAAAAGAGGGTTAAATTCGCACGAACGACCGATTTATAAATCATTTTCTATTTTATAACCACTTTTAACTTTTATTATGATAATGTACTTGTATTATTTATGATTTTAAGTTTATATTATACAAGATGTACTTAAATAACTGAAAACTAAATTGTAAAAAGACTTGCCGTTGATGATTTTAGTATTATATTTTTTGAAATAAATAAATAACTTATTTGTAGAAAAACATAACCTCAATTCAGTTGACAGTTAATTTTTAGTTGTTCATAATTCTCTTAAATCTTAATATTCATTCTAAACCATCCCAAAACGGGAAGATTGGTGTCAGCTATATCTAATTTATTAGATTCAGGAAAATTTTGAACGATTTTAGCCTTTGAAAATTGGATTTAAATTTGTAAGACTCAAACTTCATTTCTACTTGGAGAATCTTGAATCCTGCAATGGACGGCTGAAATTGAAACATATACTCATCAAATACGAAGTTTCATCCTAATTAGTGAAGAATTAAAGAAGATATGAATAAAATAAATTTTGGAATAATGAGTAGTTAGTAAGAAATCCGCTAGATGGCGTTTTCGAAATTTAGAAGGAATTCAGTTGACAGTTAATTTTTAGTTGCTCATAATTCTCTTAAATCTTAATATTCGTTCTAAACCATCCCAAAACGGGAAGATCAGTGTCGGCTACATCTAATTAAATAGATTCCCGAAGATTTTGAACGATTTTGGCCTTTGAATATTGGATTTAAATTTGTAAGATTCAAACATTATTTTTAGTTGGAGAATCTTGAAACCTGCAATGGACGGCTGAAATTGAAACATATACTCATCAAATACGAAGTTTCATCCTGATTAGTGAAGAATTAAAGAAGATATGAATAAAATAAGTTTTGGAATTTTGAGTAGTTAGTAAGAAATCCGCTAGATGGCGTTTTCGAAATTTAGAAGGAATTCAGTTGACAGTTAATTTTTAGTTACTCATAATTCCCTTAAATCTTAATGTTCATTCTAAACCATCCCAAAACGGGAAGATCAGTGTCGGCTACATCTAATTTATTAGATACCGGAAGATTTTAAACGATTTTGGCCTTTGAAAATTGGATTTAAATTTGTAAGATTCAAACTTCATTTCTGGTTGGAGAATCTTGAAACCTCCAATGGACGACTGAAATAGAAACGTATATTCATCAAATACGAAGTTTCATCCTAATTAGTGGCGAATTAAAGAAGATACGAATAAAATAAGTTTTGGAATTTTGAGTAGTTAGTAAGAAATCCGCCAGATGGCGTTCTAAATTTAGAAGCAATTCAGTTGACAGTTAATTTTTAGTTGCTCATAATTCTCTTAAATCTTAATATTCATTCTAAACCATCCCAAAACGAGAAGATCAGTGTCGGCTACATCTAATTAAATAGATTCCCGAAGATTTTGAACGATTTTGGCCTTTGAATATTGGATTTAAATTTGTAAGATTCAAACATCATTTCTAGTTGGAGAATCTTGAAACTTCCAATGGACGACTGAAATAGAAACATATATTCATCAAATACGAAGTTTCATCCTAATTAGTGAAGAATTAAAGAAGATATGAATAAAATAAGTTTTGGAATAATGAGTAGTTAGTAAGAAATCCGCTAGATGGCGTTTTCGAAATTTAGAAGGAATTCAGTTGACAGTTAATTTTTAGATGTTCATAATTCTCTTAAATCTGAATATTCATTCTAAACCATCCCAAAACGGGAAGATCAGTGTCGGCTACATCTAATTTATTAGATTTCGGAAAATTTTGAACGATTTTGGCCTTTGAATATTGGATTTAAATTTTTAAGACTCAAACATCATTTTTAGTTGGAGAATCTTGAAACTTCCAATGGACAATTGAAATAGAAACATATATTCATCAAATACGAAGTTTCATCCTAATTAGTGAAGAATTAAAGAAGATATGAATAAAATAAGTTTTGGAATTTTGAATAGTTAGTAAGAAATCCGCTAGATGGCGTTCTCGAAATTTAGAAGCAATTCAGTTGAGTTAATTTTTAGTTGTTCTTTGGACACCATATCCAAAGAAGACCGATTGAAGAATAGTTATCGAGGTATGTTCCTAATTTTAATTTTTTTAGTTTAATTGAGAATCTACTGTCATTCAAAACGTCATTGGTACTAGCAACTTGGTCAGACGAACAGCCAAGAAATTAATGGTCTGTTCCAAATAATTGATTTTATTATGATTATTTCCATTGCCATCACATACAATATTACTCATAAAAAGTGCATCTTTGAGATTCACAAAAACGAATGGTTTTCTCATAATAAAAAGATACTTTAGATACCACACCAAAATAAAGTTTAAAAAGAAAAAGCTTTGATAGTGTTAGATTAACTCACTAAAACTTTATTAAATACCATTATATAATATTAAATAACCTTAAAATTAATAATTTACCAAAAAAGAATGAAAATTATTTTTAGTCAATATTTATATAATACTATTAGCTCTATGAGTGCAAAAAAATAATTATTCACCAATATGAGCAATTTTTCTTGTAACATACGCCCCTAAAATTACAACAATACACTATTTAACAAATCAAAATCTAAATTGGTTTATATAGAAGAGTAGTAACATATTTTTTACGGTATCTATGTGTTGCACTCAACACCATAACCCCTTCCTTTATTGATAAAGCATACAAATGATTCAACATTACATGGTTGGGTTCTGGAAGCAATGTTGGTTCGCACTAAAACAATAAATAATTAAAATGGTTTATTAAAAACCAATAAAATCTTACCGATAAAGGTGTATCTTTATTTAAAATAACTTGCAATAAATGTGGGGGTAAAATAGGGGGCCCCGCGGCTTTTTGCCACGGATTATTTGGGGGAATAATCTGTGAATACTCCTCTTGTAAATCAGTTGGGGGAGCTTCCCCATCTTTAGCTAAAGCTTGAAATACTTCAAAATCTGATTTTTTCACCACTATCATATTGTTTTTAGTCCCTTCGTTTTCAATTAAGTTCGTGGATGGATCGTTTTTCCATTCCCCATCCACATAAAATTTGTACTGGTGCTCGCCTTCCGGGAGATCAATAATCGTCACGAAATCCCCATGACTTTTCACCATAGGAATCGTTTTCCAATCAGAAAACGTTCCACTAACTTGCACATCTTTTCCACCACCCTCCCAACGAAAAACGGTTGGGGTTTTATCCGATATATTAATTTTAGTTCCTTCAGAGACTGTGTTAGACCTAGGTCTTGAAGGATCGGTATCTTGCGAGGCGGGTTTTGTGAAATATGGCTCATCATCGTCTTGCGAACCTTGACTTATAATTTTTGCATCTACGTTTCTATTAAACGTGAATACTTGGCCATCTCTACCAGGTGAAGGTGGGGCTATTTCCCCGGTTCTAGTTCTATCGCGGGGTACACCACCACTTCCAGCGTTTCCCATTGTTTATTTATTATGGCAAATAAATAATTTTTACATAATAAATGAAACTTGAGGAATTAATTATTTTTTTTCTACAATATAAATGAAATGAAATTGTCAAAAAATTTGACACTTTGTTAGTACCAACACAAAATTATACTATTTCTAAAAAAATTAATTAATTAAAAATGAAATGTATAATTTATAATAACAATAAAAAAATATATAAACATTAAAGTTACATAACAAAAAAATTTCGTGTTAATGTAAAATTAGGTTAAATCAATTTTGGTTGGCACCACTTTTAACACCAAAACATAACCTAAAAATGAATTCATTAAATAATTTTATTTATTTATAATAATAAATTGAACGAAATTATAAATCCATTTATTTAATAAAATATAATACAAAATCAAATTTGAATTAATAAAAAATTAATAATAACCAACTCTATCTCTCGGTATCAATCGCAATTCAGATCCGTGTTTTAAAAACACATTTCCTAAAACAATTTAAATAATAATCAAAATATTTTTAAATTATTATAAACAAACCTGCCGTTTGTTGGGGATTTATCCCAACACCATCGTCGGTGATAATAGCAGATGTGGCTGGGGGAACTTTAAATTCTTCAGCAGCAAACTTTAGAACTGCCGTGAATGGAGTAGCTTCAGGAACACTTAAACTAAAAAAAAAAATAAATAAAAACAAATTTAAAAAAGTCTATATTAATTAACAATCATGTAAGACATTATTCCATAATTTTAAATTATTACTATTTAATACTTTTTTAATAAGATTGTTTCTAATTTCTTTTCCAATACTACACAAAGTTCGAAATAACGCAACAATATTTAAATATTTAATTTCAAAAGATGATTTTTTAGGGTCAATAACCCACTTTTTATGTTTGAAAATCATAAATGTTCCAAGGTGAATTAAAAAGTTTATGATTAAGTAAATAAACTCCTCGTGGTGTTTACACACAATTAATAAATCAGTTTGATTTAAATTATTACATATAAAAAACCATATTTTATGATTTACTTCATTATAATCAATTAATTTTTCTTTAATTTCAAAAAAAACGATATCTTGTACACATCGATTATTACTTTCAATAGATAATAATTTAAATACAATTTTTAAAGCATTTTCATCACTTTCTAGAAGTGTTTTCACACAAATTTTGATGTTATAAAAATCTTCATTTGATGCATATTCGAAGAATTCACCAAATAAAGCTGATGATTCTAATTCAATCCGATCGATTTTAAAAGTTAAATGGTTAATTAATTTTAATGAATTATTATTTATAATCGTTTTAGTTAATAAATTTTTGAATCTATCTTGGGGAAACATCGATGTATAAATTCTAAAAGCTGCATCGGTATTATTAAAAGAAACCAATTGATACATTAAAATTATTTCCAATAACTTATCACAGCTTTTTTCTAAATCACCACAACAAGTTTTTATTTCTGATTCTTTTAAAATCAAATCGAATTTTTCTTGTAAACATTTCGTTTTTAAAATTGAAACGCTTTTTTCTAAAAATAATCCCAATTTAAACGCATTCTTTAATTCCTCGTTTTGCGCCGTTTTTAACCAGGTTTTAGTTTCGCATAAATTCACAAATAATTTTACACTCGATAATAAATTTTCCATTTTTTTTAATACGATTTACTTACACTTTAAACGGCAACTTTGGATCTGATGTTAATGTAATCTTAAACGTTACTTTAGAACTAAAAAACAAATACTTTTAATCTTTAACATATGGATTAAATTTTGAGGTTAATTATGTTTTACTTACGCCATAATAAATTCGTTTTATTTACAAATAATTATATTAAGATGTATTGTGAGTGATTATTACGGTTCAATTCGTTTTTATAAATGATTTATTAATGTTTTTAAACATTAAAAAAATCTTCGAGTTTTAGGTTGACAATGGTAAATGACAGGTGACGTTTCAATTTGAAATGACGTTAGTTACATAAAAATAATAAACAGTTTTTAAATGAAATAATTTAATTTATTGCATTAATGAATGTATAATATTTAAAAATAAATATTTGTTAATAATATAACAAAATAATAAATAATTTATTCTTAATTAAAAAAAAAACAACAAAAAAGAAATCGGTTGGTAGCGCTAATTAGCATAAAATATCACTATGCTATGTTGCATATTTTTATTGAACTAAAACTAGAACACACTAGACCACAGAGTATCCTAATAACTCTGTGCACTAGACCGAGAACTAGAAAGTATCGTCTGAAGACGCACGGCTAAACCCGAATGTTTCTAGTTCCAGGTCTAGTGTTAGTTCTAGTTTTAGCTTTGGAACTACATTCGGGTTTAGCCACCTTAACAAAACCAATTTGGCGACTGTCATAGTCAAATTGGCATTAATCAAAGTCAAAATGACATTAATCAATTACAAATTGTCACTGTTAACAAACTATTGTATCTACAAAATGCCTTGTATTAAGAAAAAGGAAGCAGCAAACGTAAAACGCCAAATTTGTGCCATTTATAATACGAATTGCGTCTGGTGCAATTTAGCTGAAATTCTTGGTGTTGCAAAAACAACAGTTGAGAAGAATAAAAAATCAAGAAGAAGAAGTTACTTTCATAGCTGTCAATAGCCGGGGAGCAAATGTTCATCTAATCAGATGTACTAGTAGCTTGAGATTGATTTGTTATGAATTAAGAAGGGGGTCATTTAAAAGAGAAGAGGCTAATGAGTTTGTTAGGCAATGCTTAAGGAGAGCTGAAGATAATGTTCAGTGGCTTTAGTTATTGATAATGATCCTTGTCATTGTGGTGTTGAAGAACAAGAATTTCTTCATCATAAACTTGTAAGGCTAACTCTTTATAGTCCAATACTAAACCCAAGTGAACACGCTTGGTCAATTTTGAAAGCAGGTGTAAAGGTGGACTTCGCCTTTACATTAATATGTATAGTGAGTGATTATTACTTTTCAATTCATTTTTATAAATAATTAATGTTTTTAACCATTAAAAAAATCTTCGTGTTTTAGGTTGACAATGATAAATGACAGGTGACGTTTCAATTTGAAATGACGTTAGGAATTAGGAAGATAAAAATAATAAACATTTTTAAAAGAAATAATTTAATTTATTGTATTAATAAATGTATAACATTTAAAAATAAACTTTTATTAATAATATAACATAAAATATGAAATAATTTATTCTTAATTAAAAAAAGAAAAAAAAATCGGTTGGTATCACTAATTTCAAATTCAACAACATAACCTAAAAATTTTTTCTCACGATTTCATCGATTAAAGTTATTCAAAGCGATAAAAATGGATAATATGTTACCCAGCCCGGGATTTAGCATCCCCAGCATAGGTAAATATCTAATTTTAGCAATCTCAATCCCATTTCATTCAATAATACTTTAATTCTTAAATTTTTTAGGAACTCCGTTGCATCAACCCGAAGAGGACCAACAAATCCTTCCCAATGCTATGCAACAACAGCAACAACACCACCAACAAATGCCGCCTTTAACCCCCGTTTGCATTGGGGGGATGACACCTACGTTAGGGTTAGGAATGGGAATGAGTATGATTCCCCCCACAAAACACACTTATGTGCCAGGATTTGGTGCATCACCAAGCATAATGCAACCTCAAACACCCGTAATTAAAATTAAATTAATTAAAAATTATTTATTTTATTTCTAACTAAAAATAATTTGATTTTTTTAATAAAGCAACCATCAGGAGCTTCTCCAATGGTAAATATCGGTGGTTCAAGCAGTTCTGTACCTCCACCAAGCATCGGGGCTGTTCCAGCCAGTCCTATGACCCCAATGACGCCTCATTCAACCGATCCGGGAATAGTACCACAATTACAGTAAATCAAAAAACATAAATTAATTAAAACAATTATGATTTAATAATTTTTTTTAAGGAATATCGTTTCAACTGTAAACTTAAACTGCAAACTTGATCTAAAAAAAATCGCTCTACACGCCCGTAACGCCGAGTATAACCCAAAACGTTTCGCAGCTGTGATAATGCGTATTCGAGAACCTCGAACGACCGCTTTAATTTTTTCCTCGGGAAAAATGGTTTGTACAGGAGCCAAAAGTGAGGAAGATTCACGTTTGGCCGCTAGAAAATATGCAAGGATCATACAAAAGTTGGGTTTTCCCGCGAAATTTTTAGACTTTAAGATTCAAAATATGGTGGGAAGTTGCGATGTTAAGTTTCCCATCCGTTTGGAAGGATTGGTTTTAACTCACGGTGCTTTCAGTTCGTACGAACCGGAATTATTTCCCGGTTTAATTTATCGTATGGTGAAACCGAGGATTGTTTTGTTGATATTCGTGTCGGGTAAGGTGGTGCTTACCGGGGCGAAGGTCCGACAGGAAATTTATGAAGCCTTTGAAAATATTTATCCCATTTTGAAGAGTTTCAAGAAACAGTGAGGTTAAAAACGATTGTTTTATTTATTATTATGATTTAGGTAGTTTTTTAGTTTTCATAAAATTCATGATTTCTTAAAGATTTTAAATAATTTTAAATCAATAGGATATAACCTCAATTTTTTTTTGACAGTTCATAATTTCAATATTTTTAGGTTAAATAGTTAATAATTTAGATTTTACTCTTATTTAAATATAAAATGGGTATAATTTCGTAGGTTATTGTTAGTTATAAAACGAGTAACTTTGTAAATAATATTTTTATAGATTAATAAACGAACAACATTTTTTTGCAAAATTCTTGTAAATTTAATTCATACGTTTTGTTTCTTTTTACAACAAGGTGTAAATTGTAAAAATCCATACATTAAGACCCCAATTAACAGCGCTAACATTACCCCGCACACCATGTATTCCATTTTTAATACAGGGTGTTGAATCACTAAAACATACACTAAACCAGCTGTTGATATCATTGATAAAGTTATTGCTAAAAATGTTGATAAACCTAGAAAATTGTATTTATATTAAAATTATGTTTATCATATTATTATCTAAATTACCTGGTTTAGTATCTCGTATTTTCCTAAACATAATTAACTTAATAGTTTCTGCAAGTAAAATGATGCACAAAACGGCGGCATCTAAATCGATGTTGGGCGTGTAAAACTCTTCGCTGGTGTATTTAGCTAAAACGATAACAAATTCGGCGAAAACAAACAATAAGAAATAGAATGAGTTGAGATAGAGGAGCACTTCGAAACACAATGTACCGTCCATTTCGATTGGGGCTCGTACGACGAACTAAAAACCGAATCACCGGTAGTCAGGTAGGTATTATACCAAATGGTCCGAACCAAAAATGTTGGTAATTAATAATCTCTCCCTGGCATTATTTTTAGATCCCGTGCTTCAATGTTAATTGCCCAAACAGTTTCTAGTTGACTATTGCCAGCCTACCAGAGATGTACTAGCCGATTATAAAAGAAGCCCTACTTTACTATTTTTATCTTACCTGAAGGCTATATACAAAAAAGTCTGTTTAAAAAAGTCTTAAAAAAAAATTTAAATCTTGTAACTTTTAACAAAAATGAGGTTAGATTTAAGTTGAAGGTAAAATTTTTGGGTTGGTATGAATTTATTTTATTTATTAATTGTAAAAATTAAAATTTAATTGTTTATTTTGAACATTTTTAACGCATAAATTATTATTTTTAATCCTATTAATGATTATTATTAAAATTTAATTTTTTTGAGGTTTAGTTGATGAAATTTATTTTCTTTTCAAGATTATTTAGTAATTTAAAATTAAATAACTATTAAATTAGTTAAAAACTAAGTAGTATTGAGTAATTAATTTAATTATTAAAAATTTAATTTAAATAACAACGATGTTTAAAAGTAATAAGATTTAGGTTGGTACCTTTGAATTTTTCACCCCTATGAAGTGTCAATTTTGAGAAATTTTAGTAAAATTTTTCGTTGATTTATTTAAAGTAAATTAAGGGTTGTAACATCTATTTTAATGAACAATACACTTCGTAACACTTCCAAACGTTGTGAGGCTCCTCAACAAGAAAAATGTGCACCCAGATATAAAAACATATTAGTCGTGTTGAATATGGACAATTGGACCCAAATACAAGTGGAAGAAGAATAACTATGCAGATATGATTAAAAGACATCTTTAATAAGACAAGGCGATAACTTACTATCTGATTATGGATAAACTAATAACTAATAACTGAAGTAAAGAAGGTTGGAAAGGGATACACATTGAGGAACAAAGAACTAAAGATAATCTGCTACGCAGACGATACTGTGTTGATCTCGGAGGATACAAGTAGCAAAGACCTCCGCGAGGAAGTCGAAGCTCAAACAACCGAAGCAGCCTTAATATCAGGGTATTTGCGAGATATGATATGGCGAAACAAATACAAGATCTGCGCAAGACCTATTATGGCGTACGCTGTAGAAACAAGGGCTGAAAACACTACAACGAAAAGAATCATTCGAATAGCAGAGATGAGGCTAGACTCTGGACCATAAGGACCATAAGAGAGACGAAGTCATCAGAGAACTCTGCTGGTCCCGAACTAGATGTCGCGCATGGAGAGACCATGTTGAACGGATGGATGACAACAGATTGCCGAAAATTGCAAGGGATGGTATCCCAAGATCAAACAGACTGTTGGAATTCATCATACCAGTCACATCTCTGGATTATAGGCCTTAAAAAGAGGAAGAAGAAGAAGATTTTAATGAATAAAGTGGATATATCATGTCGTAGAGGCCATTGTAATGTATTTATTAGTTAACTTTTTAGTTGAAGCTGTCAACGGGTAATTTTTGACATTTAAACGTCAATATAAATGTCAGGAGAGGCAAAAAAAAAGTAAGTTGAAAAAATTAATTTAATGAGTTAATAAAAATATAAATATAGAATTTTATAATAAATTGTTTATATTAATTGTATTCAGTCTTTTGACAACAAGGAAAAAATTGCAAAATTCCAAACATTAACTCCAAAAAATAAAGCGTTGCCGTCATCGATGAAAAAATGCGTTCCATTTTCGTTGGATTTTTTTGTACAATAACAATGTGTAAAGTACAACAAAAAGTAATAGACGAAAGTAAAATAGTAATAATAACGGCGATCACTAAAAGTAAAAAAAAAAAAACTTCAAAGAGACATAATTAAATAGATAATTATAATAAAAGTGTTATTGTGGTTATTAAATTTTAAGTATTACATCCCTGCATTTTGGCACAAATATTAGATGCAATCCTATTGTTACTCTCAGTCATATAAACGCAACAATCTAAAAATTGCTTTAGAAATATCCCGTCTGGTTAAAGTGCGTGTTATTTGCTTCAATAAAATAGGTCATTGTAAAGAAAAGTGAAAATTTTTCACTTTCAAATTTAACTTACCTTTTCTATTTTCCCTAATCTTCTTGTACACTCCCAATTTAATAAGATCGGTAAAAATCATAGCTGTAACGACGATAATATCATTCCTCGTGGTATCATCATCCGATGGCGAATAAAATTTTGCCAAGATAATAATGGGGTGGTAAAACGCGGCCATTGGATAATAAAAAAAATTTAAATACATCAACACATCAAACATTAAAAGCGCATCCATGACGGTGTTAATTTATTGTTTAATATCGTTCTATTGTATTATAATTTTTGAAAAATGGGTGTTCTAATTTTGGCTCGTGCAAGCCGTGACCATGTGTACGTGTTATATTAATACTAAAAGCAACTGGCTACCGCCTTCAAGACATCGCAATGCGAGCTATTTTTGGGTACTCAAACCACCTTTTAACCATTTATATTTTAAAGACATAGTAAAAAAACACAAATTTTTACTTAAAACAATAAATTTCATTTTAATAAAAAACTCTTTGATCTCAAATTTATTAACGTTTTCTTTGATATTAAAGTTTCAGCGTAAAACGAAAAGATGAAAGAAAAAGAATGTGTTAAAAACATAAAGACTAGAAGTTAAGGTGGAGTGGGATGATTTTATAAATGAACTGTTTTGAATTTTATGATGTTTACGTCTTTTCCATTTAATAACCACGCCTTTTATATATTTTATTGAAAGCTTTATGTTAACTAACGTTTAATATATTTGAATTTCATTAATTAGATATTTAGTTAAATAAGAAATAGAATATGGTTGCAAATTTGAGCGTAAAATATTTGGTGTAAATGAGCTTGTGACAGGAAATATTCATCGAAGAGAGTTTCAAAACTCAATAATCGTAATGGAATTTTGATAAATGTAAATTGATATTGAGAAAAATAAATATTTTTGAAATTATCTGTCCTATCTACCGTATCCTTCAGCAACCATTTAATGTGTCATTTCAATAATAGATGGCGCTCAATTACAATCTTGTTTTTAATTAATAAATTTTAAATAAATTTTTTATTTATTTATTATATATAAGACGAGTTGTGATTAACGTGATTTAGATCGATATTTCTATAAAAATAGAAACCTTCTTTCTATAAAACATTTTCTTATTTTTTTAAATTTAAGTTTAATCGAACGTATCTGACGTTTAAATGAAATGTCAAATTTTTGAGTTGTCAAAAGAATCATACATAACCTCAAAAAAATAGACAAGATTATGTTCATTTTTTAATTATATATAATGTATGTTTAGTTTGAATGATTGTAAATATATATAATGTATATTTTAATAGAATTTTGATAAATGTGACAGATATTGAAAAAATAAATATTTTAAATTATTTTTGATTTAATGTGTAATTTTAATAATAGATGGCACTCAATAGCAATCTTATTTTTAATTAATTAGTTATAAACATTTTTATTTAATTATTATATATAAGACGAGTTTATTATTAATATATTAAGGTGATCTAGATCGATATTTCTATAAAATTAAAATCCTTCTTTCTATAAAATATTTCCTTATTTTTTTAAATTTAATCGTCACCCATCATGAAAATCCGACCAATCAACGATTCGCATCTGACGTTTAAATGAAATGTCAAATTTTTGAGTTATCAAAAGAATCATAACAATCTCAAAAAAGTAAACAAGATTATGTTCATCTAATCGTACCTAATACGATCCTTCATGCTATAATTGTGGTTTGGAAAGAAAACTAACCTTACTTAACATTCCCATCATACCCGGATGATTGACATTTGTAAACAAAACTAACCTAACCTTATTTACTTGTAGGTCATTAACCTTTGTAACCAACCTTACCAAATGTCTATAAGGAGCCTGATAAATGGCTATAAGTGGATAGTGAATAAGCAAGAGAATAAAAAGTAACACATGTTAGTTGTAATGGTTAATGTACTACTAAAGATTAAGTTTAATCTTTAATTTTTCATGTACATGTTTCTAGTTCTAGTTTTAAAACTAACACTAGTTCTAGTGTTAGTTCTAGTTTTAACTGCTTTATAGCGCTGGATTGTTGTATATTTTTCAGTAAACTTGAACTAATACTAAACCTAGATCTAGAAACATTAGGATTTAGCTGTCTTAAGAGACGCACAGCTAAACCAGAATGTTTCTAGTTCTAAGTTTAGTTTTAGTGTTGGAACTAAATCTAGAAAATTTCAGGTGAGTTCAGGTTTCAAAGTGTATGCTAACACTTTTACTCTTTTAATTTAAATAAATCATCTAAAATAAGTGCTAAAGTGTTATTGGTTAATCTTTTAAACAAATTTTCTCTCAATTTTGTGTTGTTTTACCTAAAATTTTCATTTACTACCAGATACTCTTGGCCTGAATAATCAGAGATTTGTATTACTTTCAATAATAGTTACAAAAACATTAAAATATAATTAGGTAAAGATATTAACAATCCCAAAGGCAATTATTTCATGTTTTAAAAGCAAAGTTATCAAATTTAAAAAATATTTTGTATCAAAAACATTCCAAATGGAATATGTAAATTATTTAGAACAAATAAAACACCACAATAATATGTAATTATCAATATATTAAACAAGAGAAAATTACAAATGAATTTTTACAACTTCAACTTGGTTCTACGCCAATGACGCCTCTTGGCATTATACCTAAAAGAGAAAAACATAACCTCAAAAAATTTTTCTTTTTCGTTTATAAAAAAAATTTTTTATATAATTTTTTAAACAAGATTCTTTACCTGATGGTATTTCCAGTCCTCATTCGAACCCATTGAGGAATTGGTCTATTTTGTTTAAGTTTCTTCGCGAGTTTTCGCTTTATAATAAACGTCTTATGGGCTGACTAAAACGCAAAAATTAATAGATATAAAGATAGTTTATTAAACAAAAATTTCGAATCAAAACGATTTTTCGCTTATTTCTTAACGATTATTAAGATAAAGTAAAAAAATATAGCAGAACTCACCATCGCGCCTGTTTATTTCACAAAACACGACACAGGAAGAGCGATTCAAGTGAATGTAGTTGTCATGGATGCCAATTTTTTGTTTTTAACTTGAAGTTAGCCACTGTTAAAATTTATGAATTAATCGGGGTTTGAATTAAAATAATTTATTATTAATTATTTATTATGTTATTAAAACGTTTATTTTGTGTGTAATAAATTTTTTATGTTAATTTAGATTGTAATATTGAATACGTGTTCGCGCATATAAAGATCCAAATTAATCTTTTAATCTATCCGTGAGATGGCAGTGCCGTAGCCGGCAACCGCCACACAATAAAATATTATTAATTCCGATTTTCACCTCAGTTTCATATGTTATAACTAAATAAATCGAATTCGGTGAGTTTATCTTTATTTAACACCTCAAATTGATTGATTTTCGCGAAAAACCAACCTCTAACGAGATTGTAATGCGGTTGTCAAACAAGCATGGTTCAACAACATGTGATTTTAATCCACGTTTCGTTGATTTAATTTCAGGGGGCCCCCGTGGATGACTTGAAGTGTGGAGCAATGGCCGGACCGGACGTAGCCGCGCTCGCGGCCGATTTAGCACGCGCCGTAGAATTAACAATGAGTCCTAATGCTTCACAATCGGATAGACAGAAAGCTTACACAGCCTGCGAAAGTTTTAAAGAAACATCACCACTTTGCGCTGAAGCCGGGTTGTTTTTGGCCGCGGGGACTCAACATTCATTAGTATCCAGGCATTTTGGATTACAACTTATGGAACATACGGTTAAGTATCGATGGACGCAAATTTCACAACAAGAAAAACTTTACATCAAGGTAAAAATCAATTAAAATAATAATGATGAAATTTAGTAAATTATTGTGTAAATTTAGGAGAATGCAATGAAATTGTTATCTGCTGGAAGTATCAGTGAGGAACCCCATATGAAGGATGCATTAAGTAGGGTTATCGTTGAAATGGTGAAACGGGAGTGGCCCCAACAATGGCCCAGCTTACTTAATGAATTGTCGGATGCTTGTGCCTATGGAGAGATTCAGACTGAAATTGTTTTGTTGGTTTTTTTACGTTTGGTTGAAGATGTTGCTTTATTACAAGTAAATAGAAAACAAATTAATAATTTTATTTATTTAAATCGTTTTTTGTAACAGACTTTGGAGTCGAATCAACGAAGAAAAGACATTTACCAAGCCTTAACAACAAATATGGCAGTAATTTTTGCATTTTTCTTAAAATTAATTGAATTGCACGTCACGAGGTTTCGCGCGTGTTGCGAAACTAACGAAACATCAAAAGCCAGTTCTCATGGTCGAGTGGTTCAAGTAGTACTCTTAACATTAACGGGATTCGTCGAATGGGTCTCAATGACGCATGTAATGACCCAAAACGGACGTCTCGTACAAATTTTATGCCTCCTTTTGAACGATGATAACACGTTTCGTTGCGCCGCAGCCGAATGTCTTTTACAAATCGTTAATCGTAAAGGAAAATTGGAAGAGCGCAAACCGATTTTGATATTGTTTAATGATGAAGCTATGGGATGTTTAGTTTCGGCAGCTAAATCGATTGATTCTTCAACAATGGCCGTTGAAGAGCAAAGTTTTTTGTTTAAAAAGAAATTGATTCAAGTTTTAGCTGGATTAGGGGCGCAATTGTGCTCGTTGTGGGGGAAAGAAAATATTGGACGACCGCCAAATTTTGCGAATTATTTGGATGCGATTTTAGCGTTTTCGCGGCACACTTCGTTAACGTTGGCTCATTTGGCTAACCCCACTTGGAACAGCATGATGAAGCATGATCAAATTTGTAGGGAACCAATTTTTTTGAATTACATCCCCGAGTGGGTGCAATGCACCGCTCCTAAGATAATTAAAATGAATTATACCAGTGAAAATGTCGATCGGAGTAATTCCGATTTTGATTCGGAAGAGGAATATTCAGCTTATTTTTATAGGTGTCGAAGTGATTTTTTGGACACGTTTAGACAAGCGACTGTAATTTCGCCGTTGGTTACGTTTTCGTATGTTGAGCAGTGGTTGTTGAAGTGTTTATTGGTTCCGAATACGACGTTTGGGTTGTCGCTAAGTGATCCGTTCCATCAGGAGTGGGAGGCTTTGGGAACTTGTTTGGAAAGTGTTTTAAGCCGGGTGCTTCAAGCGCAAGAAAGGCCACCGATTTCGTCGGGGTTACGGTTACTTCAAATGTGTTTAACTTATCAACCGGTTGATCCGTTAATTTTATCGACTTTATTGACTTGCATTTCTGCCTTATTCGTGTTCCTAAGTATGTCCTCTGGACAAATGGCACCATCGGGTAAATTTAATTTAATTTGTAACCTTATAAGTCCATTCTGGTTAGTTAGACATAATTTTATAATGAGGCGGCGCATGATTGTTGCTTGTTCAGACTTGTATACGCGTTGTATCTGTTTGTTCAGTAGTACAGTGAGTGCTTATTGTGCAAGTTGTGTAAATCGTGCCGTTTTTTCATCCAAATCACAGATTTCTGCCAGTAAGTATAATTAAATAATAAAGGGTCTTTCATTAAGGACTTCTGAACTTTGACAGTTGGTAGCAGCCATATTACTGAAGCTACATCTGTCAGATTGGCTGTGATTTATTCAGTCTGTTTTGCTAAATCATCATGGACAAATATAGCCTTCAATAACACATGCAAATAATAAAACCCGTACAAAATTCAACTGACCCAGGAGCTGAAGGTAAACGACCATAGACAACGACGTGTGTTCGCTGAATGGGTCCTGGAGCAGTTGAAAACTGTCAAAGTTTTTCTTCAAAAAAGTCATCTTCAGCGATGAGGCCCATTTCTGAATGAATGGGTACGTCAATAAACAAAATTGCCGAATTTGGGACGATATCAATCCTCATGAGATCCAGGAGCGTTCAATTCATCCCGAAAAAGTCACTGTTTGGTGTGGATTTTAGGCTGACGGCGTCATCGGTCCATATTTCTTTCAGAACGACGTTGGCCAAGCCGTCACCGTCAACGGCGAACGCTATAGGGCGATGATTACAAGCTCCTTTTGGCCTGCATTGGCTGATATGGACATTAATAACATGTGGTTTCAACAGGACGGCGCTACGTGCCACACAGCTCATGCCACATTGGACGTTCTGCACGAGCAATTTCAGAGATCGTGCGATTTGACTCCCTTAGACTTTTTCTTGTGGGGTTTTCTTAAGTCGCAGGTCTATGCGAATAAGCCACAAACAACAGCGGCCCTCCAAGACAACATAATCCATGTCGTCGGTCAAATTCAGCCTGATTTATGCGCCAGAGTCATGGAAAATGGACATCTCGGATGCCGCGGCGGACATTTGCCCGATGTTTTATTCCACACATAATGGCATCGATAGGCCTTTCAACCGAATAAAAAATTTCGAAGATATCTCACACACACTTTGTTTTATTTAACTTTAAAAATAGGAAGCGCTTAGTGAAAGACTCGGTAGATAACATGGATATGGAAATAAGTGATTCGTCTGATGAATCTATAAATGGAAGCAGGCGAAAGACATCAAGATTAAGGATACTTTCTTCGTCTTCAGACGAGGATTTTGTTAATGCAAACAGTCATGGAGGAAGAAGATTTTGAGTCTAAATCAGAATGAAGAATGGCAAGAAGTAAGAGAAAGAACTTCAATAATAAATGAGTATTAAGAAGAAGAGGAATTTTTATTGCAAAACACTAACTAAAATGACCCTCTTGCCTTATAGAAACTATTTTTCACGAATTACATACTAGAATATGCTGCACAATACATAAATAATTCTTTATCTAGCAGTAAAACGCACCAAAAAACTTGGCAGTCTGTTACAAGAGGTGAAATGAATACTTTTATTGGCATATTGCTTATTATTACGATTAAACGCCGCAACTTTACGATGAGAGATATTGAATGATTCAAAGTTTTGCTGACGGATTGTTCTGGTCTTACATAGCAAATCGTCGGCTTAGTAAGAAAACCACGTAACTCCGTTTCTGAAAATTTTACAGGAGACAGAAAAAACTGAATTTTTTTACATTGACAATCCTAGTTAAATGCTGCATTTGAGCGGAAACGTGTATTTCAATATACGCGAAGTTTTCGGAATTGGTAGATTTAATAATTTGTTGCATAATTACATCAAAATCTTATTTTTGATAAAAATTAGAGTTACGTGGTTTTCTTACTAAGCCGACGAAATGCAGATGCACAAAATAGTTATACATATTTTCACGCTAACTACCTACACTGTTATAATTCAACTTTTTCTAAAATCTTAACTCATAACAAACGAGGCAAAAATGAATTGTAAAAAATGAAAAACCAGTTAGACGCCTTGAACAGAATAATATCCGTAACTCAAGACCTCACACTAAACGTGGCTAAGGCGTAGATGTGGCTAAGATGGAAGCAAATGGTAGATTTATTCAAAGTTCTGAGAATAAGATCGCAGCCGCTTGGAAGCCCTCTAATTTAGACATAAACGTTTTGAATAACTCATTCGTAAACTACAGACAATTAAATTCTAGCAACAATTCGCCTAAGGGTGCGTTTACGTTGGAGCTGCGATAAACGATAAGAGCTGCGCAAAATTCGTTTCTATGATATGCTGTTTATTGTGGATCGTTGATAATAGCGACGATCTCTGCTTTGTAGGTGAATATTATAATATAATAAATACCAAACGGTATACGTTTAGAGCATTTCTTCACCTTTATAAACACTTACGGCAACACCCTGCAAAATTCATGGAATATACATCAGTGTACCCCATGTTATCATAGGTGCTGAAGCCTTTCCACTTATCCCTAATCTATTGAAACCTTATAGAAGACAATAAATTGATACAGATAAAGACTACTTTAATGCTAGGTTATCAAGAGCACGAAAAACTGTTGAATGTTGTTTTGAAATACTGTATACTAAGGGGAGAAGTCTAGGAACAGCGATACATATATCTACTACATAATATTGTAATTGATAGAGAAAGCATTAACCATCATGTTCAAGAAACAAGCACAACCAAAGCAAGAAATATTACCCCAAGTAATACTGGAAGACCAAAAGAATCTGCTGAAAATATTTAAAACGTATCTTTGTCGTAATCCAATTTAAACAGTATTATTGGAGATATAGAATTATACATTTTTCTGTATAAATTTGCTATTATTGCCGACCACACCTCATAATAGCAAAGAAAATAGGGAATACAATTAGCGTCGCTCCAATATAAACACCTGCATATAAAACTATGACAACAATTTCATTGTTTTGCTAGTATCGTCGCTATTATCGTATATCGCAGCTCCAACGTAAACAAACAAACACTCTAATACAAATTCATTTCTACTATCGAAGCAGAATCAAAGAAATACATCGCTTGATCAGATTACGAGTACTTAGAGGAAGAGGAACTGCTACAAATAGTAAAAGACCTAAAAAACGAGTACAATGGATATACAGGGTGTGTCAAATGTCTAGAATATAGCCAATAACTTCGTTATTTGTGGTTTTAAAGAAAAATTCTTTATTAATTGTGGCGCATTTTTTGGCGATATTTGCTTGTTTAGATTGTTTTTTGTTTCGTTGCTATGGCAACCAACATTGTTATTTTAAATGGGCTGCATATGTTTTTTTTGTATTTTTTGATAGAGGATAAGTCTCTCTATGTGATGAACATATCAAATCATATAGTTGTATAAGAAATAAATCGAGAAAAAATGCGTTCTCTCAAAATATTAAATCAGTAAATTACAATCAAAGTAGGCGTCGAAATAACGCCGTTGAAAGCTTTAAATGTCAAAAAATTGACAGTTTAAACAAATATGGTGCAATTAAGCGAAGAATCCAAATATTAATGATGTGCAAACTGCAATCAAAATGAAGTTTGTACACTGTTCAATAATATTTACCTGGGTACACAATCCACAGTATCCAAAATATAAAAAAATTCTTTAATACCGGAAGTGTTAAAAGCTTTCCAAAAAGTGGACGGCCGAAGACAGCTACTAATGACAAAACTATATTAAATGTGTGTCACCGTACCCATACATTAATTTTTCATAATTGTTGAAACCGTCATTTTTTTGACATTTAAAGCTGTTATTTCGTCGCCTACTTTGATTGTAATTTGATGATTTCATATTTTCAGAATACGCATTTTTTCTCGATTTTTTTCTTATACAACTATGTGATTTGATATGTTTATCGCATAGAGGGATTTATCTTCTATCAAAGCATGCAAAAAATCAAATGTATCCCATTTAAAATAACAATGTTGGTTGCCATAGCAACGAAACAAATAACAATACAAACAAGTAAATATCGCCAAAAAAGCGCCACTTTTAATAACGAAACTTGTATTTGAAGCATTTTTCTTTAAAACCACAAATGGCGAAGTTATTGGCTATATTCCAGACATTTGATACACCCTCCTGTATATCGAAGTGTTACAAGTTTACAGGTCAAAATTTAAACATACTCTTTTTTAACAAAAGAAATATTAAGAAACTTGGGAAAAATTCAAGAATTTTAATCATCGTTAAAAATAAAAAGAATGTGCGGGAAAGTGACTAACACTAGATTAACTTAAGTTATAAAACTTCTATTATATGATAACTAACTTCATGTTTCAAATGTCAACCTCACTTTTGACATATTTGTAATTTTCATTAAAAATCCTTTAACATGAGTACAAACACGACATATTTATCTTTAATATTAAGGAAGTTATGATCAACTTCCGGTTAAGAATGTGAACGTCAATTTTGACATATAGTTCATTTTTTTTCTATAACACCTGTCAAATTGTTGTAAAGTTGGCAAAATTAACAAGGAATTTTGTTTTATTATGTTTTGAAATAGATACGTCACACTGACGTTTGAGCTTTCGTTATTCCAAAAGAAAAGGTGCATAAAAAATGTTGTGAGGTGTTTATTTGCCATTTACTTACCTAGAAAAGGTGTTTTGTTTTATTTAATTACTTTTTAGCACGTTTTTACAATAAATATGTACTTCGTTAAAATCGTATTTATCTACAAATTTATTAGTATTTTAACCTCAACTATTTAGTTACTGAAAATGTTACTAAAAATCAGGAAAATAACGTAAATATTATAAGGGTCCTAGATAATACCAACAGAAACCTAAAAAATGTACATTGACAAGTATTATAGAAAAAAAACGAACTATACTTGTTATCGCCGTGAAAATCCTTTAAAATGAGTCCAAACATGATACGTTTAATTCCAATATTAATCGAGATATAAGGAACTTCCGGTTTAATATTTATCACAAAAACAAAAATATAATAAAAAAAATAAAAAATTAAGGTTGGTATTAATATTTAAAAATTAAATTGCTATCTTCATTGTTGCTAACTTCGGGTTTAATGTTTTTTGTTCTAACTTTTTTGTTTTTTGAGATAAGTGCGCGTCATCTTTGGACCCATTTTAAAGGTTTTTTTAATGAAGATGACAAATATGTCAAAATTGACGTTGACGTTTCAAACCGGAAGTGATTATATTTCCATTAATATTAAAGTTAAATATGTCGAGTTTGGACTCATTTTAAAGGATTTTTTATAAAGTTTACAAATATGTCAAAATTAAAAGTTGAAAGTTCGAACTTTTCGTGTTTTTGAGATAAATACGTCAAGTTTGGGCTCTCTTTAAAGGTTATTTTATGAAGATTACTAATATAATAATAAAAGTAAACTTGACATTGACAGCTGAAAGTTTTTTTTTATGACTAAACCCGAATGTTTCTAGTTCTCGTTCTAGTTTTAGTTCAATAAAAATACGCAATACAGTAATATCTTATGCTAACTAGTGCTACCTAACGCTGTCAACAAAAACATAAAAATCATATGGTTGATTATCATATAGTTTAATGTGTAATACAATATATAATATTTAATTTTCCACAAGAAAATCATAAACTTTCCCTAATATTTGATTTAACTAACCAGAATGGACCTTTAAGTAAAAGTTAAATATAAAATTATTTATTTATTTTTCTTTTTTAGCGAGTTCAGTTGCAATGTCTGGTGCTGCACTTCTACCTCAAGTCCTAGATAAAATTTTTTCAACTCTCATGTATTCCCCGCCCAATCAAACTCGAGAAACGCGTTCGAGGGCTGTAAAAAATGTGAGACGCCACGCAGCATCCCTCATGGTAAAAATTGGCAATAAATATCCATTGCTTTTACTCCCAATGTTCGATCAAATCCGATTAACCGTTGAGAATCTCTCAAGACCAGAAAGTCCAGCTGGTTTAAGCACATTAGAAAAAGTAACTTTACACGAAGCTTTATTGTTGATTTCGAATCATTTCTGTGATTACGATCGACAGAGTTCTTTCGTCGGTGAGATAATGCGAGAGGCGAATGTTCAATGGCTCACAATGGCCAGTGCTGGTGCTTTTAAAGGGGCGATTGAATTCATGTCGTTCGTTGGGTTAAATAAACCGCCGAGTGAGTCGAATAATTTCGGTACGAATAGAAGGAATTTATTCTTTTGCGTCAACTTATTATTGGGTGCTGTGAAACGTTGCGCTTGGCCTGATGACCCCGAAAGAGCAACTAGAGGCGGATTCGTCGTCGGATTAACAGAATCGGGGAATCCGATTTGTCGAAATCCCGCTGCGCCTCACGTCGTTCCATTATTACCCCACATTTTGTCATTAATTCGAATTTTTAATGAATTATTTACCCCGGAAGCTCAAAGTGCCCTACACGAAACTTACAAAGATTGTTTGAATATGATGGAGACGGAAAAAGCGAATCTTTTGGGACAAGTTGGTCATATATACGATGCAGGGGCCGCTGAACACAACGTCGGAAAAGATTCCCCCACGGAGAGTATGCAAAGATTTTTAATGAGTTTACATGAGAGTTGTTATCATATGATGGGGTCAGTTGGATCATCGCTCGGACGAGATTTATATAGCTTACCTGATTTAGGCCCTGCGATTGTAAATAGTGTGTTGGCTTGTTTACAATATATCCCAGATTATCGATTGAGGCCAATTATTAGAGTTTATATGAAAGCTTTTATATATTCGTGCCCACAATTGTATTACGAAGCTGTTATTTTACCGATTATTGCTCATATTGGACCAATAAGTAAATAATTTTGTGATTATTAAATTTAATTAATTATCGATTTTTAATTTTTAGTGGTGACGAAATTAAATGTGAAATGGCAGCATATTAATGAAGTACGTAGCCGGGAAGCGTCCGATGATAATGCGGATACTCAAGAAGTACTCGAAGATATTTTAACGCGTGCTTTAACTCGAGAATGTCTCGAAGTACTTAAAGTAGCCCTCGTAGGGGGGAGTTTAACCCCGGAGGTTGCTCATGATAGTATCATGGAAACTGAGGAGCACAGTATGGATTCACCCCCTTCTCATACTCGCAATAACATGACGACCGAGGTTATTTCTGAGTTGGGGATTTTGCTTTTACGGTCAGAAAAAACTTGCCAATCGTTGGTTTTGGTTGTTTTGGGGGCTTTATCTTGGATAGATAGTACGGCTTCGTTAAAGGCGACTTTATTAACCGGCCCGATTGTGAGACAATTAATGTTGGATCACTCGTTAAATGGGGAGATGGCGGCGCATATTATGGCGGCTGTTTTAAATGCTTTAACGTTACACGGGCAACATGAGGCGAATCAAGGGTCGTTGTTAACGTTGGGTGCTCAAATGTACGAGATGTTGAGGCCGACTTTTTCGGAAGTTTTAGGTGTTATGCAACAAATTCCCGGGGTAAATCCGGTTGATTTACAAAAATTAGATGAACGAATATCTGGGAGTACCAGTAAAGGGAATAAAATTGAGAAGGTTAAGAAGGATCTGTTTAAAAAAATTACTGGAACGGTAAGATTAAATTGATTGATTTATTATTTATTATTAATTTTTTTTTATGAGTAGTTGAGGGAATTTGTACAAAAAACAACGAGTTGTCACCAAAATTTGTGTTTATCAACAGAAAATCAAAGTAAATTGGTTTTTTTTTGATTTGTTGCTTTGTTTGTGTTGCATGGTTTTGAATTAAACATTTTTTTTAATTTGTTATTAATTGTGTTGATTTTTTTTAGTTAATGGGAAAAAGTGTGGGACAATTATTTAAAAAAGAAGTAAAAATCCATGATTTGCCAACAATTGTGATTCCAAAAAAAATTGAACCGAAACCAGTCGTGCCGGATTTAAGAAACATTTTCAACTCATAATACATATTAAAAAAACATAAAAAAAATGGCGTCGTCGTTCGTTATTAATATTTAATTTATTTTTGGTTAATTTGTACAACATTCCACCGTTGTTTGAGATTGTCTGAAGAAAAAGGAATTCACCTATTATATTCTGTACATACTTCTTGTTAGATTTTTTTTGTTTTCTTTTTTTAACTATTTTTTGGTAATTATTTAAATATTTGTCCTTGCTTTTTTGATATAAAGAACTTTACTATGGATCTACTGATGTGACATATTAAGATTTATGTAATAATTGAGAAAAATAAAAAATTAATAGAATTACAAATATGTAAGTAAATATGGTTTATTTCTTATCACATACAACACAGATCACATGACATAAACTTCCTTATTACAGTTCCTACTTAAAAAAAAAACTACTTTATTCCGCATAAGATTAAGATATAGGAAAAGTAAAATAAATAAAAACATTTTAGATTCTTGGTAACTTAAAATCTCATTAGTTAACTTTTGTTCTACAATTAAATCGTTATATTTGGCAAGAAGGGCATATTAAATCATCTTAAAGCAATGAGTATTTAAAGATATCAAAATTTGTTTTTTTTTTGTTTCAATCAAGAATGGTAGAATCTAAAAAGACTATATTAGATTTAGAACTAGAAACATACGGGTTAAAAAACGTATGGCTAAACCCGAATGTTACTAGAACTATTACTAGAACTAGAAACATTCAAGTTTAGCCGTCTTTTGAGACGTGTGGCTAAACCCAAATGTTTCAAGGTCTAGTGTTAGTTCTACTTTTACTTCTAGATCTAGTGTTAGTTCAATAAAAATATACAACCTAGCACTGAATCACAATCTAAAAATAGAACTAACGCTAGACTTAAAACTAGAAACATTTGGGTTTAGCCTGAGTAGCACAGGACACTGGATATCAGAAAACTTAATTGAATCATGTCGATTGTTCACGATAATGATACTTCCTTGAGAGCGTTGCTTCATCCATACTCTCCAGTTGGTGATAAATGATGCATTAAGAAATAGTCCTCCAATAACAGAAACTCTGACTAATGCCCGTCACTTTGTGACACATTTCAATCACTGGATATACGGGATATACAAAACTTGAAAGTACTCAATCTGAACTCGGACTGCCTAAACATAAACTGATTCAAGATATTTAAACTCGCTGGAACTCAACATATTACCTACTGGAGTGTCTACTTGAACAAAAAAGAGCAATTTCAGTGTATATCTCAGAATCAAGGAGCGTGAATTGATGAAGCTCTGAAGCTCTCGAAGAAATAACAAAAAGAACGAGTTCCACATGCACCTATGTCAGATGTAATATCTAGAACAGTGTCATTAATCATGTACCTAATGAAAGATGCACATATTACTTGTCGACATTTTTATTTCGATCCTCGCTACAAGAACTTTCTTTTAGAACTTTCAAAGTTCTTACAATTAGACTTCTTTCACGACGAAAATGATGATTCAGATCCAGAAATGGCATCGAAAAGACCTCGTTTAGACAATGAAAGTGGGAATGTCGATTCGGAAACTTATAAATTATTTTAGGCATGTTTTGAAGAATCTACGACGCTGACAGAAGTATAAATCCATATGAATGGTGGGCTTTGAGTACCAATAAGGATGGATTTCGCATTTTAAGTAAGCTTGCTAAATGATACTTAATCACACCATAAAGCTCTGTTTGTTCAGAAAAACTATTTTCTAATGCAGGTTTGATTTATAGAGAAAGGTGTAATCGACTTGATAAAAATCGTGCAGGAAAATTAAGAATCGTGCGAATTGTGCTTATGTCGCAGGCAAATAGTTTTATTCCATTAATTTCAGTCTAAATTCTACTTTCCTATGTAAATAGCATATGGCTAAAATATTTTCAGGCAAATAGCTCTTTAAACCAACCCAACCCCAGGAATGCTTTATTTCTTTAAGGGAGGCCTACACCAAGGTTTATATATTAAAGGTTGTCTAAGTTCCTATGCTGCAATACTTTGATTTTAGTTTGTGGGCGAGGGGCAAGAGCAGGAGTGTTTCGTGACGTAAGCGATCACGGATTGCGCACGCAACCTCATGGCCATGTGGTGCTCCATGCATTTGTTTAATTTGAATTGCTTGGCGGTATTATTTTCCACATGTGACGTAATGCGCAGTATGGTTGCGTACGAACCTAGACAACCTTTTATATATAAACCTTGGGCCTACACTTCACAGTCACTGTTTTCTGGGCAAGGGATGTCAAAACGCCACATTTGTTTCAAAAATATGATGATGTGCAATTCCAGCAATAAATGTCAAAACAAGTAAAATTTTTTTATTTAGTATTTAAGTCTTCAAGAAATAAATCATTTATTTGTATTTTTATTAAACTCTTTGATTATATATAATATGGATTGAGCTAACTGAATATATCTACTAACAAAAATGTGGCTCAAGGTGAATAGACGCAGAAGCGATAATGTGAAAGTGTAACAAAGATAGACATAAAACGGTACTAAACAGACGGGCGCATGCGCACAAAAGTGTCAAACCTCTTCCATTTGACGTTTATCGTTTTGTTGTGTCACAGCCAGTCACACCGTTATGTTTAAAAATGTATTGTTTCGTGTGTGGTGTTCGCGATAATACAGTTTCACATCACCTGTAAGTATTATAAATGTTACTTCTAATTGATAGTTTTTTATCTTATAAATTAACGCACGCCCATTATATGTCAGCTTGTTGGCTCAATCCATATTATATATAATCAAAGATTAAACTTAATAAAAATATATGAAACTGTTATGCATTTTTTGAAAATGATACGCAAATAATTTGACTCGTTTGACACTCATTAGTGACTTTAATTTAAGAAAAGTTCGGTTGATAACGATAGGAACTGCTTCATTTTATTGTGAACAGGTACCTATTCTATATTGCATTGTTGTATCGAAAAAATGGTACTTGTCCAAAAGTATTTGCGTAGACATTAAATGATAAAATTGTAACGAACTACTGTTTGCCTAGGCAGTCAGTATTTGACTAGGAACTATCTATAGTAGACGCCACGAGAGCTGGCAGTAAATCATCGTTTTCCGCTCTTACAAATGCCATACGTAGTTCACAAACCGCTAGAGAGTAATGTGTGATAGAAAGAGATAGCATTAGTTTAATATGTCTGCTGTACAATTCAAATGGCCACGTCGAAAAAGTACGTCTGTTCTTCTAAGGGATGTCACTCTATAATTATAACCTCAAATCGAAACGTCTTGTCAGCGTTGTCATGAATCTGTTTGTGTTTTCACAAGCCGAAAATGTTTCCTTTGAAAGGAAAATCATTAAATAATATCTTTGACAATGTTTGACATATAACCTCCGTTACTAACATAACCTACATTTAAATGTATGTGGTGAAATAATCTAAGTCGTACCTCCATATCTTGATTCATACCATTTTTAAGCGATCTGTCACTGCCAGCTCTCGTGGTTTCTACTATATATTGCATTGTTGTATCGAAAAAATAGTACTTGCCTAAAACAAGCTTAGACAGATACGATTTATCTTGTCCAAAAGTATTTGCCTAGACATTAAATGATAAAATTGTAACGAACTACTGTTTGCCTAGGAAAAAGCTATCTACCTGAAATAACCATTTGCCTGCGATACTTAAACCAGCTGGATTTTCTGGTCTTGAGAGATCCTCAACGGTTAATTGGATTTCATCGAACATTGGGAGTAAAAGCAATGGATATTTATTGCCAATTTTGACTATGAGGGAAGCTGCACCAGCTATTGCAACTGAACTTGCTAAAAAAGAACTGTAAGTAGAACTAATACTAGATTTAGAACTAGAAACATTCGGGTTTAAACGTCTTCAGACGCACAAGTAAACCCAAATATTTCTAGTTCTAGTGTTAGTTCTCCTTTTAGTTCTAGATCTAGTGTTAGTTTAATAAAAATATACAGTGTGTCTCACGTAACTGGTTCGTTAGAACTTTTTAGGTTCCAGTATTCGTACAGTTTTGAAATTTTGGTAGTATTTGTTGTTCAGTCGGAACTTTCGATCTAAAATATTTTCAAGATGGCTGTCACTTCCGGTCTACCGGAAGTAGACCATAACTTCGTTATTTTAAATGGAATGCTATAGTTTTTATTGCACCTTTTAATTGTACGTAAAAAAATATGTTGACTTTCATAAAAGTTATTGGTACCTAGTGTTTTTAATTAAATAGATTGTCATACGTAGTAATAGTCAAATGTCAAATAGATTATCAATCGTAGTTAATAGTACAAATAATAATAGAAATAAATTAAAGAAAAAACTGTCAAAATGTTATGGCCTTCTAATAAAAATACAAACGGTTTCCTGCATTTCGTGCATGTTTTAATAAATATCGCAATATGAGGCAAACTACAATAAATAGGTATGGGAATGTGTATAGGTAATTTGTAGAGAATTAGATTCTCTTCCTGATAGCCTAAAAAAATATGGGGCGTTCCATTTAAAATTTTCGACTTTCTCGCCATTAAATATGGAGAAACAGTAATTCAATTTTTGACCATCCTGTATAAGATACTCCGATACAACAAATGGCAATCTATTTGACAACATCTGAATAGTAATCGTGCCAAAGTAGATCTTTTTTGAATGAACTTTGGCTGAGATATGGAGTTTTAAAGAGCATGTTGAAATTTACCAAAAAAAGTTTAAAACCAAACTAACTCGAAAACAAAAAACGCTAGGTACCAATAACTTTTATCAAAGTCAACCTGCTTTTTTATGTACAATTAAACTGTGTAATAAAAACTATAGCATTCCATTTAAAATAGCGAAGTTATGGTCTACTTCCGGTAGACCGGAAGTGGCGGCAATCTTGAAAGTATTTTAGATCGAAAGTTCCGAATGAACAACCCATGCTACCAAAATTTCAAATCTCTACGAATAGTAGAAAATGAAAAAGTTCTAACGAACCAGTTAGGTGAGACACCCTGTATAACAACCTTCCACTGAATCACAATTAAAACTAGAACTAACACTAGACCTAGAAACATTTGGAACCTTTCTAGTTCTAGGTCTAATGTTAGTTCTAGTTTTAGTACAGGGTGTCCCAATTTCGATGTCCGCATAGGCTATCTCCGAAACTAAAAGAGATAGAAAAAAAGTAGCTTACATGTCATGATCTCGTTTTTCGAGAAAATGCTAATGCCGAAAACTCCGAACAGCTATCGTCTTTTGTTTTCGCCCTATCGGCAAAAACTGAAAATTTTGCGAAAACGACAATCGCGAATATCTCACTTATTATCAAAGATGGAGTATTATAAATAAAACATTATATGGGCAACTTTTTACGAAGAATTCAGTGGCGTAGGTAGAATTTTTTTCCCATCTTTTATTTTCGAGATTTTAGACGTAACTTTATTTTTTTAAATGGAAACCATAGTTGGCTATGACTTAAAATAATTTGTTATTTTCTTCTGATAACAAATATATATAGTTTGTGGGGTATATTTCTTATAGTTATTGAATAATTAACAAAAATTCATTTTGTTCCATCTAAATCTAATGTATGTATTTAAAAGTTAATGTTGCTATGGTGATAACCATACATACTATGATGGAATATAATGTATCAATTTTTTTTGTTCTTTCTAAAACTATTGTATGTATTTAAAACTTAATGTTGTTATGGTGATAACCATACCATGAGGGAAAGCATTGTTTCCAATTATTGCCAAAGTTTGTAGCAAGGACAGTAGAATCTAACAGGACTGCTACATCCATTGTATTTTTGTAGTCGACTACGGGTTGGTTGCCCGCACTCTACGTCACACTATTTGCCACGCCTGGTAACTGTCTATGTTTTTAGAGGTTATATGATAGACATTAATACGTCTAAAAACATAAAACTTCAAAACTAATATGAATACGTCTAGGATATAACCTCTAAAAACACACAGCAAACGCATAGACCATAACAACAGCTAGGCGTGGAAAATGGTGTGACGTAGTTTGCGGGTAGGCTGTCACAACAATGGATGTAGCAGTCCTGTTAGATTCTACTGTCCTTGAGTTTGTAGTAGTATTTAAAAATTCACTAACAACTCTGGCATTATGTGCTGGTGCTCCGTCATATTGAAAATATATCATTTGAGACATATTTAGTGGCAAATTGTCGACCAAAGGCTCAATGTGCTGCCTTAATATATTGAGGTATTTCCCTGAGTTTAAGTTTTTATGGTAGATACTATATGCCAAAATTCTATTATCTAAAAGGGCACACCATACATTGAACCCCAATCTTCTTTGAACACTCAGAGACTTCATCGGTCCAGATAACATTTTGAACAAACAGCAGATTATTTAATTTTTTTAAATATCATCTACAAAATTCTAATCTTCGATTGACATCTCCGGCACGTAAATAATGAGTTAGCCCCGCTTTGTATGGTTTATACTTATTTTTCTTTCATATTCGGGAGCAGCGGCTTTTGGGTCAGACGTCTTGTTGCAATTTCTCTTGCAGGTCATTTTGGTATGTTTTTGTATGTGGTTTGGGGAAGGACCAAATATCTATTAAATTTTCTGCTAACCGGCTGAAGGTTCTTACGTGCGGTTGTCTTCTTTCTGGATATCTTGTGAAATAAAATTCCGCGGCTAACGTCGCATTCTTATCTGATAACATATAGCATTCCATCATGTTACATTTTTCATAATTTTCGAAATTCATTGTAAAGTTTTATTCAGTTTTGTTATACTTTGACACTTAACATGCTGGTGCATCGTACCAGCACATAATGCCAGAGTTGTTATCGAATTTTTAAATACAAACTTTGGCAATTATTTGATACATTATGTTCCATCATAGTATGTATGGTTATCACCATAGCAACATTAACTTTTAAATACATACATTAGTTTTAGATAGAACAAAATGAATTTTTGTTAATTATTCAATAACTATAAGAAATATACCCCACAAACTATATATATTTGTTATCAGAAGAAAATAACAAATTATTTTAAGTCATAGCCAACTATGGTTTCCATTTAAAAAAATAAAGTTACGTCTAAAATCTCGAAAATAAAAGATGGGAAAAAAATTCTACCTACGCCACTGAATTCTTCGTAAAAAGTTGCCCATATAATGTTTTATTTATAATACTCCATCTTTGATAATAAGTGAGATATTCGCGATTGTCGTTTTCGCAAAATTTTCAGTTTTTGCCGATAGGGCGAAAACAAAAGACGATAGCTGTTCGGAGTTTTCGGCATTAGCATTTTCTCGAAAAACGAGATCATGACATGTAAGCTACTTTTTTTCTATCTCTTTTAGTTTCGGAGATAGCCTATGCGGACATCGAAATTGAGACACCCTGTACAAGTTTGTTACACAATACCGGGGTTTTTTATATTTTTATTGAACTCAATCTAGAATTAGTTCCAGTTTTAATTCCAACACTAAAACCAACTTAGATCTAGAACTAGAAACATTAAAGTTTATCCATCTTAAGAGACATCCATCTAAACCTAAATGATTCTAATTCTATGTTTAATGTTAGTTCTATTAGCTTCAATTTTAGTTATTATTCAGCGTTATATTCTTCACATTTCTATTAAATTATGATATAACAGTCCTTTTAGATTCTACCATCTTCAATTTTAACTCATTTTAACTCATCTTAATTAGTTATAAGTTATAACACACAATTTTCTATTAGATACTTATTATCATCTAATTCTTCAAATCAAAAAAAAAAAAAAAAGGAAAAATTCTTATTTGTACTAATAATTTGTCTTGAACAAATGACTCGTTAATTAATGTGTTGATGGTGAAGGGATTCCGTGAGTAACCGAATTTTCCAAGACGACATCTAACTCGTCCAGTGGCAATAAAATTTGTCGTAAGAACGTTAATAAACCTTGCTTCCTTAAAAACGAATTTTCTTCGTACATTTCCGTCGTTACTTTACAATTAGCCATTGGCAACAACATCCTGTGTAACAAATGTTCTCTAAAACAAATTAAAATTAAACGTTATAATTTTATTTTAACCCACTTTACCTAACACTCAAACAAATAAATAATTGGAATTTTCCATCTTTCCCTAACGCTTTACTCCCCGATTGGATTTCATCGACTAAATGACAATAACATCGCCAAACTGCAACGGTTTCTTGATGGTTTCTTTCAACGGAAATTGAACGATTTCCCGAGGTTTCTTCCATTAAATCATATTCAAATTGTTCTTTAACTCTTACTAAAAATTTCATCAACATTAATACTTAATAATAAACTAGTACCTAATTTATTAATACCAAAATAATCCCAAAGATAATGATTAAAAACGAATAATCTAGCCGATCGAAACCCAAGCAAAAACACCAACTCTAAACACTTAACCAATCCGGTATCACCACATAACAAAGCTGTAAGTGTAGTATTTCGTTCTGAACTACGCCTATAATGCCATTTTACTATATTATTAACGCAATCACCAAGCATGTGTTGGATTTGCGATGGTTTAAACTCATTTCTTGGTGGGCCAGGTGATTGGCTACGAATTGTGTTTCGCTTTTTTAAACTTCCAGGGTTAGAAGACGATCCAGATTCATCATCGGTTTGTTGTTTTATTAATGTACCAACGAGTAAACGTTCCGTTGAGCCATCATCTACCCCTCTTCCTAACCATCGACCACACGGGAAACTTAATTAAAAAAAAATTATTAAATTAATTTATTAAATTTGATTTTAACTTACTGATAAGTATGGCCAGTAATTTCATTGCGAACCAAAACGTAATCGATCATCCATTTCGCCGATAACCCGGAATTATCATGGCCAATTCGTAGTGTGGTTAAAACTCCGAGATTTTTGTGTTTAATTTCGAAATTAAGCGCGTTTCTTGGCACGGATAATCTTCCGGTTTCAAGTAGTGTACCGGAAGCTACGAACCATACGTTTGCGGATGTTATTGTTCCTCTTTTTGTTGGCACAATTACTATACGATAAGTTATCACTAAAAATTATTAAATTAATTAATCAAAAGCAATGATTTAAAGAAATAAATATAATAATATGTTTAGCCATCTTATAAGACGTGTGGTTTAACTCGAAAGTGTTAAAGATTTAGAAACATTCGAATTTTAAAACATTAGATTTTGAGACATTTCGATTAGTTTCGGAGAAATCGCAATTCAAAGTTAATGTTTTTAAATTGCTAATTTAGACCTAATTTAGAGAGATTTTTTGTAAGGATGAATTCAAAGTTATTTTTATCTTATTTATAAAAATAAAGGAGCCAAATTTGGTGGGTTAATCAAAAATTGATCACTAATTCGAATTTTATAAACCATTTTGAGATATCTCGATTAGTTTCGGAGTTAATTTTCAAATTGTCAAAATATATGATTCATATTATAAAAATTGATCATTACTCAAAGACTATAATCGATAGAAGGAAATGTTTTGCATGAAATTTGTTGATATTACATTAATAAAGAATAATTTATAACAAAATTTTCTTCTAGCGGTTAACATTTTTTAGAAATAAGGTGAAAATGTTCAAAATGTCAAAATATATGATTTATATTATGAAAATGGACCATTACTCAAAGATTATAATCGATAGAAGAAAATTTTTAGCATGAAAATTGTTGATACTAAATTAATAAAGAATAATTTATAACAAAATTTTCTTCTAGCGGTTAACACTTTTTAAAAATAAGGCGAAAATCTTCAAAATGTCAAAATATATGATTCATATTATAAAAATTGATAATTACTCAAAGACTATAATCGATAGAAGAAAATGTTTTGCATGAAAATTGTTCATACTAAATTAATAAAGAGTAATTTATAACAACATTTTCTTCTAGCGGTTAATATTTTTTAAAAATAAGTTAAAAAACTTCAAAATGTCAAAATATATGACTCATATTATGAAAATTGATCATTACTCAAAGACTATAATCGATAGAAGAAAATGTTTTGCATGAAAATTGTTGATTTTAGATTAATAAAGACTAATTTATAACAAAGTTTACTCCTAATTGTTAACATTTTTTAGAAATAAAGCGAAAATCTTCAAAATGTCAAAATATATGACTCATATTATGAAAATTGATCATTACTCAAAGATTATAATCGATAGAAGAAAATGTTTTGCATGAAAATTGTTGATATTAAATTAATAAAGAATAATTTATAACAAAATTTTCTTCTAGCGGTTAACATTTTTTAAAAATAAGGAGAAAATCTTCAAAATGTCAAAATATATGTGACTCATATTATGAAAATTGATCATTACTCAAAGATTATAATCGATAGAAGAAAATGTTTTGCATGAAAATTGTTGATATTAAATTAATAAAGAATAATTTATAACAAAATTTTCTTCTAGCAGTTAACATTTTTTTAGAAATAAAGCGAAAATCTTCAAAATGTCAAAATATATTACTCATATGATGAAAATTGATCATTACTCAAAGAGTATAATCGATAGAAAAAAATGTTTTGCATGAAAACTGTTGATTTTAGATTAATAAAGAATAATTTATAACAAAGTTTACTCCTAATTGTTAACATTTTTTAGAAATAAAGTGAAAATCTTCAAAATGTCAAAATATATGACTCATATTATGAAAAATGATCATTACTCAAAGATTATAATCGATAGAAGAAAATGTTTTGCATGAAAATTGTTGATTTTAAATTAATAAAGAATAATTTATAACAAAATTTTCTTCTAGCGGTTAACATTTTTTAGAAATAAGGAGAAAATCTTCAAAATGTCAAAATATATGATTCATATTATAGAAATTGATCATTACTCAAAGATTATAATCGATAGAAGAAAATGTTTTGCATGAAAATTGTTGATTTTAAATTAATAAAGAATAATTTATAACAAAATTTTCTTCTAGCGGTTAACACTTTTTAAAAATAAGGTGAAAATCTTCAAAATGTCAAAATATATGACTCATATTATGAAAATTGATAATTACTCAAAGACTATAATTGATAGAAGAAAATGTTTTGCATAAAAATTGTTGATTTTAAATTAATAAAGAATAATTTATAACAAAATTTTCTTCTAGCGGTTAACATTTTTTAAAAATAAGGAGAAAATCTTCAAAATGTCAAAATATATGATTCATATTATAAAAATTGATCATTACTCAAAGATTATAATCGATAGAAGAAAATATTTTGCATGAAAATTGTTGATTTTAAATTAATAAAGAATAATTTATAACAAAATTTTCTTCTGACGGTTAACATTTTTTAGAAATAAGGCAAAAATCGTCAAAATGTCAAAATATATGACTCATATTATGAAAATTGATCATTACTCAACGATTATAATCGATAGAAGAAAATGTTTTGCATGAAAATTGTTGATATTACATTAATAAAGAATAATTTATAACAAAATTTTCATCTAGCGGGTAGCATTTTTTTAAAATAAAGCGTAAAGTTCCAAAATCTAATCAGACGCACAGCTAAACTCGAAAATTTCTAGTTCTAGATCAGTGTTAATTTTTTGTGCTGGAACTAGACACTAGAGGTTGTATATTTTTATTGAACTAACCCTAGACCTAGAAGCATTCGAATTTAGCTGTACGTCTTTAAACACAGCTAAATCTGAATGTATCAAGGCACAGTGTCAGTTCTAGTGTTAGCTCTAGTTTTAGTTGTTATTTAGCGTTAGATTGTTGCATATTTCTATTGAACTAAAAGCAGAACTAACTAGTCTAGTGTAGTTTATGTTGTTATTAAACTAAAACCAGAACTAACACTATATCTAGAAACATTCCGGTTTAGCGCTACTTAACTCGAAAGTTTCTAGTGTAAAACAACATTACATTTTGGTCACCCCAATAAACACACAAATTTAATTACCAGTGGTGTGGTATGTGCCAGTAAAACAAAAATAATCAACCGTATTTAAACTTAAAAGGTGATATAAAAACTGTTCCTTTTCCTCTTCGCATCGTAGAAAAGCCGCTCGTTTATAAATCGTTTTTAAGATGTTTTGGTCCGAAAGTAACATTCGGAAATGTTTTGAAAGTTGTTTCTTTTCCAAAACAAGCCGAACCCAAGTTCTAGCCATTCCAATACCACTTTTTACATCTGACATCATTTGTACGTTCCTATATAATAAAATTATCTCATTATCAATATTTATTGATTTATTTGATAATCTTACGTGATATCGAATAAAAGAGATTCTGGAAGTGGTGGTAATTCACATTTCATGTTTTTATTTTCTGTGCTACTACTACTTGACCAATTTTCCATTCCTAAAGCTAACCTAGAAATATCAGCTAAAAAATAAATTTAATTAATAAAATAAACTTTATTTTAGAATTTACTTCTAACCTGGTGATAAATGTTGATTATCCAATTTTTTAATTGGTTGATGATACTCTTGATAAATAAGCAAATGGGACCATAACGCAGATTTTCCTCGTTTCCTTTGCACCCCGTGCGACCACACCCTTTCCAAAAAATCGCACAATGAAGCAACTAAAATATTCTCCTCAACCGACCCAGAACTATCCATACAATTAGTACTAGATAACGTAACTCCTTCAGCTCCCAATTTCGCCAAAACCATCCTTTTCGTTTTAACCTTACAATCTTTTAATAATTTCTCAACAAAACTCCAATTAGTTTGCGCAAGTAAAGCGGGCGACATATCCGATTGATTAATCCCTTGTTTCTCACATTTCTCAATGTTTAAATTAATTGTGCGCGAATTAAACGAAAATAAAGACGTTTTCTTTAAAGCATTCGCCCTCGGTATACTTCCCTTATTAACGATTGGGGTTTTATTCAAAATTTCTTTGTCTAATAAAGGAAAAGTGCGCGATATCGAACTTGGATGGTTCATAATTTCTTTAGGATACGGCGATTCGAAATCGGGATTCGTCATTCTACGATCTAATAATTTTTGGGTATCATGCGCGCTCGTGCACGGTTCGTAAGTAGATCGCGTCAAAAAATGTTCTCCACCGTACCTTTCCTTTAAAATTTTTATTCTAGTATCGAAAATTTGCAAATTATTGTCGATTTCGCCCCATTGCGATAAAATTTTATTATCAACGAACGTCGTAAACATTTGCGACTCCAAAAAGCGCCATAAAAATAATCGATGTTGATCGGGTTGATCGGATAAAAACGACGCCTTATCGAAATTCTGCATCGTATCGCGATTATTAAGCCAATCCTCACGACTTTGATTGGGAAAAATTACGAAATTATCGTACGATTGAAAAATGTGAACGAAACGATTCAAAAAAATTTCACGAATTGAATTATTAAACCTTAAATCTTCCATGTAAGAATCCGTCGGTTGTTGAGGAGCATCGTTTTGATCTAAAGCCACACCGGTTCTTCGTACAATATCGGCTATTCTTTGTAAAGCTTCCGATCGTGCTGAACCAGGTGGAGATGGAGGCCTATCAGTATCTAAAGTATCGTGAATTGATAATTTACGCCGGTTTTGTGGTCGCCCAGGGAGTGTGCAACTCCGTGACATAATATCCTAAACAATAAATGAGTTAAAACTTTAAAATTAACAATAAATATGATTATAATACTTGATTATTGCGTGTATTTTCAATGTTAGGTGTATGAACTCCGTATTTATCTAAAGTACAATTAATTTCATCCGAAAATGAGTCAAGATTGGGAAACGCCGGCATTTCTTCCGGAAGTTGTACTTTGCATTTATCGATGTCTACGTAGCATAAACTCGCCTCTGAGGCTACTTTTATGTTTTCAGATGAAGCATATAAACCTAAACATCAGTTAAAAATTATTTAATTAATTAAATTAGAACTATACTCTGTTTTTAAACCAGGAGGAGTATTTTAAATTTGTCACCAGATTGACCTTGCACGTGATTGGTTGAATGCGAGGAAGGTTCACACACAGGCAATTTTGATTTTGAATTTGAAGTTTAGGTAATTGATAATTCGACAGTTTCGTGTCATTATTGTAAACTGACCGGCAAAAAAAACCGGCCACTATAAATTAGCCAAAACTTCAAAGCTGGCTTTCTCGCGAACCGCGCACTCGATTTTGATGATTGTTTCTTTGATCGAAAGGTTGATTCTTCGGTAATAATCCTGCGATAGAAATTTTCATTTAGGTTTTAATTTGAGCATATACGGGTTGCAAGAATGAGAAAAACTTTTGTTTCTCGAAATTTGTAATACCCTGTGGGGTGCAACTGCTACAGCAGATAGTGTTAACTGGAATCACACGGTAGCCCAATCTTTTCTGAACATCTTGTTTTTTTATTCACTCTATTATCTCTATTACTAACGAAGATGCAGTGTTTTAAAGCGAACGCCTGTAAAAACAAGACAAACAAGCATAAAAAAAGCTAAGGTGGCGCGCTAGGTAGCGTATGTCATTTGTTTCGAATAGTAAATTGACAGTTGTTAAAGATTTTTACAGTCTTTTAACATAATAGCAATCCCGTTGTCAGTAACTGATGTTGCGGCTATTGTTACTTTAATTGAGGATGGCAAAAGTCAGCAATACGTTGCCCATACGTTGGGTGTACCCTGAACAACAGTTCAGGATGCCTGGAACCAATATGTGGAAACAGGAAATTTCACTAGGCGGCAAGGTTTCGGTAGAAGACGAGTGACAACAGCAGTTGATGACCGATTTATTGTTCTAAACACTCTGAGGAATTTTAGAACGACAGCTGTAGAAACTCGGCATCCTCTTCAGATGGTGCGTGGGGTTGGCGTAAGTGAAAGAACTATTCATCGAAGACTTGATAAAAGTGATCTGACTGCAAGAAGACCTGCCAAAAGACCTCGGCTGCTCCAGAGACATCGGCGAGCACGTCTTCAATTTGGGCGCGTACGTATGAATTAGGGAATGGAACAATGGGGTAAGGTGCTCTTCACTGACGAGTCCCGATTTTGTCTCCGGTCACCTGATGGTCGAGAGTGAGTGTGGAGACGTCGTAATGAAAGGTTTGCGACCTGCACCATTTCGGAAAGAGTACCTTTCCATGGAGGTTCTATTCCCATTTTATTGGTGACGGATTCATGCTAATGCATGACAATGCGCGACCGCACGTAGCACGTGTGGTTAACGAATATCTTGATGAAGTAGGGTATTGAACGGATAGAGTGGCTCGCGTGCAGCCCGGACCTTAACCCTATCGAATATCTTTGGGACCAACTTGAGAGACGCATTCGTCGTCGTCCTGTCCTACCGGACAACCTTCAAGAGTTACAAATTGCTTTTGAAGAAGAGTTTGCCGCAATTGCTCACTGACATCAACGACATGCACCATTTGAAGACGACACCGAGCTTCTACAGCTGTCGTTCTACGATTGCTTAGAACAATAAAACGGTCATCAGCTACTATTGTCACTCGTCTTGTTTTCACAGGCGATCGCTTGAAAATACTGCATCTTCGTTAGTAACAGAGATAATAGAGTGAATAAAAAAACAAAATGCTCAGAAAAGATTGGGCTACCATTTGATTCCAGTTAACACCCTCTGCTGTAGCAGCTGCACCCCATAGGGTATTACAAATTTCGAGAAAAAAAGGTTTTCTCATTCTTGCACCCCGTATATGCTCAAATTAATATCCGAATAAAAATTTCTATCGCAGGATTATTACAGAAGAATCAACGTTTCGATCAAAAAAAGAATCATCAAAATCGAATGAGTGGTTCGCGAGTAAGCCAGCTTTGAAATTGTGGCTACATTTTGGTGGCCGGTTTTTTTTGCCGGTCAGTGTATATTTTGTGTTCTTAAACCCTTTTTTAATATATTTTGAAATAAATACACTCATAACTTCAATGTTAATTTGTATGTATAGTGTTGACGATAACAAACGAAAATAAATACAATAATAAGTAAATAAATAAATAATAATAATTATTAATTTAAATTTACCGCCAAAATATCTAGTGATATTTTCTGGTGATTTTTCCTAGTGTAAATTTGACTTTCGCGTTTACTCCTCCTGGTTTAAAAACAGAGTATAGAACGAATACTAGCACTATCACTAGAACTAACACAAGACCTAGAAGTAGAATCATTCGGGTTTAGCCGTCTTAAGAGACGTGCGGCTAAATCCGAATGTTTCTAGTTCTAGTATTAATTCTAGTTTTGCTTTAGAACTAACACAAGACCTAGAACTAGAATCATTCGGGTTTAGCCGTCTTAAGAGACGTGCGGCTAAACCCGAATGTTTCTAGTTCTAGAGTTAGTTCTAGTTTTACACTAGCGCTATCACTATAACTAACACAAGACCTAGAACTAGAATCATCCGGGTTTAGCCGTCTTGAGAGACGTGCGGCTAAACCCGAATGTTTCTAGTTCTCGGTCTAGTGTTGTCTAGTTGTGGTCTAGTCTTGTTCTGCTTTTCGTTCAATAAAAATATACCTGAATAACAATTAAAACTAGAACTAACACTAGACCTAGATCTAGAAACATTCGGGATTAGCCGCACGTCTCTCAAAACGGCTAAATCCGAAAGTTTCTAGTTCTAGATCTAATGTTAATTCTAGTTATAGTGTTAGTTCTAGTTTTAGTTTAATTAACACCGGCCGTGAAAGCCTTCGTACTTACAGTTAGTCACAAAAGTCTACATACACCACCTAAAATAGCGATATAGAAATAAAGACTATTAAATTAATCTTTGTATTACATTTAAAACTACTTATGCTTATTGATGAGCATACCACATAGAATAAAACTAAATCAAATGCTCCATAGACGGAGCAAAAAATTTAATACTGATAGATAACCCTCACAAAAGTCAACATACAGTTACGCATTTGATACAAAACAGCTTACACAGGAAGTTCACCATAATAATAAAGTTAAGAAGTGAGCGGAAATCATATGGTGAAAGTGAACTGTTGGCAAAAGTCGAGCAACATCAGTCTATGTCTAGCACTATTAGTACAATTTTAAAACGGATGAAAGAAAATGCCAGAACAAGTGCTCCTCAACTGGCAGAAGAAATTCAACAAGCTACCTACAAAATCGACCATTCAGAAACTGTATGTAGAGTGTTAAGATTTAATAGATTTAATGGACGAATTCCATGAAAAAAACCTTTGATTTCTCAACAAAACAGACAGAAAAGGATTGAATTTGCTATAAGTTATCCTGCAAGTGACTTTGAATTTTGGAAAACAGTTCTGTTTACTGACGAAAGTAAGTATATTTTCGGATCGGATGGTAGAGGAAAAATTTGACGGAGAGCAAACCAAGAAATGGAAGCAAAAAATTTGCTCCCAACCTTACACGATCAATATTATTGTCAATACTTTTGTCAATAAGTTACCTTTTTACCACGAACAGGGTGAATCTACGTAGTTTTACTGGGTTATTTGCTAGTTTTTCCTTTCCAAATAAGGATAAAAACGTACAAAAGCTTGCGTAGCTTTATTTTGGCGCTTGGAACTACTCTTCGAGTGAAACGCAAATACGGAATGAAAGAATGGTTGAAGAAGAGAGATGAATATTCTTATCTAGTACTGTTGACAGAAATCAACCTCTGCAATGTTGATGATTTCAAGAACTACGTTTGAATGGATGAAAGTTCCTTTAATCAACTGTTACAGATGGTTGAACCATTTTTGAAGAAGATAGAATAGCAATATAAGAGAAAGTACAAGTGTTAGGGAAAGATTAGCCTTAACCCTGAGGTATTTGGCCACAGGAAGAAATTTTGAAGACTTGAAGTTTTCTGTTATAATGTCCTCAGCAACTATCAGCAAAGCTGGATGAACAGGATGAACCAACAGTATCATCATCGTGTTGAACGGGCGCGCGGCTTGAACTAAACTGAGTGTAATTTAGAAAATAAAAATTAAACTTGTTTTCAAATCATCTCGGTTAACCCTTTAATGGTTAGTGGCTTCTATAGAGACTAGTTATCAATAAGGTCAAATAGCTGCATTACCACAACTAAATCGTTTCTAAAAACGAAAAAATAATTTGCCCGTTAAAGGGTTAAAATAACATATGTTTTTCAGTGTGTTGATACACATGTTTTGTTATTGTTACAATTAAATAAAAGTAGGTATTTAATTTTGAGTGTTGAGTTTATTACTCATACACTGAGTATTGATGGAAATATTGGCTCCAACCCTACATGGTCAATAGTATTGCCAATATCCCCTCCAATTTTCAGTATTGATGCCCGAAAATCAGAAAATCCGGGTTTTTATCAATACTCCATCAATAAAATTTTTCACCTTACATTGTCAATATGCTAAGGTATTATCAATATTATTAATCGTGTAAGGGCCGCTTTAAACGTGGTAAAGGGTTGATAATCGTTTGGGACTCAATGGTGGCTTGTGGGCTAGGAAATTTGATTTTTATTGATGATATCATGGACCATAGACGGTATTTGGAAATATTTCAAGGCATATTTGAAAATATAAGAATAAGCAATCCAACAAACGATGCGCTAAATAAAGCTTGGACTAAAATACCAATCAGTGTAACAAAGAATCTTGTTCTTTCTATGCCAAGATGACTCCACGCAGTTCTCAATTTGCAAGGTGGACCTACAAAATATTAAAATTTTTGTATTTGACTATGATTAACTTAATAATTTCAAGTTTTATACATGTGTATGTAGACTTTTGTGAGCTGTTAATTTAAAGCTAAGTTTCCACATGCAACTGGCGCCAGTACGAAGCCAGTTTAGTGGCGCCAGAAGTTGTTTCCACATAAATGTTATAATTGTGTACTGGCACAGTAATAAAAATGGCGGCAAGTGATGTACTTCGCATCAATATGGTACTCCAAATGTGCTTCTTGAAACTGCACACGTTATTAACAAAAAAAACCAAAAACATAGTTGCTGGGATAGATCGTGGATTGCATATAGAAATAACCTAGGTGCGTCTAGTACTTTAATTAGAGAATTATTCCATGAAGATTTTTAATCATTTAAGAATGCCTAAAGAGAGTTTCATGTTTTTGTTGAGGCAAGTATCCTCTAAAATACAAAAACAACATACGCATATGAGAGATGCCATTTCAGCTCACGGAAAATTGCAAGCAACTTTAAGATTTTTAGATTCTTCTACATCCTTGTAATATATGTATCACAATTTCTAAATTTATATGTAAAGTGCTTTATGGTGAAGTACTTTATGGTATTCAATTGTATACGCATTGCGTATACTTTGTATTTTTGCTTTTGCCGAGGTTTCGTCAAAATTAGAAACTGTTTTCTTCATAATTTCAACTATCCTTCTGACAGCTTCATTTCGTGCCAGTCGGTTCTTATATTGTGGAATTTTCTGATTCCACAAACAAGGATATTGTTCATACGTTTCTAGAAATAGTACTATTTGTTCTGATGTCCATTTTATGGATGGTTTATTAGCGGATTTGTTCTTTTTTTTGCACAAACACGTTAATAGTTACACGTTTTCTTTATAAATACTGTTACTGGCGCCAAAAAGTAGAAATAAATGCAAATGAACTGGTACCAGTAATCCATACATGTGGAAACTTAGCTTTAGTTTAAATTCTTTTCCTAGATTGTATTATGATAAAATAGTTATGTCTCAAAATTCTCTACATTCAGGTAGTAATAAATATTTTTAAAACGAAATCATCAATAATATGACGTATTATTTAACTGGAGTGAATTTACTTGGTGTATGTAAACTTTTGTGACTAACTGCATATTTAATTAATTTTTCAAAAGTGAGGTTATGATTTAAATTATTGACATTTCTATATCAACATAACCTCAATTTAATTATTATTAATTATAAATATTATTTTACCCATTACAAACGGTACAGGAGCGTCCAAAAAGTGATGTAACGACGCCGGTAATATTGGAACATAAACGTGTGGCCAAGAAAATGGAAATAACAATGCAGTGATCCCTTCTGCGACCACCATTAACCTTTGGCTATCGGCACTTCTTAATAAAATTTGATTTTCAAGGAGGAGGCAGGTAAATAATTGAACGACGATATCAACGCCTAACCAAAGAAACATAAGTCTTAAGGAATAATCGAAATGAGGTAATTCAACGATAGGACTAGGATTTTGGAGTATTACGTTTGTTAACGGTAGTTTTGGATCACAAGGTGGTAAATGAACTAATAAGCTTCGACCCGGCGACGGTGTTTCAACCTAAAAAGAATAATTTGGTTAATTTTAGATTTATGAGGTGATTACATAAAATAGAGATGATACCTCGTATAATAAATTAAATATATAACTTTCTAAACTTAGCCCTACTGGGGTAGATCTTTTGGGGACACATCTAAGCAAAAAGATTAGAAAGCATTATTAAGATTATTGTTATTTACATTTATAATTCTTTAACACACATTTTTACATATTTGTTAGGTTATGTTGTAATTTACTGTTGCCATGGGGATTTAATGGAGGACCTAACAAGTTGTCATGGCAACAACATAACTCCTTGACATAACATAAAAACATAACCTAACAAAAATTAAAAAAAATGTGTGTTAGTTAAAAAATGTAATACTAACCTGTATAGATTCTCTAAAAACGTTTTAGCTGCCTGAACATAAGGAATTTGACAAATAATTCCAATACTTTTTGATACAAATAGCTTATCGTTACTTATATCATAATAAGTTAATGATACTCCTCCAGGACTTGGAGTGCTTAATTTAAAATGTCTTGGCAGTGATCTCGATTGGGGTGTTATTGTTTGATTTTGTATCGATTTCGGTTTTAACCCACTGGATAACTCGGTAACATACATAGCTTGTAAAGTTTGCATGGCACTACAAATATCTCGGTTTTTAACTTCTTCATAAAAAATAAGACTGAATCCGTATGAACGCTTTCCATCTTCTCTCGTTATCATAAATGAGTGAAAATTAGGTACTTGAGTAACCGAGTGTTTTTGTGTTCTAAATCTGAGACCGTTTGGCAAACAAAACTAAAATTATAAATTTATTTATTATATTGATTTTTGTAGAATTTAATTAATTTTACCATTGCCACAGCTGCCGGATCAAACGGATTATGTTTAACATTTTCGGGGTAATGTGCTAAAATTTTAGATTTATAAGGCCGTTCCAAAGGTGAAGTGTGCAAATTATCATCTACTGAGAAAATAAAATAAACCAATTAACATTTAATTAACGTCTTCATCACTTAATTACCCGTAAATCTATCCGATTCCAATCCTGAATTATAATCCAATCCACAAATTACAAAATAATCCGCAAATTTGTTCATCTCCGTTTCAATCGACTTAATTTATTAATAACACAGATTTTACGATTCACCAGAATAATATCATTCTCACTCAGCTCCTGCTAAACAACTTTCCTTTACGTTTCGCTCTTTAAATCATTAATTATTTCTATTTTAACTTTCTGTTTTTTATTTTATTTTTAACAGCTTTAGCATGGCAAGACGTCAAACGTCAAAACATGACGTCATTTCGATTTTCTACTCGGCCGTCAATACAATGAAAAAGAAAAGGGATGGAAATATTATTTTGTATTGATTAAAAAAGGATGGGAAATGTTATGAGGAGGTCTTTTATGTTTAATTGTCATAATTCCACAATTTTAAATTCGTCTATTCAACACTAGATGTCTCATTTAAGAATAAAATTATTTTATCTTTTTAAAATAATTAATTTTTCATAAAATTAATTAAAAATTGAATTTATTAAAAAAGTGTTGAAAGATAAGTATTTAAATAAAAACTGTAATTAAATCGTTTTTAAAGTTTATTGTAACAATCACCATACATAAAAATGCTACTAAACAGATCTTCTTTTCATTACGATACGATTTAAAACGATTTTCTTTACGCATTTAAGTCTTATTTTTTTACAAAAAAGAAATTGTTTATTCTTAAATCCTTATAGAGTACAATAAAATAAATATTTGAGTTCCAGTTAACATGTAGTTGGTGTGCTAAATCCACACCTTAGAATCGTAAAATAGTCTTAAAACAAATATACAAAAATATCTTCTCTTCAATTATATTTTTATGTAAATGTGTATTTATTTTTCTTTTTAGTACAGAATTGTTTAGAATTTAATAAACAACCATCATTTTCTTTTTTATACATCCTACATTATTGTTACCATGTTTTTAAAGTTTTCTTATAATATTACACTTATTTTATTTAATTTTTCTTCAAAACTACTTCAATTTTCACTCAATTTTTATTTCAATTAGTATTGCGCGATCACTTTGAGCTTAACATTTCCTCATTTTTTTTGACATCTAACACAGAAGTTAGTACATCTTATCACTATTAAATATATCGATAAAAAGAAATAACACCTAATAAACAATCCAACTTGTGTCTTTAAATTTGATTGTGCTAATTGGAGAGGTATTTTGAGGAGATTAAATTGTTTTAAGGATAGTTAGGTGTATGATGAATAAAAATAAACAGTTGGAGGGTTGTTTTAAAGGTGTTGTTTCTTATTTTGCTATTTAATTTAATTTAAAGAAAGATTAAATTAAAATGTGTATGTCAAATGCAACCAATGATACAATTAAGCATGTTTGGTTGCATAACTTTGGAAATTAATTAGGTTATGTACACAGAAAATCTTAAATTATAATGATAATACAAACTCTTTTCGAATACATGTTACTTTATAAGTTTTAACATTGATTTTTTTATATTTTTATTCGAAATCTTCCAAAATCTTTTTCTTTATAACTCCTTTATTTAACGATTCTTTATTCACGTCGCTTCCTTTTTATTTTTGCGAATTTTCTTTCACCTGGCATTAATGCAACTTAATCTCAATTGATTTGAATTAGTTTGTGGGATGAATCCCGGTATAGATTCCATTAAAGGGTACCATTGGGCAACATTCCTCCTTGGATTATCCAACATCTCCATCCAATGTTCTCTTCCTATCCCAATAAAACTCGACCCGATTGCTGTACAACCCATTAGCTCATTAGAACCAATTCGATCGTAATCGAAAACTTTAATAATTATACTGACATCCTCTATATTTTCAGCGGGAACATCAAAGACCATCGCCTCATTATAAACTGGAGATAAAGTGTTTTTCATCACAGAGGTTTTTTTCTTTTTTATTCGTTTTCCTTGGCATAAAAGATATACTTTTACGTAAGGGTCTGATTTGCCAGTGATATCCATTGCTTTTAAATTTCGTCCCTTCACTACGGTTAATGTTAATCTTCCAGCAGTTGGTAAATAACACAATGATAACATTATTTCCCCCAAATCAACTTTATCCTAAAGAAAATATCAAATAAATAAAACAAATCTCGTAATTCCTAAATTAAGGGTTAACATTGTTTTAGATTATTTTTGTTTATCAACTGGAAATAATAAGTTATTGATTATTCGCGACCAAAAAATTATGCTGCTCATTGAATCCATTAATTTAGCGTTCAACCGCGACGACATCCTTTAAAGTTGTATTTTTTCACAAACTCTTTTTTTTTTAAGTTGCAAATGAACATTAAATTTGTTTAATTCTTAATTTATTCATAATTAGTTCGTATTTGTGATAAGAGATGGCGCTCTAATTTTAAATCGAGCTTTTTTTAATGTATTTTTGGTTCAACTTACAAAATTAATTTAAAATATACACTTAAATCGTATCAATTAATTGATTTAAATGAAATTATTTAAATAAATAATAATTAAATTAAAAAAAAATAATTAAATTACAAAAAAATAATAATTTTTTATGTTGGTATTAATTGACATTGACAACCAGACAAATCAACTAATCAAATTCAAAAAAAAATAATTTAAATGTTGTTAAAATTGTTTAATATATTTTTTTACCTGAGGTGGACAAAGAATATTCATTGTGTACTCAATTTCTTGTTGTAAATCAGTATTGTCTAATAATCCTTTAAGAACAACATGCCCAATGAGATCATGTCTTGAAAATCTATCAAAATCGTAGACTGAAAACTGGATGTAACGTTGTTTTAAGTCATCGTAAGAAACGCTGAAAAGATTTAAAAATGAATTAAGAAGTTGTGATTGATTTATTTAAGTTTAAATACATTTTTAAGACCCACCTAAAGATAAATGTTTCATTGAAAACGGGATTAAGATTCTTACGGTGAACCTTTGTCTGAAACTTCTTCTTGCGATCCGGGAGAAGATAAATTTTAATGTATGGATCGCTGCTGCCAGATACATCCTTTATAGGTAAGTCCCGGGATTCAAGAACCTAAAGAAAATAAATAAAACAGGAATAATTAAACATAGAAAACGGTTGGTTTAAAAATTAAATTCAATATCGTCGACATTAACTTGTTGTTTAGATTGGAATGGTTTAGAAGCACGAGTATTGTTCGATCCCAAACCCAGTTTTGGATAATAGGCAAAGTTGAAGTGCACATTTGTAGTTGTAAACGTTACACGATCGAAATCCATCAAATTCGCTTTGAAATGTAGTAAAGATTATTTTTAAATATTTATTCGTTTTAATTCGCCTATTAATCTTTGTAGAGTGGCGTGTTACTCGCTTTAAACTCATTCTTTTTTCACTTTTCGTCCTTCGGGATCGTAAAAATCGATTGGAAAACCTTCCCTATCTGCGACCTAATAGGAGAAGCGTCCCCGATGCAATAAACGCAATGGGAATTTATCACGCGAATTTATCCTTAACTTGACTATTAATTCAAAAAAAAACTTACTTTAACAACGAGTCCTTCAACATCTTTATCATATCGGAGTGCGAAATGCAATTTTCCGCAATATTCCATATCGGGACCTCCGCTTTCCGTGGAAGCTTGTCGAACTAAATCTTTTTTGTAAAGCTCCGGCTGGATTTAAACAAAAATAAATAATAAAATAATAAAAAAAAATCATTTATTATATTTACCTTTATTAACCCAATAATACTCGAATCGTTTTTGTGTTCAAGACTGCATATACTGAATTGAATTGTTGCCGGCATTTCCAGCCGATGAGATAGCTGCCTTTGGAATGTTTGATGTCTCGTCGGAACTATTGGTAAAGTCGTCTGTCTGAGGACCTGTACAACCCAAATTGAATTAAACCCCGACCCCGTCTTGCGTGTTTATACTATTTCATAGTAAGAGTACTCGGGAAATGGAATTTCAAGTGATGTTACAATGGCCCTTAATATATTCAAGAAATGTAACGGAGCGAAAACGAAACGAAAAGATTTTTTTTTGTTTACATTTACCGATGGATTAAAAACGTTCGGATAAAAATATAAAACATCCGGTTTTATGGTGACGCGGGGTTGTTGTAAAAAAGGGGTTTTTGAAAGGACGAACGTCGTATTGCGGTTTTTACGACTGATAGTAATCTAAAAGTGCGTCGAAATTGAGTATTAAAGTAATGGAAAACACCTGGTTTTAAAATTTATGTTTGTAAGGTTTAGCATCGTATAAAAAAAGATCGTTTTAATCAATCTATAAAGTTTTTTTTCACTTCTTCGTGATGACTCTTAATAACCTGTGTGGAAAACGGAGTCAAATTATGCAAGGTTGTTATCAGATCTACTGTTTTCGAATCATCATCGAATTCATGTTGGGAACAGCCAAAAAGATATTCGACGAACGATATCCCAATCCACTCCGTAAAGGTCAACTCCCAAGAGGTACAATAAGCCAAAGATGGCTCTTACATAAAGTACCACCGAAGCATTATTTGTAGTAACTTTCAATTTTGTACAAATAATCTCAAAATCGATGTTGTCGGGGGAAGCGTTCGTTGATGACACACTTAACAAGCCAAAAATACGAATTTCTCTTTTGGGATAAATCGAGGAAGAGAAAAAATTTGTAAAAAAAAAGCAGATAAAATATTTACACAGAAGAAGACAAAGCATGAAAACGCAGACAAGGCTACAGACCAAATATGCGAAAGTGGAAGACATCAAAAACACATGTACAGCTCACTTTAAGAACTCTTAAGTGCCAGAACGAGAGAGCTACAAATTGTGTACGAAAGAAACGAGAAAGGAAATAAATTGAAGAGCACCAACCAACAGTTATAGAAGTAAGAGGCATAATGGAAGTCCTAAGAAACAACAAATTTGCAGCTAAAAACTTCAAACACACCGAAGAGCTCGCTTTTATGGCGAAAAAATTGCTTTTATGTTGTCAAATTAAAGCTATATGGATAACCAAAGTCTGCTTCTTTATCTTATTCTTAATTCTTTATGCAGCACTATTTAAACTTGAAAACTCTTAACTCTATCGTATCATATCTTCAGAAGGACAAAGAATGGGACATTGACATCTCATAAATTTTTTCTACTCATACCTGATTTGACCATTTACGTATTCAAAGAAACTTATTAAAAGAAAATGCGAAAAATATGGGACTGGAAATCAACGCAAATACATTAAAGATCCTAATACAGCCAAAAGATGCTGTGGTCATCCTGCTAATGATAACTGATGACAACATCGAACGTACTATCTTGGAATGAAATCTTGAAAGCGATGGAAAGCAAAATTCAGAAATAAAAAGGCGCGCTATTCTTGCTAATGGACTCTGTTTTGCCTTCTTGTATGTCTTCAAGTCACCGAACGTTTATATAAAGAAGAAGGTACGTGTGTACATGGTTTCCCAAATTCTTTGTCCACATAAGCTACCTCCGAAACTAAAAGAGACATTAACTAACAAAGAGAGACTAACAAATATGTGTAGTTTGTTGGGTATATTTCTAATAGTTATTGAATAATTAACAAAAACTTTTTGTTCCTTTTAAAACGATTGTATAGTTCATTTTTTTTCTATAATACCTGCCAAATTGTTGTAAAGTTGGCAAAATTAACAGGGAGTTTTGTTTTATCATGTTTTGAAATAAATATGTCATACTGACGTTTGAGCTTTCGTTATTCAAAAAAAAAGGTGCTTAAAAAATGTTGTGGGGTGTTTATTTGCCATTTATTTACCTAGAAAAGGTGTTTTGTTCTATTTAATTCTAATTAACTTAACTTCGTTAAACGTATTTATCTAAAAATTTATTAGTATTTTAACCTTAACTATTTAGTTAGTGAAAATGTTACTAAAAATCAGAAAAACAACATAAATTTTATAAAGGTCTTAGATAATACCAACAGAAACCCTAAAAAATTTACATTGACAAGTATTATAAAAAAAAAACGAACTATATAGTATACAGGGTGTATCTGAATGACTGCAACAAACTTCAAGGGGTGATTCTTTAGTGAATTTTAAGGGTACTTTAATATATGAACCATGGGTCACTTCGGCTCCCCTAAGGAGCTACACCCCTCCAAAAATGGCAGAAAATTTTGGTTTAATTTTTTTTTTCCAAAAACCATAAATGCTAGGAAAATAAAATTTGGGGAATATGTTTAACTCATAAGAGGACATGTTTTGACCCTATTTGTACTTTCAACCTACCCTTCTAAACTACTAAACGTAACCACCCCCTTTGCATTTTTGCTAAAATTTTTGTTATGCTGATGATAAATACATTAGAAAAATTTTACATAGATAGATGAAAGTATTCTAAAACTTTTTTGTCTCTCTGAAATTTTACCAAAAACGACTAATTTTTGAGAAAAAAAATAGTAAAGCAAACACGGGGTTGTCGATCAAAAGTTGGAATGATTTTTGAATGAAAAAATCTTAGTAGGCTTTGCAATCTTTGCCAGAAATATTTTTGACGTTTAAATGTCAGTTTTTCTTACTATTATTATTGTTTTTCAAATTAATTTTTGAATAAAGTTCTATCGCATTTACGCTCGTTCACTCGACGTTTCAAAATTTTAAATAAAACAATAATAAAGTAAGAAAACCACTGATATTTAAACGTCGAAAATATTTCTGACAAAGATTGCAAAGCCTACTAAGATTTTTTCATTAAAAATTCATTCCAATTTTCGATTAACAACCCTACAGCTTAACAGTTAGTGTTTGCTTAATTATTTTTTTTCTCAGAAATTATTAATTTTTACAAGAACATCAGAGAGACAATGAGAAAAATTAAACCAAAATTTTCCGCCATTTTTGGAGGGGTGTAGCTCCTTAGGGGAGTCGAAGTCGCCCATGGTTCATATATCAAAGTACCCTTAAAATTCACTAAAGAATCACCCCTTGAAGTTTGTTGCAGTCATTCAGATACACCCTGTATATGGCTTAAAATATTTCTATGACACTTAAATAGGATGATTAAATTGAAGAAACAACTTTAATGGGCGTTGAAAGTGTTTCAAAATTGCCAAAAAAGTAGAAAATGGTTGTTGATATGTGCCTAAAACTAGAAACATTCGGATTTAGCCGTGCGTCTCTCAAGATGTCTAAACCCGAATGCTTCTAGTTTTAGGTCTAGTGTTAGTTTTAATGAGAGTACTACACTATAACTAGAACTAACACTAAACCCGTTTCTAATTCTAGAAACATTGGGGTTTAACCGTTTTAAGAGACATACGGCTATCTAGATATATCTAGTGTTAGATCTAGTTTTAGTTCCAACACGAAAACTAACACTGGACCTAGAATAGAATAGAAGTAAGAGGCGTAATGGTAAAAAATTCTTATAATACAATATCCCATTCGTTGTTCTTCTTAAGATATGATACGATAATAAATAGAAATAAATTTTGCTCAAAATGTCCTTTCCATACAGACAGTTATTATTTATTCGCAATAATTACTGCCGAACTAACAAATATATGTAGTTTGTTGTGTATATTCCTTGACTTATTACCAAACATTCTTTTCCGATGTAATTGACAGCCGTAAACAAAACTAACCTTACCCAACATTTTTTCCAGGATGATTGACAGGTGGAAACAAAACTGATCTATCCTAACATTCCTTTACGCTATAATTGGGGGGTTCAAAAGAAAACTGACCTCTCCTAACATCCCTTCACGTTATAATTGGGGTTTCTTCACACTATAATTGGGGTAATACTTAAGTAAGATGATTAAATTGAAAAAATATTTGTATGGCTTTAGAAAGTGTTTCAAAGTCGTCAAAAAATAGAAAAGGTGACTAGTGTGTGTCAAAATGGTTCTAATTTGGAAGAAACATTTCGAGGATACTTAACAAAGAAAACATAAGTTAAAATAATTAAATACAATGTTGTCCATAAACTTGAAAGAATTCAAAAAATGGGATTTATTGAAGATTTTGGTTCAAAATGGTTTTATATGGCTTAAAATATCTCTATGACACTTAAATAGGATGATTAAATTGAAAAAAGAATTTTACTGGGTTTTGAAAGTGTTTCAAAATTGAGAAAAAAGTAGAAAAAGGTTGACAAGAAACATCTCGAGGATAATAAAAATAGGAAAAAGTAAAAACTTTTTGTGAGAATTATTAAAAATACTTAATTTATTTCAAAAAGTAAACATGTTTCGAAACAAATGTTTCATCTTCAGTACTTGAAATAATTACAAATTGATGGATAAATTTAAAATATGTTGGAAATAGGAATGAGTTTTGGTTTTCTTTCCTTAAATAAAATCCTTTAAATTTCTTGGAAATTAACTTATTAGATTTCTCACAAAAAGTTTTTACTTTTTCCTATTTTTATTATTTAATTTTTGAGAAATATGAAGAATTTCATCCCTTTTATATCTCGAGGATACTTGATAAGAAGAAAATAAGTTAAAATAACTAAATGGGATGTTGTCCATAAACTTGAAAGAATTAAAAAATTGGAAATAATTGATATGGTTTCAATTATTGTATATTTCTAGTAAACTAAAACTAGAACTAACACTAGGCTTAGAACTAGAAACATTCGCATTTCTCTCAAGATGGCTAAACCCGAATGATTTTGGTTCTAAATCTAGTGTTAGTTCTAATGATAGTACTACACTATAACTAGAACTAATACTAAACCTAGAACTAGTGTTGGTTCAATAAAAATATATAACAACCTAGCATTGAATCACAATTAAAACTAGAACTAACACTAAACTTAGAACTAGAAACATTCGGGTTTTGCTGTATGTCTCTTAAGACGGCTAAACCCGAATGCTTCTAGTTCTAGATCTAGTGTTAGTTCAATAAAAATATATAACAACCTAACACTAAATCACAATTAAAACTAGAACTAACACTAGACCTAGAACTAAAATCATTCGGCTTTAGCCGTCTTAAGAGACGTGCGGCTAAATCCGAATGTTTCTAGTTCTAGATCTAGTGTTAGTTCAATAAAAATATATAACAACCTAACACTGAATCACAATTAAAACTAGAACTAACACTAGACCTAGAACTAAAATCATTCGGCTTTACCCGTCTTAAGAGACGTGCGGCTAAATCCGAATGTTTCTAGTTCTAGATCTAGTGTTAGTTCAATAAAAATATATAACAACCTAGCACTGAATCACAATTAAAACTAGAACTAACACGAGACCTAGAACTAGAAACATTCGGGTTTAGCCGTGCGTCTCTTTAGACGGCTAAAGCTGAATGTTTTTAGTTTTAACTCTAGTTTTAGTTCTACTTTCAATAAACAATAGTACCAACCTAAATAAATTAACTTTGATTAAATTAATTATCCAAAGAAATTTCTTACAAAGAACAAAAAAGAAAACAATATAAATGTAAAAAGGACCACGAAACATCAATACAATTAAGAAGATAATCAATAAAAGTAATTATGAAGTCTTGGAGATAAGCCGAGCTGGATTAATCCTCACGAAAAGTAGAAATAATGCGGATAACACCAAAAGAAACATCCAATAATAAAATTTCCTTTTCCTATCTTTTCGTTAAAGTCAAAATCTTATTATTCTCGTTTCGCTGCTATTTTCGTTTCTTGAATATATATCATTTTAATTAATTAAATAAAAAATAAAATTTAATATTTTCTTTAAGAGTGATTATTGACTTTCAATAATTCCGTTCTTAATAATTTGAATTAAACGTAATGAAAAAAAGTAATATCACGCAATTGAAGCGTTCGTTTCAATATGAGAAGTATTATAAAGATTATTTGAGGGTGCTCTCGTAGTTTATGAAAAAGAATTGCAAAAATTCCGTATTGAAATTGCTACAAATACCGAGAGGTCGACGTCGAAAATTTCGAAATCGTTTTATTAAGTTTCGCGAAGAGGGTTTTATATTGCGTTTTTATTTATTTTAAGTTTTTCTCTTATTACTTACCTTTTTTGCTGCTTCTTTATGATCTTGAACGTATTCTTGTTTTAATGGTTCCGTTTGCAAATCGGGTAAAGAATGACTGATTTGAATGGCGGGTTGTTTCGACGACGAGAGCCCATCTTCGCCTTCGAAAGGATCCCGACAAGTTCTATCTAAAATCCATCTCCACGTCGCGGCACATTGATAACTAACAGCCGCGAAAAGAACTAAAGCCATCACGAAAATTATTATTCCGATTACTAATTGATATGGTAAAGCTTCTTTCCACACTTCAACTGAAATAAAAAAAATAATTTTGCGTGTTTTAGAAAATTTGCTTTGCGTGTAAGTCCTTATTTAAATTACAAATATGGGATAATTTTAAACGACATATTATGGAAATGTTTATTTCTGGAACGTTAATAAATCAGCTATTTAATCAGTTATTTAGCATAAGATCTCATTTTAATTATAAGTCTTTAACCTGTATTATTATTATTATTATTATTATTAATAATAATAAGTCGTTTCCAAATCATTATGCAATATTTGAGTTGGAATAAATTAAAAAAGAATTATTTTGGGTTGATGAATCGATTTTGTGCAGAATTGGAAATGCGTTGCAACAAAAACGGAAAGCGAATAACAACAAAACGTTTCGTGCGGTTCTGAGCGCGAGGTGCGGCGCAACAGTTGGGCTTTATCCGTTCGTCCCAAGGTCGTCGGTGCTTTTGCAAAATTGATTTTACTACGCGCGCCGGAACCGCCGTTTTCACATCAACCTCCTCTCACTTTACGCACATTTTCCGCGGTGTACATTTCACTTTTACAACCCTCCTTTCCCTCATTACTCATCTAATTAGCGTTACAATAATAATCGAGATAAAGAGAGCCAAAAAAAGAAAAAATAATATTAAATCTAATTACACCGAGTTCGAGCCCGATAATATTGTTAACAACAAATAAATTAAGATGACTTATTTATTGTTATCTTAAATAAACTTGTTAATTTAATTAATTAAAGTAAAAATTAATTAAAACTTTTTTTTACTCACCGTTATTATCTTGTAATAAAATATTTGAACCGTTAACTTCTTCTGGTGGTAGTTGGTTTCCTGCTGGCACTAGTCCTGCTGGGGTTCTCACTAGTCCCATGGTCGGTGGATGAGTGAGTGTGAGAGTGTACACCTCTAGTCGGCTGGCTGCAGTAGTGGATGGCAGTAAACTTGGTGCTACCGTCGTACGCACCCCCGTGACGTCACGGGCGACCTCCAGCGCAATTGGTGGATGCTGCCGCGGGTTAAGGTTAAGGCTGGCGGCGGCGGCGACGATTCTACCCTCCCGTTGACCTTCCCTTATCCCTATTCCCGTCAATTCCTTCGGCGACAACGACTACCAGTATTTCCCACCTGGACGATTCAACACTATATATTCTTCATTTCAGGATGTAATAAGGTTTTGGGGATAACGAGTTTAATATATTCATGTTCTATTAATATTCTTTACTTTTGAGACTAAACTAAAAAGTTTCTTAGTTCTAGTTCTAAGTCTAGTGTTAGTTCTAGTGATAGTGTTAGTTCTAGTTTAACTTGTTATTCAGTGTAATCAGGTTGTTGTTAAATCTTCATCAAATTTGCTTCAAAATCTTCTTTATTTCATAACGATATCTCCAATAGTTCTTAAGATACGATGGTTATCTAAAATAAGAAATATTTAGAATTATATTTATAGTACATTAAATCTTCATTAAATTTGTTTTAAATCGCTTTTTATTTCATAACGATATCTCAATTAGTTTTTGAGATACATAAAGATGAATTACCCTAACATTTATGTTTGAGGTTATGTAATCAAAAAAATCGTAACTCCGAAATTTGAAGATTCGAAGAAATGATCTTCAATACATCAAATCTTCATTAAATTTGCTTTAAATTGCTTTTTATTTCATAACGATATCTCAGTTAGTTTTTGAGATACATAAAAATGAATTACCCTAACATTTATGTTTGAGGTTATGTAATCAAAAAATCGTAACTCCGAAATTTGAAGATCCGAAGAAATGATCTTCAATACATCAAATCTTCATTAAATTTGCTTTCAAGTGCTTTTTATTTCATAACGATATCTCAATTAGTTTTTGAGATACATAAAAATGAATTACCCTAACATTTATGTTTGAGGTTATGTAATCAAAAAATCGTAACTACGAAATTTGAAGATTCGAAGAAATGATCTTGAAAACATTAAATACTAAATAAATTTGCTTTAAATTGCTTTTTATTTCATAACGATATCTCAATTAGTTTTTGAGATACATAAAGATGAATTACCCTAACATTTATGTTTGAGGTTGTAATCAAAAAATCATACCTCCAAAATTTGAAGATTCAAAGAAATGATGTTCAAAACATTAAATACTAAATAAATTTGCTTTAAATTGCTTTTTATTTCATGATGATATCGCAATTAGTTTCTGAGACACGATTTTTTTAAAAATCTGTTCTTAAAAAAGAAAATTTCTCTATACCTACATAAAATGTTTTCATGAAATATTCAAAGAAAGCCAAGTTTGAGAAGAGTTCGTAAGCGTCTCATTTCCTTTTGTATCGACGATGAAAACGACGATGCAAGGAAATTGGCAATCGACTCTCGCTTAGAATCCCGAAGTCGACGACGGCCACAACGAAGTCGTTTGCAGTGTTTATAAAAATTCCACGGGGTAAAGAAAAAAGCTTGCAGACGTTACTTCTTTTCAACAAGGAGTAAGAAATGAAATCATTGATTTTGATTCCGTTTCAATAGGGGAAAATTGTTTGTTGGAAAAATTCTGAGGTATTTTGTAAACAAAGAAAGCGTTTCCGGGAATCGATTCGATTGTATGTGGTAAACAATGTTTTCATTTTTTTGGGTTTTTTTTGTTCTTTTTTGATTTGACGTTTTAAAAATGTGAAACTGTTAGCATGTGGCGGTTGTAAATTGCGGACTTATCAAGTACAGTGACAGTAACGTTGAGCGACATGACAAAGTATCAAAAACTAGATGATGTAAAGCTATCTTTATGTGAATTTATTAGTTACATCATGATAAATGTAAATATGAAATTTATTTTTATTGTGTGTATGTGTGCAAAACTTTATGTCTTCGTCGTCAATAGAACTTTTACGACTGCGCGTTATTTGATCGGTAACTAACCTTGACCTTAAGCGAGTGCAGTTTTGCTAACTTGTCGAATCTCTTCTATAAAATTTGCATGCAATTTTTCGCGACGAGCGAACAACGCTTTTATTATGTATCCGACATTTTACAACCGAAACCAATCGCTATTTTTGTCTTTACTACTTTCTTCGTTTTTTATCGCCTTAATAACGGCTTTATCAACAATGTTGTTGCTACCGGGTTATTATTATTATTAAATTTTTTTATGCGTCGAACGTAAAAAGAGTTTTTCTTCGCGGATAAGATGGAATTTTAGATTATTTCATATATTTATCTATCATTTGTATGAATGGCATGAAGGTGGTGAAAAAGAAAAATCGATGCCAAGTGGTAAAACAGGTCAGGGGAAAATTGTGAAACGGGGGAACAGATTCCCTTTAGAGATTGTTATGGAAATATTTATGATTCCAAAAGTAACAAGGTTTCCTTTATAATTTTATATTTTCTTCTTGTTTTCACTCTAGACCATTTTGAATCTTCAGAATTCCAAATTTTATAGGACTTAGAATGGCTAATCTTGACAGACATCAATATTTCCATTTTCTTCCGTGGAATCGTTTTTTTACCGATATTTGTTGATTATAATCTAATTAATTTATCTAATTTGTCAAATGAAGAATTTGAAGAGTTTTCTCTGTGGCGCCATCTTTTGATATATTAATAAATTATTATGGTTTACATTTTTTCCAATAATAACCTGAAAAATTAATTTTGAATTAGTCAAGTGAAAACTGGAATCGTATCAAATGTTAATTACATTTGATCACACTCTAGTTTTATTAATCTTAAATGAATGAGTTATCAAGAAAAGCAACGAAAGAAAATCTTACCAATAAATAAACTGAATGATCTTGATGTCACAAGTTCGCCTATTTTTAACGATTTATTATCGCATAATTGTTCCCCACATGACCTTAACTCAATAATATTTCCATTTTTTTAAGTAGAATCGTTTCTTTTACGCGGTATTTGTTGATTACAACCTAACTAATTTATTTAAACTGTCAAAGGAAGAAATTGAAGCTTTCTTTGGTGGCGCCATCTTTTGAAATACAAATAAATTATTATGGTTTGTATCTTTGCCAATTATAACTTAAAAACTTAATTTTAGATAAGTCAAGTCAAAACTGGAATCGTATGTGAATTAACACCTTCCTACACTCTAGTTTTATTAATCTTACGTGTATGAGTTATTAAAAAAACAATGAAAGAAAATCTTACCAATAAATAAACTGAATGATCTTGATGTCACAAGTTCACCTATTTTTAACGATTTATTGTCGCGTAATCGTTCCCCGCATGATCTTAACTCAATAATATTTCCATTTTCTTACGTAGAATCGTTTATTTTTCGCGATATTTGTTGATTATAACCTAACTAATTTATTTAAACTGTCAAAGGAAGAAATTGAAGCTTCCTTTGGTGGCGCCATCTTTTGAAATACAAATAAATTATTATGGTTTGTATCTTTGCCAATTATAACTTAAAAAATTAATTTTAGATAAGTTAAGTCAAAACTGGAATCGTATGTGAATTAACACCTTCCTACACTCTAGTTTTATTAATCTTACGTGTATGAGTTATCAAAAAAAGGAACGAAAGAAAATCTTACCAATAAATAAACTGAATGATCTTGATGTCACAAGTTCGCCTATTTTTAACGATTTATTGTGGCGTAATCGTTCCCCACATGATTTTAACTCAATAATATTTCCATTTTCTTAAGTAGAATCGTTTCTTTTTCGCGATATTTGTTGATTATAACCTAACTAATTTAATTAAACTGTCAAAGGAAGAAATTGAAGCTTTCTTTGGTGGCGCCATCTTTTGAAATATAAATAAATTATTATGGTTTGTATTAATTATAACTTAAAAAATTAATTTTAGATTAGTCAAGTCAAAACTGGAATCGTATGTGAATTAACACCTTCCCACACTTTAGTTTCATTAATCTTACGTGTATGAGTTATTAAAAAAGCAATGAAAGAAAATCTTACCAATAAACTAAATGATCTTGATGTCACAAGTTGGACTATTTTTAACGATTTATTGTCGCGTAATCGTTCTCCACATGATCTTAACTCAATAATATTTCTATTTTCTTACGTAGAATCGCCTTTTCCCCGATATTAGTTGATTATAACCTAATTAATTTATCTAAACTGTCAAAGGAAGATTTTGAAGAGATATCTCAGTGACGCCATCTTTTGAAATACAAATAAATTATTATGGTTTGCATCTTTTTATTCTCAGTCAAGTGAAAAGTGAAATCTGAACTCAATAATATTTCCATTTTGTTACGTGGAATCGCCTTTTTCGCGATATTTGTTGTTTATAACCTAATTAATTTATTTAAACTGTCAAATGAAGAAATTGAAGTTTTCTTCGGTGGCGCCATCTTTTGAAATACAAATAAATTGTTGTGGTTTATATCTTTGCTAATTATAAACTAAAAAATTAATTTTATATTTAGTAATAATTAAGTAATTTTGATTTATTTTGAGAAATGAGGCGAAAGCGAATAATTTATTTGATTTATTATATTCTTTGTATACATTATTAATTATTAATAAACGTTTATTTTATTGTAAAAATTAATCGATTACACTAAAATATTTACAACTACAATTCTAAAATGAATAGACAAAAAAATCACCGATTATACTTCTTAATTAGCTAATTTTTATTTACTTTTATGTCCCATCCGTTACTTACCAAATATTTTATTATCCCTATTTATTAAATCTTTTAAATTATTCGATTGCACGTAAAAAAAACTTAACAAGTCATAATTATTTAATTATTTACAAATTGGACTTATTTACACGAAAAAAACATCAACGTTCTTTAAATAAAGATGTTTTAGATTTTTTTTGTAACATTTAACACGAATTGCATTTCACAAGTCCGACTTCATCGCAATTCATACATTTTAAAGCGACGAATTCGGTTGTAAAATGATTTCTGTGTACTGATTTCTTGCTTCCATTACAAACCGGACACGGAAGTAAACGGTATCCACCACATACTTGGCAAGTCGTACAAACATCCATGCTCTGCAAATTTTAATTTCATTATAATGTTAAGCGTTAATTAATTTATTTATTTACCTTGTAAGGTTTCAGAATTAGGCGTAATTCGCCAGACTCGTTGAGTCTCTCAACAGCTTCAGCATCCTATAAAAGAAATAATAAATTATTAATTAAAAGAATTATAATTAAACGTAAAACAATGTTATCAGAAGACCGTGAAGAAAATTGGAAAGTAAAAGTATACCAAAGCATTGTTTTAACGTTAAGAAAACTTAATTAAACACTATTTTTTTGTAAGAGACCCTATTTAACAACAGCAACAACATGAAAAAGAAGAAAGATCATTCACACGCTGAATCTTCACTTTGTTTCAAAAAAAAACTCCCAGAGAAGTAATCTCATATTATTATTATTAGATTTTTTTGCAAAACTTTGTGGGAAGTTTTGCAAAAACAAATTTTACAAATTTTACAGTAACAGTGACAAATTTTAAAGTAAAGAGTTAGATAAAACCACTCGGAGCGTAAAGCAATTAACCAAACAACCGTTTTGGGTTGTTTTGTATAAATAATTTCGCAATTAAACAGTCCACGTATAGGGAGTTTTGAAACGGTCTGCTAACTTTCCCGATTTTAATCTAAAACGACTAACAAATACTCACATAGATTAAAATCTTTTTTTTTTATATAAAAAAGTTGACATTTCAAATTATTTATTAATTAATAATCATTCAAATTGCAAAGAAAAATTCCACCAAAGAAAATCTCTTTGTATAATCAACACTCTCATTGAAAATTTAAAATATTCCAGCTGCAAAGTTAAAGCCACTTTTCAATTTGCCTACTAAATATATCGTTTTGTATTAAATAACGATGTGAAAGCTTAAACAACCGGGACAGCGACAAAAAAAAACATTCATAGGGAAATGTTTCGCAGTCATTGACACCGAAATTGAAACAAAAATGTTTCAAGTTTAAAAAAAGAAATTTCATTTCGTTGTTATCGACTAAGCTGTACTCGAACAACTTGTCTTGTTCGGAAATAAACGACGCGGTATCCGCGGAATGCGAAGGAAATCGCCCATCTTTCACATACACGTACCAAGAATTGGAAACGAGAAAATGTTATCGAAACGAGGTCATCGAAAACAACGAAAAAAAAAAAGAAGAAATAATTTAATTAATACAACAAAAAGAAAAATGTTCAAAGTGGTGTTTTATGAGTGTTATTATGATACAACTCGGGTAACGGTCATGTAGACGACGCGATTTATAATCGGGCAGGAAGTTAACTAGGTCTTTAAAGCAGGTCGCCCAACCTGCCCAACAACCCAACAGGTTATTTGCGAGAAGATTGCGTGTACGTGGGCGATTTCAAAAAAAAAGAAAGATGCAATGCAAAAAAGAATTACTTTTTTGTAAGTGTAAATAAAGCTGTAAATTGGATGAACGTGAAGAACTCTGAATAATGCCATGAAACTCGATATACATAGTAGTACATCCGGTTGTGTTTGTTAGTTGAAAATAAACATACCCCGGTAACACCGGCTGTAATCTACCCCCCAACCCATTCTCTCGTTAGTTATTTAAACGTTAATCCCCGAGCGTTGTTAGAAAATGAGTGGACTTTATATTTTCCTTTCATTTGAAATTTTCCTCTTAATCATAAAACTCATCACTTACTAAAGGATTCTCTAATAAGGGATTCAAAGATGAAGGTGTCAAATTTCGGATGAAAAGGATCAAGTATTTTAGGCTTATGGTAACAAGATTCTACAATAATGATTCAATATCAGCAAGAATCCCGAATCTGTTTAGAGATGCAATTTTATATTGCATATGCACTTAATTGTAAAGATTATGCTAATCACGTTATACGATTTTAAGTCTGATTTGCATATGATTCTAGTTCTCGGTTTAGTTTTAGTTCTTGTGGCAGTGGTAGGTAGCGCTAGTTAGCATAAGATATTATGTTGTATATTTTTATTGCACTAAAACTAGAACTAACACTAGACCTAGAACTAGAAACATTCGGGTTTTGTCGTGAAAAAAACTTTCAGTTGTCAATGTTAACTTTAATTTTATTATTATATTCGTAATTTTCATAGAATAACCTTTAAAGTGAGTCTAAACTTGACGCATGTATCTCAAAAAACCAAAAAGTTCGAACTTTCAACGTTTAATTTTAACATATTCGTCAACTTCATAAAAAATCCTTTAAAATGAGTCCAAACTCGACATATTTAACTTTAATATTAATGGAAATACAATCACTTCCGGTTTGAAACGTCAACGTCAATTTTGACATATTTGTCATCTTCATTAAAAAACCTTTAAAATGAGTCCAAAGATGACGCACTTATCTCAAAAAACAAAAAAGTTAGAATAAAAAACATTAAACCCGAAGTTAGCAACAATGAAGATAGCAATTTAATTTTTAAATATTAATACCAACCTTAATTTTCGATTTTTTTTTATTATATTTTTGTTTTTGTGACAAATATTAAGACATTTTATAAAAATTAAGAATATGTCAAAATGACATTGACATTTCAAACCGGAAGTTGCTTATATCTCGAGTAATATTGGAATTAAACGTATCATGTTTGGACTCATTTTAAAGGATTTTTCACGACGATTACAAATATGTCAAAATTGACGTTGACATTCTTAACCGGAAGTTGACCATAACTTCATTAATATTGAAGATAAATATGTCGTGTTTGTACTCATTTTAAAGGATTTTTAATGAAGATTACAAATATGTCAAAATTGAGGTTGACATTTTAAACCTGAAGTTAGTTATCATATAATAGAAGTTTTATAATTGACGTTAATCTAGTGTTTAGTCGTGAAAAAAACTTTCAGTTGTCAATGTCAACTTTAATTTTATTATTATATTCGTAATCTTCATAAAATAACCTTTAAAGTGAGTCCAAACTTGACGCATTTATCTCAAAAAACCAAAAAGTTCGAACTTTCAACTTTTAATTTTGACATATTTGTCAACTTCATAAAAAATCCTTTAAAATGAGTCCAAACTCGACATATTTAACTTTAATATTAATGGAAATACAATCACTTCCGGTTTGAAACGTCAACGTCAATTTTGACATATTTGTCATCTTCATTAAAAAACCTTTAAAATGAGTCCAAAGATGACGCACTTATCTCAAAAAACAAAAAAGTTAGAATAAAAAACATTAAACCCTAAGTTAGCAACAATGAAGATGGCAATTTAATTTTTAAATATTAGTACCAACCTTAATTTTTAATTTTTTTTTATTATATTTTTGTTTTTGTGACAAATATTAAGACATTTTATAAAAATTAAGAATATGTCAAAATGACATTGACATTTCAAACCGGAAGTTGCTTATATCTCGAGTAATATTGGAATTAAACGTATCATGTTTGGACTCATTTTAAAGGATTTTTCACGACGATTACAAATATGTCAAAATTGACGTTGACATTCTTAACCGGAAGTTGACCATAACTTCATTAATATTGAAGATAAATATGTCGTGTTTGTACTCATTTTAAAGAATTTTTAATGAAGATTACAAATATGTCAAAATTGAGGTTGACATTTTAAACCTGAAGTTAGTTATCATATAAGAGAAGTTTAATAACTGAAGTTAATCTAGTCTTAATCACTTTTCCGCACTTTCTTTTTATTTTTAACGTGTTTTTTGTTTGCCATTTCACATTGATAAGAAGAATCGTCGATTTTTAACTTTTTAAACGTTAATTTTGTAAGTTAGTAACTAATAATCTGATTTCGACTTTGATGTGTAATCTTTTTTAACAAAACAAAAAGAAATATTAAGAAACTTGATTGTAAAATGGATAAGATGAGAGATTTTAATCTATATAAAATAAAAACCAATTTAAAAGTACAAAATCAAACTCTACAACAGTTTTTTTCAACAAATTTTACACGAATCGTCGATCTAAACTGAGTTGTGATTACAGTTTTATTGGGTTGTTTTAGGTACTCCCTATAAGCTTAGGGGAGGATAATGCATTCAAGTGAGCTCGTATATAATTGCCTGCCACTTTATGCATTGTATTGTAGTTCTTGCATTCGAAATGAAGTACGGCTTTCATAAACTAGAAAATAGCCCATTTTATAAAATAATCCTACTTGAAGTAATCTTTGATGCGAGTCACGCAATCTTTTAAACACAATACTTTCGGGGGAAAATTTTTTAAATTTCATAACTCATTATGATTTATACAATTAAATTACAATTATATAAATACATATATCATAAAATTTGATTGTAATTAGTTCCGTTCCGACACCCTTTGTTAGGTTTCAAGGATCAATACGACAATGCCACGGTTAAATTTGAATGTGTATTTGTGAATAAAATTACCGGACAACTATGTTATCTCTATTATCTACTCATTAATTAGTTAGTAACAATTAGTTTGAAACTTGTAATTTAATTAAACGCCGAGCCGATCGTTTTGTTTTCATCTCATCATCGAGTTTCTCGTTTTGTTTATATTTCCATTATTTTCGTGATTATGACATTTCCATTATTATGAGACAATAAAGAGAAAAGAGAAGGTGAACGACTCGGCGGATGAATTAATCAACGAAAAAGATTTTTTTTGGTACATATTTTTAACGAAATTTATTCCTACGATAAATTTTGACAATTAAATTTTAATTTGCGTTAAATAATGTTTTATAAAAGTGCACCCGTAAGTGGTTTCTGTTGCTTTTGCGGGAGATTAACGGTCGTTGGAAGCAACTGGTGTGTTGTTGCTGTGGCTGGTGCCCTCGGTTCGATACTCGGGGGGGCCCTCGCGTTCGCAAAACGGGGCATATCGACCGGTCTCAGGCTGGCCGGCACCTGAGACCGTTAATGAAAACGGTATCTCCGGAGACAGATGTTTTAAAAAGAATTTTAAGCAACAATTACACAGTATCTGGAACGTTGCGCGATGTTTATTGCTTACAATCATTTGCTTTACACTGTATGTACACTACTTTGTAGCACGAGAAATCCAATTTAAACTATATTTTAAAAAAATTCTACCTTTCAAAGAGATTATCTTAATTGAGATTAAAGGATATGAGTCAATTTCCGTTAAATAATCCAAAAGGATTTCCCCGGAAAACAAACA